GCGTCTCACGCACTGTAGGATCAATGGGACGGTCGGCGGGGATGGTGCCGATGGCAACACGGGGCACGCTGTCCAGCTGGCTATGATTGTCTATAACGCGGATGTTGTAGTTGGTGGGGAATGTCGAGACCATACCCTCAAGCTTGCTGGCGCTGCGACCCACGACGTAGATTGGCGAGAAGCCCATGTGGTGTAGAGCGAAGATGGCAGCACGGGCAGTACCACCGCCGCCAACGACTACGGCACTCTCATCGCCTGCTGAGCCGTAGATGCTTGCGTTGCGCATGCATTGGACCATGCCCTGCCAGTCGGTGTTGTAGCCGACCAGACGAGGAGGCTTGTCGCCGTTGGCAACAGGGACGATGGTGTTGACCGCGCCGATGATCTCGGCTTCCTGGGCGACTTCGTCGAGCAGGGGCATGATGTCCAGCTTGAGAGGGATAGTCACGGAGGCACCGCCGAAGTCGGAGGCGCGGATGAAGTCCTTGACGTCCTCAACATTTGTGGTCTCCAAGCGGCTGTACTCGTGGGGTAGACCCATGGTGCCGAAGAGGGCGTTGTGGAGAGCGGGCGATCGGGAGGCAGAGACAGGGGAGCCGAAGATGGCGAACTTCTTGGCCTTGATCTCACCCATCAGGGAGAGACCACGGCGAATCTCGGTTGCGGAGAGCTGACCGGGTGCGGCCTTGAAGGGGAGGCTGGAGTGCGACACCGGGGTCATGAAGCCGTTCAGAATGCGGCTGAGCTGGCCCTTGTCACCCATGTTGATAGCGATCAGTGGGGTTTCATGGGCTTCCTCGGCCCAGGTCTTGAACTTCCGCAAAGCGGTGTTGTCGTCCAGGCTGTTGGCGACACCAACGAGCTTGATCACATCACCGTACTCGAGAGCACGGTTGTAGGACTGCATCCAGGACATGTTGGCCCAAGAGAGTTCTCCCTTAGGATCGTGGTGCGACGCGATGATCTTCGAGTGACCCTTCATATCAGTAACAGCACGGAGCATCTCGTCTGGGAAGGCAATCTCAAGGTCCACAAATTCGGATCCAGAACGGAATGCCAGGCGGTAGAGCTGCATCGCGGCATCGTGAGCATCATCGGGGAAGCGACCTCCTTGGCTCTTGGTGCGGATGGTGAAGATGAGAGGGAGAGTGGTACGGCGGCGTAGGAAAGAAATCTGTTCGGCAACGTAGTCAACCGAGGGGATGTCGCCCTCTGATGACGGGTCCTTCAACAAGTCAACCCGCAATTCCACAGCATCAGATCCGACGCAAGCTTCTGTGATGATATCAGCGGCTGGGCGGAGATCGGGTAGCGTCAATGAGACGAAGAAGCTGTGCTTCTTCTTCTTAATTTGACCGAGGCTGTCAGTCTGGCCAGTCACCACCCGCATGAAGCGCGCGAAGTCTTCCGAGGCAAGAGCGAGCTCAGCAGAGCTCGAGTGCTGGCTGAAGTATTGAATGTTGCTGCACTCCTGGAACCAAGGCTTGCGGCGCAGCCACACACCCATCATGTCCTCGACGTAGGCAGGGCGAGTCTTGTCGATCTGAAGGAAGTCCATGACCAGCTTGATGTCACGCATGATGAGGAGAACATTGCCCTTGTTCTTGTGGTAGTCAGCAAGCATCTTGCGTGCCTCTGGGATCTCGACGACACCACCACCACAGGCAAAGACGTAGCCAGTGGGACGGTCCTTCATGGCACGCTGAAGACATGCCAATTCAGCGTCGCGGAATCCTTGCCAGCCGCGAGTCTTAATCATTTCAGGAATAGTGGTTCCCTCGGCGGTCTCAAGCTCGGTGTCGAGGTCAATGAATTGACGGCCAAGGACCTTGCCCACCCAGTTGCCAGCGGTGGTCTTTCCGGCGCCACGCATGCCAATGATAAAGACTGTAGCGTTGGTCCGCTCTTCTTGGCTTGAGGCAGCAAGCTCGTCTTCCTTGAGCTCCTTGCCGTCAAGCTTAACGCCGAACAGTTGCTTCAGGGTGTCCCACCAGCCGGGCCAGGTCTTGCCAACACATTCCTTTTCCAGAATGAGAGTAGGCTGGGGCGCCACGAGAGAAAGCACACTGAAACTGAACGCGACACGGTGGTCATCGTAGCAGTAAACGCCACCAGAAGGCTGGCGAAGGGTAGACCGGTCGATACCGTCGATCTCAAGACCGTCATCATGCTCACGGCAGACAACTCCGAACTTGGCCAGTTCGTCCTTCATGGCCTTGATACGGTTGCATTCCTTGACACGCTGGTTGGCAATACCGTAAATGCGGGTTGTGTGGTTTGAGCCCTGGCCCCGAGCAACGGCCGCGAGAACAGAGGCAGTGAGGAATGCATCGGTCATGGGCTCCATATCAACATTAGGCAATGGCTGGAGGATACCGTCAGCAGGTCCAGTGACAGTAGTGGAAGTGTCCGACTGGGTGACTGAGCAGCCCATGGGTCTGAGAACGTCGACTGCAAAGCGAGCATCGCCCTGGAGGGACTTGGAGCCAATGTTGGGGACGGTGCAGGTGGTGCCAGTAACAGCGGCGATGGCCAAAGGATAGGTTGCAGAGCTTGCATCGCTCTCCACAACATACTCGGGAGGGTTCACGTAGCGAGCCTGGGGAATGTGGTAGGTGTGCTCCTCAGTGGTAGACTTCTTGACGTCAATACCGAAGGATCGCATCATGGCAGTGGTCATATCAATGTAAGGCTGCGAGATGGGCTTGCCACCAACGAGCTTCAAGGTGACTGGCTCCTTGGCGTAAGGAGCACACATGAGAAGCGAAGAGACGTACTGAGAGGAAACCTTGGCGGCCAAGTTGATCTTGCCTCCAGCGAAACCCCCGGAAGCGGCAATTTTAAGAGGGAGACTGCCCTTGCTCTCCATATACTCGACGTCGGCACCGTTAGCGGTGAGAGCGTCGACAAGGTCGCCAATGGGGCGTTGCTTCATACGGTTGTTGCCGGTCAGGACACTTGAGTGGACGGTGCTGGGGGTAGCGAGAGTTGCCACAGTAGTGAGGAATCTGGAGGCAGTTCCAGCGTTGCCCAGGTACAAGGGCGACGGGCTCGCAACGATGTTGCCGCCCTTGCCGTTGACAACAAGGACCTCACCTTCCTCCTCCCAGGAGAAAGTAGCTGCGCCAAGGCGCTCCAAGGCATTCAACATGACCTCAGTGTCGTCGGAGTGCAGAAGGTTCTTAATGCGACAGGTTCCAGAGCCAAGCGCAGCAAGCACAAGGGCTCGGTTGGAGATACTCTTGGATCCGGGGGGTGCGCAGGTGACATTAAGAGACTGGGCCACTCCTGGGTGAACCTCAACGCTGGGGGCAAGGACGACGCCGATGTCCGCGTTGGAAACAACGCTGGCCTTGGGCTCATGAGTACGGCCAATGGCCGACAGGAGAACAACCTTCTTCTTGGGGCCATCGTTCTTCTTATCCAGCGCCATGTTGAACAGCAATTGGTCCACAGAGCAGTGCTTACCGGCGGTCAGCTTACGGACCCGGGCATCCTTCATGGAAGTAGGCAAGCCGTAAGCGGAAATGCATTTGACGACACGAGCAACGGCAACGCCCTTCAGGATGCCCAGGTGGCGTGCAAGCTCTGCCTCTTTCACCATACCGATGGCGACACACTCGCCGTGAAGAATTTGAGGGGTCAGGATTGCCTCAATGGCATGTCCAATGGAGTGACCCCAGTTGAGAAGGTTGCGAAGACCGCCCTCGCGCTCATCAGCAGACACAACATAAGCTTTGTGGCGAGCAGATGCCAGGATTCTGGCCTTCAAGATGTCGCGAATTCCATCGAAGCGACCCTGGCCAGGCTTTGCTTCGCTGCGCGCGGCACCAAGAATTAGGTCTGCGTTGTCCTCGAGGGCGGTGAATTCTTCCTCGCTGGAGATGGCAGCGGTCTTGATGACCTCGGCCATACCGTTGATGAACTCCCGGACGGGGAGCGTCTCAAGGAATTCAAGATCAATATAAATTCTCGACGGCTGCCAGATGGAGCCAATAAGGTTCTTGCCGAGAGGCGTATCAATGGCAGTCTTTCCTCCAATTGAGGAGTCCACCATGGCGAGGAGGGTGGTGGGGACCTGCACATACTGAACACCGCGCATGTAGGTTGCCGCAACAAATCCAGTCAGATCACCAATCACACCACCGCCCAAGGCGATGACCACTGTATCTCTCCCACATGGTGGGTTTTGGCTCAGCATCCAATCTTCAATGTCGGCTTTGGTCTGCCGGGACTTGGAGCTCTCGCCGGGTGAGGCATGGTAAACGAGTAGTCGCGGGGTAGGCGAGATAGATGCGGTGGCAGCCTCGAAGGTCTTTTGGAAGGTAGGGGTATAGATCGACCCGAGGTTGGTGTCGGTGATGAGGACGTAGGTGGTGGAGGGCAAGGCACTGATCAGGTCCTTTGCGACATAATTGCGCCACAGGCCGAAATCAGCAACAATGCTCTCCCGGCCCAGGATACTGATCTTGGTGGGTTCAGTCATAGTGATAGAGAGATCGTGGCAGGGGATTGATTATGATCTGCTCATCTCATTCTGGGTGGTGTTAGTACCCTTGACTCATAGTTTATTTAATTTTAGGTTTCTCCGCCAAACTAGTGGCGTAGGGCAACAGAACAATGGCAATGAAACCCTCAAAAAGGTAGAGAACGTAAGACATACCTGGACCGACAGCAGAGACACAATGAATGAAGATGAGGTTAAAAAAGCAAATCGATCGTGAATTCCCCGCCGATCTCGCGGCTTTCTTGACCGCCCGGTGAGTCCGAACCCCTGAAATTGACGAACTACATCGACTAGTTTATTCCCCCTGCCAATGTGATCTTTTACTGATTTGTGAATTGTGAATTGTTATTTTCTGATCTTCAAGTCTCCAGCAAAGAACGAACCCCCTTTTTCATTCCATTCCCCCTTGTCTCAATCCCTCAATCTCTCCCATCTCAGCCCGTATATCGATCTACCTACTAGTAGTAGTAGGTATCCTCGAATCTGCCGTGACTCATGGCTCCATCTTTACAGGCTCCACCTTCAGCTCCGAATCTTCCAGCTCCAATTTGATTGCGGAGTCCAGGAGTGCCTTTCGTGCCTCCAAGGGCTTCGATGTTTTGGCCTTGATTTTCGCCTTAAGAACGTCACTCGTAGCTGGTTTACGCACTCTGCGTCTCTTGGCAGCCGTCTTGGATCTCTTGACGACTGTGTTATCAGTTCTGGTGTCTCCACTGCCGATCTGTGTGTGAGTGGTCTCGGGATGGGCGATCTCGGCATGGGCAGTTTCTTCATCAGCGGTCTTTGAATGAGCGGTTTCCATTGGGGTCTCTCTGCTGCGCTGATTCATAATCCGAGCACATCGACTGGCCAGCTCATCAAGTGCCTGGCTCTGAATAACAACGCCTCCCATGCGGCTCTGTTCCATTTGCAGGCATACTGGTCGACCAGTGCCTTGATACCGGGTCTCTGGGCATCGCCACCACCATTCTCGGAATTACCAGATTGACCGACAGAGACTCGCAGATTCTGTTGAAAATGCTCGCTTAGCTTGCCAGCAAATTGAAACAGCATCTGGCGTGCGTCAATGTCGTTTCCGCTGGTGATCTGCCCGGGTAAAGTGACATTGTCAATCTTCAAAGCTAGAAGATTGTGTCCCAAGTCAAGCCGGTCTGGGGAGTGGGCCAATGCTGTTGCTGGCTGATGGTTTCCCGGCGCTGTGCTCTTGATGTACAGTTTGGAAAATGTTGTACCACGAGGATCACCACAAACTTCGCGGCACCATCTTATAGGGCTCGTGTTAAGCACCCGACGAGTCCCGCGCCGATTGACATAGCTTATCATTCTGAATGCGTGCAGAAAATCATAGGGCTCAAACACCATTGGAGACGTATCGAGATTGGTGCGGGGAAAGAACTTGGGCAGAACACGCGTAAGCTGATATGTCGCCCAAAGCTTAGCCACTGTCGGACTGGTCTGAGAGGGCAGCTCTGGAGCTGTCATAACATCTTCGTGGTATGGTACCTGTCCCCAGGTGTCTTTGAAAGTCGCCTTTACGGAGCCCCTCGCAAGTTCTGCAATCTTGAGGACATCCTGATTGTAATAGAAGTCCCAGTATTTCTCGGTTCGTCTCGAAGCCTAAAGCACCCCCAAGGTATGTGCTATTTTGGCCTAGCAGTGTGCAGTACTGGTAGTCATAAAGAATTTCGGGCATAAAACAGAATTGCCTTGGATTCAGTGACATAATGGAATCAAGCAGCGGAGGTACCAAAGTAGGTTCCTCGAGCGCAACCAAAGTAGATAGAACGATATCCCAAAAGATTGATCTTGATGAACAAAGGCCCTAGGGGGCGTTCTGAAAGACGTGAAGATGGGTGAAATGAGATAGTGAGTCGAGGGGCCCGAGGTGGGTTAAATATATGTGTATTGTATTTGCTTGCATCTTCATGATGAGTCGTAGCAAATGTCTCTATGCGGGTGGTTGATATACTCATAGGTATGTAGCTTCCGTTCTTCTCTGGGCTGTGATGTGAAGCAAGTCACTCTCAAAGCTCTATGTTAACCCCTACAAACAGTGTACTTTGTTGGATGTTCAGCTACATATATTGAGTCACATCCTCCCAAACCAATGTTAACATCATTCGCTTGGATCTTTCGAAGCTATCTGGCTATGTATACAACTATTTACACAAATAGAATATTCTTCCGTTAGCAAGAAAGTTGACTGGTCAGAAATTTTGTGTTTACACCTATGAACCGTACTGTATGGACAGCAAAAAAGAGTGTCGAGCATGTAGCGACTAGAAACTACAAAGGGTTGCAACCGCTCAACTTATGACATACAAGGATATGAATATTCGAGGTTGGAAAGAGTCGATTGATAACCATCACTTAATTTCATGTTACATTCCCCTAACTCCATTTCTTTCCTGGGCCCTCATACCCAGAGCCCAACCATGTCAAAAAGATACCATCGGCATTGAAAACCAGCAAGAAGTATTCACAAAGACAAAGACGAGAGGTCTGGAGTCTAATCTCACTTTCTAGTACCGACCGTATCCACCACCACCCCGTTGACCACGATACCCGCCACCACGACCACCACCTCCACGGCCTCCGCGATAATCCTGCGAGCCATAGCCTTGTTGGTGTCCGTTATACTGACCACCCTGGTTGTACTGGTTCTGGTGGCCGTAGTAATCACCAGGCTGTTGATAACCCTGCTGGGGTGGGTACTGGTACGACATTCCACCACGGGGTGGCGGAGGGGGACCTCGTGAGTAGCCTCCGTAGTTTTGGCCAGGGGGGACCCATCCGGGTGGCCCACCAGGACCACCGGGTGGACCAGAGCTGAAGTTCGGGTCGAGATGCGCAGCGAAGGGATTCGGACGGTCACTTTGGTAGTTCATGCGCCCACCTCGTCCTCTGCCCTGGAACGGTGCGCCACCGAATGAGCGGCCTGAATTCTGGGCTCGGCCCTTGGTCGCTCTGATATCGTTTGAATCCAGCATCGGTGTTGGGGGCTTCACGCCGCGGAGGAGCATGGATTTATGAACGTGAGAAGACTTCGGGATAGTGTATTCGACACTAGAGAAAAAGGTTAGTATATTTGAACATTTTGGATAAGATAGATAGGCCAAACTCACGTAAGAGAGCGATCATCGTCAACTCCCGGCATGCCATATGCCTCCAGGGGAGAGTCTAGCGAACTGTGAGGAATGTAGGTGTCGCTACGCTCAACGATACCAGCCAGGCCACCACTCAACTCTTGCTTGATTGTGTATCGTGCAGGACCGGGCTTCTTGGAATAGAAGTTCGCAACGAGATCTTGGTACAATGGATTCCGGTCAGATAGCAAAAGTACATCCGAACCGTGAGTATTGCGGCTTCTCTCATCTTCAGTAAGGAGAGGGTAAACCTTCTCCATGGCTCCCAGAAGACGCTTTTCGTCAATGAAAGGAAGGAGAATAACACCTTGCCAGGCAAATTTCTTGCCGTTCAGGTCCAGAGGGAAATCCTCCGGGTAGAAGTCGATGATCTCACTGTTTGGATCGGACATGAGAGGATGGAAGACCTTGGGCAATGCGTGGTTAGACGAGGCAGGCAAGACTCCCATCAGCTGTTCAAATGGCCTGAATGGCTTGCCCTTCTCGAAGTTAATCTCCATGTCGGCGATATCAACAAAGTCCGCGGCGCTAGAGAACGAGTGTTAGCAGATTGTTCTTCCAAACTAAGACATACCCCAAAAAGAAGGGAAGAGAGATGAAATACATACAACGGTGCGTAGTGATAAGGATAATACCACCCTTGGCTGGGACAGCCCTGGAAATAGTAGCGGAGAACCCAGGCCAAACCTTCGGCGTAGGCACGCGCAACCTTGTGACGGAACTCGATGTCTTTGGGATCAACGCCGAATTTTTGCTCATAGTACCGATCAGCGTAGCCCGGTTCCCAGAGTTTGACTGTGTCTTCGGGCATTTCGTCACCCTTAGGCTTGTTCTCGGGAACAGGGGCAACAGGAGGAGGAGAGTCTCTGCCCGGTGTTCCTGTCTCGGTATCCTCCTGTTCGGCTTCATCGGCCTTACGCTTTCCGAGGACTGAAGGAGAAGTTGGCTCCGTGGCGTTTGATGTTTCTTCGCTCCCCGCGGCTGGAGTCTCGCCTGCAGGTTCGTCCTGCGGACCCTTCATGAGCTTGCTCTTCAAAACAGCAGCAGCACTCTTGTTCTCCATGTTGGCACGGTATACAGCGCCACGGTTGACTACCATGCTGTGTGTCAATTCGCGGGTCTCCTTGGCCAAGTGACCACGACCGGGAGTGATCAATTCCATGGGAGGAGCAGGCTCAGCACCACCGCCACGCGAGCGGTTTTGCGGTGAATCGTACTGGGGAGAGCTGCGTCTCCGTTTTTGAGCACGCTCTGCGTTCCGAGCTGCATCTTGTTCCTTGCGTCGCTTCTCGTTTGCCTGCTTTCTTTCATCGGCTTGTCTGCGGCGCTGGAAAATAGCATCCTCTTGCTTGGCCAGTCCTTGCAAGATGAGTTGAGCATTTTTCATGTCAACACTTCCATCCTTTGTAAGATATCCAGACATAGGGCCGGCGACATTGTCACGCCAGATCGCGATAAGAGTATCGATACCGTTCTCACGAATGTCTAGACTGGGCAAGTGAGGAAGGAAATCGTTACCAACGAAGAAACACATGAATACCCAGTCATCCAGGGCACGCTCGAGGTCGAATGGGAATGACTGCTGAGGAACATGAAGCTCAACAGCAAGATATTCTCTGAGGACAGCAACATGGAGCCAAATGAATGGCTTAAGGGGAGCAGCATGTTGCTTCTCGTCGAATTCTCCACTCTTCTCCTTTGGCTTGCCTAGACATTCCTCAGCCTTGTGTCCAGTCTGTCCGCATAGTCTACAGCCCCGAGGTCTCGAGTCCTGGGCGAACACATCCTCACGCAATACACGGAAGTAGGGTTCATGGGTAGCAAGACCCAGCATGATCAGATCGGCGTCCTATTGAGATTTTGGTTAGCGCTTGCATGGCATCATTGAACGGTTATCATAACTTACCAAACCATAGATAACATGGCGAGTGTTGGGGTCGTGACCAGGCGAGGCGCGCTGTGATCGCACGAATTCCATGATCTTGTGCTCTCCTTCTCCAGGAACTGTGGCGTCCGAAATGATGATTTTCAACTGTCAAATGTCAGAATGCGCATCGCTACTAGGATAGGAAATACAAGGTCTAAACGTACATTTTCCCAGCCCGGGTCGGTGTTGAGTTTGTAGGCAATCCAATATCGCAGCGAAGCAGCGAGGATGTCCATGAAGGGTGTTCCCGGTGTGATGACATTGCTATCCCACGTCTTCTGAACAACCTCCTCCTGGATCAATTGCTCGCCGGTCTTTGTCTGATGCTGCTTGGCAAGCATCTTTTGGAGCTCCTCCTTCTTGTCGTCATTCTCTTTAGCTTCTTGCGCCGAGCGGAATCGACGTGCGCGCTGCTGGTTCATCTTGGCTCTCGGGGCGACGCCATCTGTTCGTAAGATTGTGGTTAGTTCAACGGCAATTTAACGATATGGGAATAAGAGCAGAGCCGCGCAAAGCTCTATTGAGGCATGCACATACCAATAGCAATCATCAGAAGCTTCCTGGGGCGGACCATGTTGACCACGCGGTCGGTGTACTTGTAAATCTCCAGCATCATCTCCTGCTCGTTCGCTGGTGGGGGCTTTCCCTCCGGATGAGTACACGGATGTACAATACCGTTCATATCCAGGTAGAGATTATCCTGCTCCTCGCCATTGGGGTTGGGACCGGTGATATCGATCGGGATCTCTTCTCCATCCACTTCTTGTGCTTGCTCCTCAATCACCGGCGAAATGATCTTCGGATACTTGTTGGAGAGCCATCGGAAAAGCGCGGGGACACCCATGATGGCGATGCGACAGCTGCGCGGTCAGGGTATCGCTGCGTCGCAATCGGTTCACGGCGAGCAGCTGCAGGCGCGAGTCGCGATCTCTATAGTGCGGCTTGAGACAGAATAGTCCCAAAGTTTGCACTTCCGAGCCCTTCTACTTTCACCGAGGTAGAAGTAAAGATAAAAGCAGAGTGCAACCGCAGTAAAAATCGCGGTGCAGCGTGTAAGTGATGAAAGCGAAGCTTGGCTGACGAAAAGATAAATTCCGGGCGGTCGGCGATTCTGCTCGGGCCAAGATCGGCCTTAGCCCCCTTCAGTAGGACAGAGGACAGCTTTCTCTACTAACCCCCTCGACTTTCTCCTCTTGATCTCCCTTCGATGTCTATCTACTCATACGCCCTCGGCCGGCGGTGACCATGATATTGCAAATCAGCTGCGATGTTCCGAATCCTCGAGTCGCAAGCTCCGGCCAAACAAACGGCTACGGACACAATTGACGTGTTAAGCAGTAGACTACAAAGTGCTACATTGCTTGAAGATCGAAGGGCAGCAATTCAAGGACTCAGAAGCTTTGCAAAGCTTTATCCTGCTTCGGTGGCCTCCGGTGGTCTGCGATCACTGATCAGCAGTCTACGCAATGACAGCGAGGATGTTGACACCATCAAGGTGGTCCTTGAGACCCTTTTGATGCTATTTACGCCTGATGAATCCAGTGTAGGCAACTCACGCTCAAACAATTATGCCCACTGAGCTACTGACAGCTATTTTTTAGCCTGAAGCGTCGGATGAAATCGCCCTGTGGCTGGCAGATGAATTCACTCAGGTATGCAAAGCCACTCCGGCTATTGTGTTATGAACTAACAAGGTCAAAGCGACAAGACAATATTACTACCCTACTCGACCTTCTCGAAGCCCGAGAGTTCTACTCCCGCCTCTATTCTCTCCAGTTGATGTCACACATTTGCAGTGCACGACCTGAACGAACACAAGAATGCATTTTCACAGCGCCATTGGGTATTTCCAAGCTCGTCAGTACGCTCACAGACGCGAGAGAGCCGGTCCGCAACGGTATGCCGTGGTCGATGTCTGAAATTACTCGGGATTTAGATGGTTGAAGCTGACGATTTGTTTTCTCCATTCTATAGAGGCACTTGTCCTGCTTATCGCCCTCACCCCCGCATCGGAAGAACTGCAGAAGCTTGTGGCTTTCGAGAATGCGTTCGAGATACTCTTTTCCCTCATCGAAGCAGAGGGTGCATTGAGTCTTGGAACTGAGGTCGTCGAAGATTGCCTTTCCTTGCTGGCTCACCTGCTGAGATTTAATGTCTCCAACCAATCGTTTTTCCGTGAGACGGGTTCTATAAAAAGAGTGACAGCACTTCTTCATGAATGCCAACAGGAGCCAGAGGGCGACGAACCCGTCCCTCAATGGACTCAGATCCACCGAGACAAGAACGTCTGGGGTCTCCTGGCCATCATTCAGTTGTTTTTGATTCGTGGTGGCATGAGCACACCCATCAATCAAACTGCATTTTGGCAGAATGGTGTTACAGAACAAGTCCTTAGTATAGCATTTGGCCAAAGATTCAGTGTCAACGTCACATCAAAGGCATTGGCAACTTGTGCTGATCTTATTCGCGGTAACTCACCATTGCAAGAAAGATTCGGTGACATTGAAGTCCTATGGGGCTCTTACACCCGTGACGACCAGGTCGCCAATGGTGATGCACATGAACCACTGCGCATCAACGTCATCGAAGCTTTCCTAAAGCTCAGCCTTGAGCCTGCCCCCAACAGCCTTTTGGATGCACGGTTAGCTGCTTGTGAATGTATGAAGGCATTCTTCGCCCATCATTCTGGAATTCGCATGCATGTTCTCAGGCGAGCAATCGAAGGACATACCAGTGGCCAGGACAAGATCCCAAACATCCTCTCTGTGCTGCTCACTGCGCCGGAATCGCGAGGAAATGCCGATCCATACCAAGTGTGGATGGCATCTGTTTTGATGTTCCACCTGATCTTTGACGACGGAGAGGCGAAGGCACTAGCTATGAGTGTTACCGAGGGCGATGCTGAGAGCGGCGAAGAAGTGGTCACTAGTGTTCAATCTGTGGTCGGGAACCTAATTACTGGTTTGCAACGCGGCGATGATGAAAGAATCACAGTTGGCTACCTGATGTTGCTCTGTGGTTGGCTTTTCGAAGATCCGGATGTCGTGAACGATCTCCTTGGAGAGGGCAGCAGTATCCAAACCCTGCTGCAGGAGATCAAACACCAGCGGGTACCCAGTAAATTGGTACCTGGTCTTTGCACTGTCCTATTGGGTGTCATCTATGAGTTCTCTACTAAAGACTCGCCCATCCCTCGCATCACGCTTCACAAGTTGCTTGTTGAGCAACTCGGAAGAGAACAATATATCGACAAGATTACGAGGCTTCGAGAATGTGAATTGGTCCGCGACTTTGAAGTGCTACCACAAACCTCAGGTGGTCAGCTTGAGGGTGGATTACCTGAGGTATTCTTTGATCGCTCTTTCATTGAGTTCCTCAAGGATAACTTCAGCCGTCTGCTTCGGGCTATTGATCGTGAACCAGGATTTGAGATTTCTGTCGTTGCCAACGGCGTCGAAAAGGGTGTCTCACGTGAGCTTGTGGATTCTTTGCGCGCAGAGCTCGAAGATCGGACCCAAACCCTCCAAAAGCTGGAGTCTGATCTTGTCAGCATCCAACGAAAGCTTGATCAGGAGCATCAGGATCACCGAAAAACCAAGGAATCCGGCACTATTGAGTTGACGAGGGCCCAGCAGGCCCAGCAATCGCTACAATACAGTCATGCACAGGAGTTGTCGCACCAATTGTCAAGGCTAGAAGAGCAACACAAACATGCCCAAAATGATTTATTGAAGCAACACGGTGACCAGCTCCGCGCGATCGACAGTCAACTCAAGGAGGTTTCTGCTGAGTCAGAAAGAAAGAGTCACCAGGCCAAAGAAGTGAGAGAGTATCATGAGCGCGAAGTTGCTGGTCTGCAGAAAACCATTCGTGGCTTGGAGGCAGAGCTCTCTCGCATCCAGGAACAACATATGGCAGAGGTTGCCAATTTCAACAACAGAGCCCGAGAGTTGGAAAATGTCATCACCAAGTCCAGGGAGTCATACAAGGCACAGGGTACCGATCTTGAAAAGAAAATTCAAGTGTTGGAAGAGACAAACAGATCTCATTATGGACAGGTTGCGGATCTTAACAAAAAGATCCAAGAGTTGCAAAGCACTATCAGCCAGTCCGAGGAAATCCACGGTAGCCAGGTAACCGAACTCGAAAAGCAGATTGAAAACCTCGAAATCTTGAAGAAAAGTCACGGCGAACACGTGACGGATCTCCAGAACAAGATCCAAGATCTGGAAAACAACAAGAAATCTTCTGATAGCCAAATTGCCGATCTCCAGAAGCAGATCCAGGATCTAGAGAGTACCAAGAAATCTCACGACAGAGAAGTCACCGAACTCAAGAACAAGATCCAGCACTTAGAGAGCACCAACAAATCTTCTGATGGAGAAGTCACTGGCCTCTATAAGAAGATCCAGGATCTGGAAAGCACCAAAAAGTCTCACGATAAGGAAGTCACCGACCTTAAAAACAAGCTTCAAGAGCTAGAAAGCACGAAGGGGACCCACGACGGTCAGGTCACCGATCTTAACGAGAAGATCCGAGACCTAGAAAGCGCCAGAAAATCTGCTGAAGGTCAAGTTGCCGATCTCGAAAAGAAGATCCAGGGGCTAGAAAACACCAAGGGTACCCAAGGTGGACAGGTCAACGATCTAGAGAAGAAAATCCAGAGCCTGGAGTCTTCATTGGCAGTATCCAAGAAGGAACACGAGAAGGAAGTTACTGACTATAAGAAAAAGCTTGAATCCCTGGAGTCGGATCTTTCCAATGCCAGAAAAGACCACGAGAACTCGGCTACTGGTCACAGTGATACGGTTGGGACTCTAAAGTCAAACCTCGCTACAGCCAAAAAGGAGCATGAGACTGAGATCGCTGCTTTGAGAGAAAGGATCGCATCCCTTGAGTCAGATCTTGCCAAGTCCCAGAAGTCCAGCAAGGACCTTCAAACAGCCCAAGAAGACACCTCAACTAAAACCTCTGCGCTGGAAACTCGGGCCAAAGAAGCTGAAGACAAGGCCAAGGAGGCCGAGTCTCAGGCTCGCAGTGCTGCGGACGCGCTCAAGGCCGTCCAGGCTCAGCTTGAAAAGGCAAAGGCGGAAGCGAAAGAGAAAGAGGAGTCTCGTCAAACCGCCCAGTCTGAACTGGAAGACCTTCTAATCGTCTTCGGAGACCTAGAGGCGAAGAGAACCCAAGACAAGGTACGTTTAATGAATAAAATTTGTGGAACAAAACCACTAACAATACACAGAACCGACTCAAGGAGCTTGGAGAAGAAGTCTCAGAGGCTGAGGACGATGACGAGGACGAGGACGAAGAGGACGATGAGTGATAAGAGGAATGTCTACTGAGTATATAGCTGCACAATCGAGAGTAACTTCCTTCACGGATAGCTGTATCACCATTGGAAATTATTATTCGAGTCATCTGCTGTAAATTCTCCCATTGACTCGTCTACTCCCTCGTATACTTCACCAATATGCCTTTTAAGGAAGGCGGTAAACAAGGAGGGGAGGGCATAAGGCGCGCACTGGCAAAAAATCAATGGCGGGGTGAGTCACTTTTTTGGATAATCTTCACTCTACATCTTCGGGAAAATCGCAAACCATTCCACCATGTCGATCGATTTTCCTGCCGAGGAGGAGCTCGTCCTCAACCGGTGGAGAGAGATCAATGCCTTCCAACGGCAGGTCGAACTCTCCAAGGGCCGTAAACCTTACACCTTCTTCGATGGTCCTCCCTTCGCAACCGGTCTGCCTCACTATGGCCACCTTCTCGCCTCTACTATCAAGGATATCATTCCCAGATACTGGGCTATGAAGGGTCATTACGTCGAGCGACGATTTGGCTGGGATACCCACGGTGTCCCCATCGAATATGAGATCGATAAGAAGCTCGGCATGTCCGGTCTGGAGGCAGTTCAGAAGATCGGAATCGAGAAGTACAACGAGGAATGCAGAGCAATTGTTATGAAGTTTGCCTCTGAATGGCGTCAGGTAAAGTCCCAGAATGGATTCACAACTTGCCTTGCCCAGCATAGAATTAACACTCGAAATAGACTATTGAACGTCTGGGTCGTTGGATCGACTTTGACAATGACTACAAGGTAACATCTATATGGCCGGTCGTCGGTGTAACTTGCTAATTGTCTTTAACTTAGACTATGAACCCCTCCTTCATGGAATCCGTCTGGTGGGTTTTCAAGGAGCTCTTCGATAAGGGCCTGGTCTACCGTGGCTACCGTGTCATGCCATACTCCACTGCTCTCAACACCCCTCTGAGCAACTTCGAAGCGCAACAAAACTACAAGGATGTGCAGGACCCTGCCATTGTCGTGACTTTCCCTCTTCTGGATGACCCTGAGACTTGTCTGCTTGCATGGACCACCACTCCATGGACTCTCCCCTCCCACACCGGACTGTGTGTTAACCCCACTTACGAGTACGTCAAGATCTACGATGAGGCTACAAAGAAGAACTATATTCTGCTGGAAGGCTTGCTCAGGACGATCTACAAGGACCCTAAAAAGGCCAAGTTCAAGATTGTCGACCGCTTCAAGGGCTCTGACATGAAGGGATGGAAGTACCAGCCTCTCTTCGATTACTTCTACGAGGAGTTTAAGGATTTTGGTTTCCGAGTCCTGAATGATGAATATGTCACCAACGAGGACGGTACCGGAATCGTACACCAAGCTCCATCTTTCGGTGAGGATGATTACCGGGTTGCTCAGGAGCACGGTGTGACCGACGAGAAGCGCCTGGCGCCAAATCCTCTCGATGCCCAGGGTTGCTTTACACCTGAAGTCAGAGACTTCGTAGGTCAAGGCGTGAAAGCCGCGGATAAGGGAATTATCAAGCATCTGAAGGCCAACGGCCGCGTTCTTGTTGACAGCCAAATCACTCACTCGTACCCGTTCTGCTGGAGAAGTGATACACCCCTTATCTATCGGGCCGTCCCCTCGTGGTTTGTTCGCATTGGTCCTATCATTCCTGATATGCTCAAAGGAATCTCAGAGTCTCACTGGACTCCCTCTTTCGTCAAGGACCGGAGATTTGCGAGCTGGATTCAAAATGCACACGATTGGAACATTTCACGTAGCCGTTTCTGGGGTACGCCTCTACCTCTCTGGGTGTCGGAGGATTACAAAGAAGTGGTTGCCATTGGTAGCATTGAGCAGTTGAAGGAACTCAGTGGATACACTGGTGAAATCACCGACCTTCATCGTGATAAGGTCGATCACATTTTGATTCCGAGCAAGGAAGGAAGAGGTATGCTCAAGCGTGTCGAGGAGGTTTTCGACTGTTGGTTCGAGTCCGGTAGCATGCCCTACGCTTCTCAGCACTATCCCTTTGAGAACAAGGAACAGTTCGAGAATGGTTTCCCTGGCGACTTCGTTGCTGAAGGATTAGATCAAACTCGAGGCTGGTTCTACACTCTCACTGTTCTTGGTACTCATCTGTTCGGCAAGCTTCCTTTCAAGAACTGTGTGGTTAATGGAATCGTCCTTGCTGAGGATGGTAAGAAGATGTCGAAGAGACTCAAGAATTACCCGGATCCCACTCTGATTATGGACCGTTATGGCTCTGATGCACTTCGTCTCTACTTGATCAACTCTCCGGTCGTCCGTGCCGAGCCTCTTCGTTTCAAAGAGTCCGGTGTCAAGGAGATCGTTGGAAAGGTGTTGCTTCCTTTGTGGAACAGCTACAAGTTCTTCGAAGGCCAGGTGGCTCTCTTAAAGAAGACCTCCCGCATCGACTACATGTTTGATCCTAAGTTGGAGGCCACCAACACCAATGTCATGGATCGTTGGATTCTCGCCAGCTGTCAAAGTCTTTTGATCTTCGTCAACCAGGAGATGGCTGGTTACCGCCTGTACACTGTTGTGCCCCGTCTTCTCGAGCTGATCGAGAACACTACAAACTGGTACATCCGTTTCAACCGCAAGCGTCTCAAGGGTGAGAACGGTGTTGATGACACTTTGCACGCCCTCAACACTCTTTTCGAGGTCATTTACACCCTGATCAGAGGACTTGCTCCTTTCACTCCCTTCATCACCGACAACATCTACCAGCGTCTTCTTCCTCACATCCCCGAGGCGCTCCGCGCTGAGGACAGCCGCTGTGTCCACTTCCTTCCATTCCCCGAGGTCCGCCAGGAGCTTTTCGATGAGGTTGTTGAGCGTAGAGTTTCCCGTATGCAGAAAGTTATCGACCTTGGCCGCGTCTCTCGTGAGCGTCGGGCTATTGGTCTGAAGACCCCTCTGAAGACCCTTGTCGTCATCAACAAGGACCCGGAGTACCTGGACGATGTTAAGTCGCTTGAGGGATACATTTTGGAGGAACTCAACGTTCTCGAACTTGTTCTGTCCTCCGAGGAGGCCAAGTACAACGTCGAGTACAGTGTCAACGCGGACTGGCCTACTCTGGGTAAGAAGCTCAAGAAGGACGTTCAGAAGGTTAAGAAGGCCTTGCCTTCGCTCTCTAGTGATGATGTGAAGGGCTACCTTGCCAACAAGAAGATTCTGGTCGACGGTATTGAGCTCGTCGAGGGTGACCTTGTTGTGAAGCGTGGAATCAGGGAGGATGACGGCTCAAAGGGCATGGAGACCAACACTGATGCTGATGTGTTGACCATCCTTGATATTAACCTGCACCCTGAACTCGCTCACCAGGGTCTGGGTCGTGAGATCATCAACCGTGTCCAGCGTCTTCGCAAGAAGGCCGGTTTACTTCCCACCGATGATGTGAAGATGGAGTACACCGTCCTTTCGGACCCCGACAGCATTGGTCTCGGCGAGGCTTTCAAGTCCCAGGCTCAGGCTATAGAGAAGGTTCTGCGCCGCCCAGTTGAGCAGAGTTCCTTCACCGACGGTAAGGTTCCGAGCGCGGATACCGAAGGCACCATCTCGCAAGAAGAACAGGAAGTCCAGAATGCGACATTCTTGTTGCGTCTTCTCAAGCTCTAGAGCACCAAGCTTGGTCTATGTCGAAATTACCCAAAGAGCATATGTAGATAGAAGTCTACAGTTTACATTTCCCTTTTCACTGCTTTAGGAATGAAAATATATTCATGAGATTTCAAATTCTTCCCTTAATATATAGAACTCGCATCGAATGCATCAGTAGTGAAATTCAAGACAGTATAATTTATAAGGCCAGCTCATATGCGCCAATGGAACCGAAATCATTAAACCTTTAAACGCTTTATTGTACATAATATCGAGACCTTCCGCTTAGCCCTTTTTGGAGGCCGCCTGTACAAGCTGGTCAGCAAGTTGGCACTCACAATGCTTGATCAAATTACTTACCAGATAGCAGTTCTTCAGTCTCATAAACTCTTTGGCGCACATATCTTTGTGCACTGAGTTGTAATCCGTGACGACACACTTGCCGTATGCCGCAACCTGTCTCAGTTAGACTGCAATACAAAGTGTTCGGCCACGGGATACAAACCTCTGCGGAACATTGAGCAGAAGCTTTGGCAATCTTCTCCACGGGACGAGTTCTTGCAGGCATCTTGTGCGTATTGATGGTGCTTGAGCTTGGAATGAAGTGAAGGAGAATCCAGGGATGTTACCTAATACGTATATGAGCACGTGACCGCGCCGCATGTTTCTGTCGCGACCAACCAAAACAACTCGGCCAAGACTCCGATTGATGACTCTATTTCTTTTCTTGCGCATTTGCTGATCGCAGACAAGCTCTGCTTGCGCATGTATTTTCTCTGCATGTCCCGCTTTCGCGATGATTTATTTGGTACGCCTCTATGACCTAGATGCGACAAGCGCGCCTTAAGATCGCGAATTTCGATGCCTCCGATATCCTCTCAGCGCCGAGCCGTGACCGAAGAGAACTCGTCTCTTTCAGACGAAGGTAGGATTTAATTCAACACCTATTATCCGTGACGTGAGCCTAATAGCGTCGTCTTAGATGTCGGCTTTCTCTACCAGGTTATCTCTGACGCAGAGACGAAGCCCTCGGTCGATCTACTCCCTTTCCGCGCGCTTTTTGAAGCATACGATGAAGCCATTGAGGAACATGGCAAGAAATACGGCGTCGATGCAGACCCAGGCCATGCCTGCTTGCGCTTCCTGTTCAAGATGGGAAACAAAGACGTGCCCGGGAAGACCCTTTACGACAAATTCGAGAATTTGCTTCAGCAGATGAACATCGCGATTCAGTTCAATTTCAGCGATGGTGATGATTCGACAGATGGCTACGGCAAATATACGGTGGATAATACTCCCAGCGAGTCTCCCATTACGAACGGTGTACCACCACCTACTCCGAAACGACGCGCCTCGTTCAATACCACAGTTGACATTGGCGAGGATGTTACACAAAGGAGTTTCATCAATCGTCCAAGCTCTCGCTCGTCAATGTCGCGACTTGAAGTTGGCAAGCCCGAGTTTCAGAAACCCAAACTGTCACCTACGCCCAATCCCCATTCCGGCCTTGATAAGTCGCCAGATCGGACACAATTGATTAGCCAGTTCTTGGATGTTGGTCGTCGGTTGCTAAGTAGATTCGACGGGGTTGAAAACAAAGACTTAGTCAAGGAACAAGCCCCGGTAACAAATGGATTAACCAATGGGGTGGTGGCGAGATCAGCAGTCGCTCGCGATCGTTCAAAGAGATTGGCTGAAGCTTCACGTTCACGTTCAAGTTCACATCAACAACGCGCTCACTCGCCTGATTCATCAGCCACTGAGTCCGAGGATGCGCAGTCAATTCTATCGGAAGGCCCAGAGCACGATTCATTCGAAAAGGAAGAGGCTCCGCCAGAATATATTTACCGTCCACAACTCTCCGATCTAATTCGGGACGCATCAACTTTCAACATGTACCGACAACGGTCGATTTGCCGTCGAATCTTGACATTATGGTTGAAAAAGGCATTCCAGGCAAGACAAACGCGACAAGCTAGAGAAACGATCGCAATCAATTATGACCGAGGTCTTCTTACCCGACAAGCCTTTGAACCATGGCGGGGGGTCATTCAAGATAAACGTCACTCAGCTCAAACGGAACGGTTTTTCAAACACCTTGAAGAGCGTGCCAGCCGTGCGCGCGATCTATATTTGATGACGAAAGCGTTCAGTCACTGGGCTCAACTTACCTCGGATGAAGTAGCTCGTACTTCTGCTGCCAGAAGACATGTTCTTGGAGTCAAGTATTTTAGCGCATGGCGTGAGATCACTGCAGTCAACGAGTTGAAAGCTCAACGCTTTGCCTTGCGGAGGCCTTTCAACACATGGCGGAAGAAACTCCAGGATCTGAAGGCGGCAGAGGCCCAAGCTGTTGCTTCTCGCAAAGCAAAGATGCAAAAAGCGTCATTCTGGCACTGGTGGTGGTGTTTCTGCGATCGCCGTGTCCTCGAATTATCCGACTATCGACTAAAAAGACGGTCACTTCTTGCTTGGCTTCGAAATTTCCGAACCAATCGAGAGCGTGACCACGAAATAGATCTACACAACAGACGGTCATCTCTTAAGTCTGTCCTCCAGATATGGTCTCATCACTCAAAAACCATTGCTTTTGCAGAGCAGGAGGTTCAGAATTCTCGACGTCAGCATGCCCTTAAAGACACTTTCGATGAATGGAGAATTCAGTCTCGGCTGGCCCCGGCTGCTTCTCGTGTATCAGAGATGGTTGATACGAGGATTGTGCGAAATGCTCTCTCACAGTGGATCGCAAAGGCTCAAATGGCGAAACAAGCTGAAGAAATGGACCGTATTCGTGTTCAGCATAATGCATGGACGTCTTGGAACGACACGCTTCGTTGCTTGGCCCTCCGTGCTCGAATCGATGAGCGGCTCAAGATGGAAGCCATGTACAAGTGGATTTTGCTGGAGAGGTTCGAGCTGATGCGGAGAATACGCGAGCAGCGCATCAAGCGGGAAGTGTTTTCTCGATTTGTGACAAATACCCGAGGCACATACACTCGCTTGCTGTTCCATGCAGAAATTCATGAAGATCACCGAACTGAAGACTTGGTGCGGTCCAAACTCGCCATTTGGCGGGATCAAGTGCAGCTCCAGCGCGAGCGAGAGTATGTGGCATCTGAGTTCTATGCTCCGCGGCTGGCAGCCGAGTCTCTTGCAATTTGGCAATCCAAGCATAAACAGGTGCTCAAGATGGAAGGATGGGCCAATGATGCCCGATACTACTTCTTGGTGAAGAGGACAATGAAGCAATGGCATCAGGCCAAGGTGGATTCCGGCAAACGAAGGCGGCAAGAGTCGTACGCAAAAGTTCGACGGAAGATCAAAGTCAATCTCGCCTCCAAGGCGTTGGCTGTCTGGGCCTCAAAAACGCGGAACATCCTTGAGATGGAGCAACAGGCCAGTGATGTTGATCGTGACAAGTTGCTGACGGATACATCTGAGATATTTGTCCAATGGCATGAGAAGACCACCAAGAGGATACAGGACGTCCAGGATGCCGACGATTCTTATTTCAGACAAGTTGCCTTCGGCCAGCTAATGCAAATATACGAAACCTTCGTCATTCACCGTGAGATGGAAGATCAAGCAGACAATGTCCTCCGATTGCATGTCCTGAAACAGTCGGCTGCTTCCCTTCGCAAGATGAGTCTTCGCATCTTCCAGATCAGCAGTACCACCGAGACTGCCGAAGCTATGCGTGAAAGAAATCTCAGAAAGCATTCCAGAAACATGTTCCGTAACTGGGTGGACAACGCCAGAATGAAGCTAGAGGCTCGAGACTCTGCTGGTCCGCCTATGACTCCCGGTCCAACCCTGACACCTGCACGAGTTTCAAATTTCGGGCAAGTAGATGGCGCTGGCTCAGCGCTATTCGACCCCTGGTATCAAGACGAAGCCGAAACACCCTTCAAACTCAGCGACTTTACGAACACCTCCCAGGAGCCGGTCTCCGCCACGCCCCTTGCAACCCCGAGTTTCACTACATCACCTTCTAAACGAGCCGCGCGAGCACGAGCACTGGCACAGATGTCCACCACCCCCGCCACCCCCTTACGCACCCCTTTCGCAAGTCGGCTCCTTCGCGCCGGTACCACAACTGGCCAAATCACATCCTCCATCCGGCCACGCACTGGTCGACGAACCTCCGTAGGAACCAGCGTCCGCTTCGTGGACGAGGAACCTCCTGAGTCTCCGACAGATGGTCGCCGATCAGCGAATCGACGACCTTGACGTTCTCGATCGGTATATGAAGTCTTCCAGCTGCTTCAACCTCCTGTACATCAGCGATGATTATAACTTTCCTTTTCGTGTCTTGTTGATAGTTGTTTCATTCTATGCATCAACCGGCGCAACATATAGCGAGTTCAGGGATTCTGGGGTTTGGTATACAATGTACTTTGACATGAATGAACGTGACATTAACGTTAATTGTATGAACTTGAGAATTGCCAGCTGTAAAAATTCGTAGACTTGGTACAATGGCATGTTCGCCAACCGTGTCGATCAATGTGAGTACTGATTAACTTAACTGCTCCTTATCAAGTAGCTCTGTAGCTATGCTTTGGTGTTCGCGAAAACTTTAACCCAGAACAAAATACTTATATCAAACAAACAACAAACTAATCACCGATATAATGGACATTAGGGGCATCCCCTTGCCCAAAACGAGGCTATCGAGGGTCATTCGTCACACTGAGTGGAGCGGATGCGTAATTGACAACTCTCCCGCCTCCGCGTATCTAGACTTCCCCATCATCCAACTACCTTCATTCCGCTCCCTCCTCGCGCCTCCTGCTCCTCTCAGGAAATACAAAATTCGAACCTGGCAATGGTGTAACGTGACCCCAAGCGCAACGAGCGTCCAACCTCCGAACCAACCGCCTCTATGCGAGCGGTACTGCCGGGGAGACCCCCAGCGAAGCTCCAGTCGTTCAGCACGGTGCTGTGGGATGGTCTTCGTGTTGTTGTATGTGCTCCTCCAGACTGAAAATATGTTACTCCAGCTCCAGTGCCCGGTTAAACTCTTCTGTCGCTGACCTTTGCGCGCGCGTTCTAGGCATACATCTCTGGCCACGCGCTGGTCATCCTCGGCGGTCCGCAGAAGCTTCTACAAACCATTTACGTCGACGACACCGATGCTCTTGAAGCTGTAGCTTTTGAAGAGACCTCGGGGAAGATTGCTGTTTGTGGGGGCCCCGATGTGTTCGTGTACCAGCCGTACGGCATCCAGGGCGAGGCTTTAAAGGTGCGCATACAATTCAATCCCGAAGCTTGACTTGGCGAACTAGAGGCGCGCGAGAAGGACGAAAATATATGTTGACACATGGCTATATTTAGTGGTCTCTCCTTTATACGTTCCGCGCCGGCGATGACAATGAACCGATCTACACGCTATCGTGGGGTTCTCCGAACGAGCTCCTAGTGGGCAACTCCAGGCTCGCCCTCTGGTTTCTGAATGACGAACCGCGCCTAGTATGGAAGCGCCAGCTTGCAACTCCAGTGAAATTCGCGCAATTCTCACCAGATTCAGCTTTGATTGTTACAATAGGCAAATACGATCGCTTGGCCAAGATATGGAGGCGGCTCGCGTTTGGTGCGGACGAGGTCCGGTTTGAGGTCTCGTATCTCCCGCACCCGAATGTCGTTACTGGGATACACTGGCGAATGCCGCGACACCCTGAGCAATCTATGGATAATGTTCTATACACATTTTGCGCCGACAACAAGATCCGGGTATGGGCGGTGACGGACCACCATGCGCTATCTCCGCTACAGTTCTGGGCTGCGATTGATATGAGTGAGTCGGTTCAACCTAGACATACCTTAGATGAGGAACAGGGACCACAACGGCGATATGGGTTTGTCTTGGACGGCCGCGACTTTTGCGCCGCAACTGAGCGTGCCGTTCAGAGGACCGCAGGGAATAAAGAAAACCATGCACTGGAACATATCATCGAGGTTGCCAGCAAAGCGCCGGAGATCTGTGTCGTGATTGACGGTCAGGGCCATATGTCTGCTTGGGCCTTGGAAGATGTTGGTTCTAAAGCAAAGTCCAAGTTGAGCGTCTTCAATATTCTCCACGTGGAGGGTTTGGAGTTTGGATTCGCAGCTGATAGGTCGTTGCAAGAGGACTATGCTCAAATCCATGCATTCCAGAATACATCATCGGACGACACATTAAGCGTTCTGGTTCATCACTTTGATGGCCGGATTGAGTGGTATGATTCCCATGTTGATGTTCTCTTTGACCCTGCACCTCGAACAAAACGAATCATACAGACAGCGTCATGGTCCGGTCACACGGCTCCGGTCAAGAAGATTGTCAGAAACGCCGTTGGGGATACACTTGTGTCGCGTACTAGCGAAAACAAAGCAATGGTGTGGAAACAGCGGCGCCATGATGGTGGAACAAGATTGGCCCATAGAAGCGTGGTGCTCTCTGATGAGCATATCCACCGCACATGTGTGTTGGAGAACAGCGGTCTTCTTGTCAATCTCCACCATAATGGTATTTCACTGTGGGATTACGGTTCATATCATGCAAAGAAACTGGCTTCATTGCCATTTGCTCAGGCTAGCAAGCCGCTCTGTGTGCTCCCAATCCCCAGCACTGAGACCACTGCGGGCGTTGCTTATGTAGCGACTATCTGGGCAGATATGCATGGCATCGCTTGGGAAATCAGATGGCCCAACAAGGACAGTCGGGGCGAATTTGGAAATGGTGCTGGCTATCATCTACGAGAGTTCTGCAAATTTGACATGGGATTGAAAGAAGACATTGCATACATTCTTCCCGTCGACCCAGCCGGTCCCAAACCGAAACACTATGGCTTCCTCGATTCTTTTTCTGCCGACATCGCTCTCTCATATACATATAGCGGCGTTGTGCGTACATGGACCGCCAAGGTTGACCCTGCAAATGCAAAGGCCGAATGGCTGCTGCAATCCACAGTTGACACTGGCATCACGAACCCCTCTCTGGCCAGTGGAAGCTCCATTCGCAAGGCAGCTTTGGTAGACGAGGATCGGACCCGTCTTACCATTTGGGATACCAACAATGCCCAGTTGGAATTTGAGGAACGGTTCGCTTCACATGATATCATTCGGGATCTTGACTGGACCTCGACACCTCACAAACAATCCATCTTGGCCGTGGGATTCCCACACAAGGTTGTTCTTCTGTCACAGCTTCGTTACGATTATTTAGATTCCCGACCTTCATGGACTCAGGTTCGGGAGATCTGGATCCGGGATCTCACACCCCATCCCATTGGAGACTCTTGCTGGCTGAACAATGGTCATTTGGTCATAGGCGCAGGTAATCAGCTCTTTGTTTGGGATAAGGATATCGATATTGGAGACCGTCTGGTTTCTGAGCTTCGAATGCCGTCTCGGGGACTGCCGTCCGTCGATATGTTCGACGTTGTTAGCCGGCTTAATGGCCCGCTTCCTGTGTTCCATCCACAATATCTGGCACAGTGCATCCTGGCTGGGAAGACCAGTCTAGTACATTCTATTCTGTTAAACCTGCACCGGAAACTGAAGTTCTATACCGAGGGTGACGAACTAGATGGCTTCTTGGAGATACCGGTTGAGTATTTCTACGAGGACGATGGCTCTCGACAAACGATGTCTAAAGAAATGCGCTCCTCGTACATCGATTCCACTGACGAGGAATTATCCTCTGTCATGGATGAAAACACTGCGACTGCACTTAACGAGAACTTGGCACGCATTGCTCTCCCACAATTGTCCAGCCACGAGCAATTCCGTCTGGCTGATACCATTGAATGTGTCGCAACGGTCGAGAAGCACAGGCGATCAATGGACGATAATGCAGCACGCTATCTCCTGTTCTTCCGACAGCACATGCTGCGACGGACTCAAGGAGTTGCCAACAAAGACGCAGTCTCATGGCGAGAGATTGTATGGGCTTATCACAGCAGCAGCCAAGACATCCTCACGGATCTAGTATCACGACAGTTCAATGGGAAGTTGATATGGAAGGCTGCTCGAGAGAGCGGTATCTTCATGTGGCTCTCGGATCCGGTAGCTGTTGTACGTATTTCTTATCATATATTTTGATGGTGGCCAGAACTGACTCTTCAATTAGAAAGCACAACTCGAGATCCTTGCTCGGTGTGAATACACCAAGACAGAAGAGCGGAATCCCATCGACTGCACTCTGTATTACCTGGCTCTTAGGAAGAAGAATGTTCTCCAGGGTCTCTGGCGTATCGCACATTGGAACCGCGAACAAGCAGCCACCCAGCGTTTGTTGTCGAATGACTTCAAAGAACAACGATGGAAGACATCCGCACTCAAGAATGCATATGCATTGCTCGGGAAGCGACGATTTGGTAACTTTGACCAGTTTCCGTCAAATTGAAACAAAGCTAATATCTATCAAGAATATGCTGCATCTTTCTTCCTTCTTGCAGACCACCTACGTGATGCTGTAAATGTGATCATAAACCAGATGGGTGACCTCCAGCTTGCGATCGCAATTACGCGAGCCTATGAAGGAGACAACGGACCAGTTCTCCGAGAAATCCTTGAGGAGAAAGTCTTACCCGAAGCTGCGTCGCAGGGCAACCGCTGGATGGCCTCGTGGGCTTTCTGGATGCTTAGACGGCGAGATATGGCAGTGCGGGCACTGATCGTAAGTTGCATGGTTTCCCAACTATTAAATTCAAACTAACACGGCTCTAGTCACCGGTCGAGACTCTCCTATTACCACCGACCCCGGCCTCTCCAGCAAGCCCGGGGCGAGTAACCCTGCAATCAAAATCCTACCTTTCTAACGATCCCGCCTTGGTCGTCCTCTACCACCAACTCCGCGCAAAGACCCTCCAAACCCTCAAGGGCGCCTCAAAGGTTCGACCCCATGAGGAATGGGAGTTTGTCCTCCGCAACGCCAGACTCTACGACCGCATGGGCTGCGATCTCCTCGCTTTAGATCTGGTGCGCCACTGGGAGTTCCTAGGCGGATTGCCCATGAAGGACTCAATGCACGCTAATACTTCTCTTGAAATGAATGAGAACGGCGTTGATTATCGGAAGTTGCTTCGTCGGCGAAGTAGCCTGGTTGTGGCTGACTTGCCGGTGCGACTTTCAGACTCCCGGGTTCCTGTAGGGACCGAGACGACTGGGCATGAATCTAAGAAGGAAGAGAAGCCCAAGCCGAAACCGCCGCCGACTATGTTCCATGAGCCTGATGCTAATTCTTTGTTGGATAGCTTTGGGTTCTAGGTTAGCTGTTTAGTCTCCGACCTTGTAGTACTTGCTATCTTCTTGGACCATACCTTACTCTATCGATTGAATGATGATGTTCGGTTCCGCAGTTTGAAGCAAATCTGAACAGTCAGGAAAGGCTTTTTTACTGATACATAATAATTGAACACTGCTTTCAAGGAGACATACTTTCACAAGATAGGATTGACTTTTAGGTTTCTAATATACATGTATGTATTCTGGACAAATTTCATCAAACATCAAAAAGAGAACGCTGAAAGACCCAAATGCCCAAATGAAATCAACTCAAACGAACCGAGCCTTGCGCAAGCGCAAGGCAGACAGACGTCGACGCGAGATAACAGTACGGTTGCCAGCAACAGTACCGTTGTGATGCATGGTCACATTCAAGTGATGAGTACCATTGTGCTTGCCATCAATAAGAACAGAAGGCTTATTCTTCAACAGCTCCATCATCTTATGAACAATCTGCTGACTCTCAGCATGTCCAGCATTGTTAACACGACCCTCCTGCTCAGGCTCACGCTGGTTCTGGGTGATCTGCGACAAATGCCAGGAATCCGAGTTCGACCCGGGAGTCTGGATGTTGTTGATATCCTCAATCGACGTCTGCTTCTCAGCACGCACAGGTTCATTGGGCTCGTTCGTCTGCTGTGTGTTGGCTTGCTTGGCTTGCATCTTGGCCTTAGGGTCCACATCGCCATCCGCAATGCCGTTGATATCTTTGTCGCACACTAGGTTCACCCACACTTGGTTGTATGCTGCGAACTGGCGTCCTTTACATTCACTGACCTCGACACCGTTGCGAATTTCCTTGCTAATCAGAGGTGGGTCGATGCATTCTGGGACCTCGTGCACGGTGATGTTGCAGCCGCTGCCACCTTCTAGGAAGGGGAGGTCGTGGTTGTGGGAGAGAAGTTCGCCGTCGATGGAGATGGCGCTGACGATGCTATGCTCGTAGGAGGGGACTGGGATGCTCTCACAGCTGCCGACTGTGATATCTTTAGATGGCGCTGTTTCTTCATAGTTCTCGTATGTGTCTAGCTTGGAGAAGGCGTCGCCGGGGCAGTTAGGGTAGAAGTGTGTCCAGACTCGGGCGACGCTTTGGGCGTTTTGGGCGTGAACTGCCCCAGAGAGCAAGGAGAGGGAGATAAATGATGTGGTGAGGGAATGCATAGTTTGCTTTAGGGCTTCAATATCCGCAAATAGTGATGGTTGGATATCAGAGTGTGATTGATGATCTGATTGTACCTGACGCTCATCACCACCTATTATATAGACTATTGCCTATCATTCCATTAGTGCACCAGGGTAATAGGATGGCGGGGAAGAATGATTGGAATGGCCTTAATGCTGGACGTGAGACGCGTCTAAAGGCAAAATGGGCCACCGGCGTCATACCAGGTGGCGGGATAGTGTCATAAAATTCGATATTCCTTCTATCGATTGGGTAATTGCACATTCCAATCCCAGAATGTTCGTATAATGCCGATCTAGGATCGTGTGTGGTATGTAGGCGTTGCGTTGCTCCCACATTCCAATTGACGGCTGTAAGCCACTGGATGGCTTGGTAGTGCTTGATCTGCAAGAACAATGAAATGTCATTTGTTGGTCAGATGAGAGATGGCAGTTTAAAAATAATTGGCAATCATGCATGAGGTTGGCCGGCGGCCATCATTCCGGTTGAAGCATTTTTATTGGTGGTTCTTAACAGCCAATTGACCCAGGGGCTAAGTGAGATTATATGACTCGATTATGACGATTTGTGATTGGCCTAACTGGTATTGTATTCATTATGGCCAAGCTCTTAAGTCTATGTTCATGAACCACTTGGATTTCTATTGAATTTGCACACGGCGATATGAAAATCACTTGATACACGTCGTAGAATACAGCCACCGTCCGAGGATTAATCGAGCGTAAGAAAGGATATGACTCTCTTTACACCCCTAGCTTGAAACCACCCCAGTTGAGCCTGGAGAACACTCCTTTAGGATCGTATACCGATCTGACTGTCCTCATACGAGCGACATTCTCCTTGGGGAAACCAGCGTAGGGATCCTGCCATTCACCAGCGTCTCCCATATAGACAAATTCAGAAGCAATGCCCTTTTGTTGGTTAATACTGTGGAGGTGTTCGCTCAGTTGACGAGACCAAGCTTCCATACGGAGATCATCCTGTGCGAGGGCCCAGCCAGTGCTGAATTGCCAAACTGTTGAACTGTGGTTAGCTATTGCTGCACGAAAGTCACTTCAATGGGTTTGTGTCACTTACTTATCAGAGGCTCTTCTTCAAGCCCCCAGACATTACCAACGCCATTGGACTTGGCCACACGGACAGAGGTAGGGGAAATGACATTGGTGACGAAGGTAGGATAAAGACCCTCGACATCCGCGACTTGATCCACTGCACCCTTCCAAGCTTGGAAGATCGAGTACAGGGCATCTGCATCGGGCTTCATGGTCTTGTGAGAGAATTGAACCCTATAAATAACGTGAGTATCTAGGTATATCTAGTGGTACGGGGCTCACGTACCGGAACATTTGCTTTGGAGAATCAAGTAGATTGGCCCAAGGCTTGATCGTGGTAACATTGTGGATGCGTTGAATGGCAGGGACCTTTGTGAAGTTGGCGAATTCGGTAGGGGGGTTGCTGATACCCTCCTGAACACCCAGGAGAGTGCCTTGAGCTATCTTGGTGGTTGTATTGTATGAGATGGTAGCAATCATCCCCGCGGCGGTCGGGTCCTCTTCGTTCAACTTGGCAGCCTCACAAACAGCGGCGAGATATTCAGGGATATGGGTTTCGTTGAAGACCTGGATAGTGGTGCTAACTTTTGGCACATTAAATGTCTTCAGTTCAAATCGCGTAACGATACCGAAGTTATTTGCACCGCCTTTCAAAGCCCAGAAGAGGTCACTGTGGGAGGTCTTGTTGGTGGTGATCTGGGTGCCATTTCCGAGAATGATGTCGTAGCTAACAACATTGTCCATGGCGTATCCGTACTTGTTGAAGTAGTGGAAGCCACCGATCAAAGTAAGACCAGGAACCCCGATTGTTTTCATACGGCCTCCGATGCAAACACGGCCATAGGGCTCGAGTGCTGAGTACACGTCGTACCAGGTGAGACCGGGACCCACGTCTACTGTATCTCTCTTCACCTTGATCGAGTTCAAATTTGACAAGGCAATAAGAACACCAGCGTCGATGTTGTTCGCCCCAGGGTACTGTTTATTGTCAGTCCTCTATTCAAGATGAGCCTTGGGATGAGCTTACATTCATATGACCTCCACCCCGAACAGCAAATTGTGCATTGCAGGAACCAATGATTTTAACAGCCTGCGAAACCTCACTGGCGGTATTGGGTACCACAACACAAGCCGGTGAGAGGTTAGCGCGAACATCCCAAAACTTGTCGACCGTCTCAATGACATAGTCTGTAGAGCCTGGGAAGATCATGCGCTTAGGCATAGAATGACCAAGCTTTGCGCAAGCACACGAAACGCCATTTGGAATTTCAAGAGTGCTAGAACAGGTCCCGATGGAACTAGCCAGAGTGGCCGAGGCACTCGCGCTGGAACTCGAGCCGGCATATGCCACGCCCAAAAGGGATAATCCAGCAATAGGGAATACAAGATGCATATTGTGCGCAACAAATTCAAATTGATATAAATCTGTGAGTGAGAATTGATGCTTGAAACGGTAGGAAATAACCCCTTATATAGCAATTTCCAAAAGTTCTGCCCCCTGATCCACGGTAGCAATACTTGTGAGCCTCGATGCTGTTATCCATAAAACCGAGTTTGTTTCGGTAGTTCTTATGGTGATCACGGCAGGGGCTCGGTTTCGGATCGGAATTTTGGATTCTTGCAAGTCCTAGTCATGCTCCACATGATTCTAACTGGGCTGAGCTTGTTTAGGCAGAGAGAGAAAAGTGCTAAGCCATGGCTCAGCACACTATAATTAAGCTTACCTTGAAAACGACACAGCGTTAAGCGGACATAAATACCCAGGTAGTGACATTTATACGGACCCGAACCCGAGGTATTTTTAAGCTTCCGAGTGCGAGGCCCCCACCAATAGAACGCTGATAGCCAAACTTTGCATCTCGGGTTCGGGTTCGTATAATTTCAAATGAGTGTGTTTTCGACTGGGCAGAGCAGGTTCTCTTTAAATGAACATTACGAATTAAAACATATTTCGAAAGAAAATTAGGTTGCCTTTGGCGGTAGTATTAATCGCGGAGCCCAATGGGGTTTATTCTGGATGCGCTTTATATGGCGCCCAAAAGCGGAAGAAATTCGTTCACAAGTCATATTCTTCTTGTGTATTCTATGCAACAGTCGATGAAACGTTAAACCTACTATTTAAGCCAAAGAGCACCATTCAAACAAGCCAAATAGGTGTCTGCTCCTGTAGTAGGAGCATTATTGGATTAATGCTGTATAATGTCGGACCGCGCGATATTTTCTCGAATTCGAAGCACGGCTGCGATATCTACCAGAGTCAACTTGTCTTTGTGCGGCTCAAGAAGCAATAATTCAAGCAAAAGAGGAAAATATGCGTTTGTCAAGCACTAGAGCCATCGGTGCATTCTCTCTCTCATTTCAGCAACCCTTCCATTGGGGGCTGCCATTTTGATAGCTGAAATAGTTTGCCCGGTCAAATATACGTCAATTAATGTACATGATACAAGCAAAGTACTATTAGCATTTAGGTGGAAGTTACCGTAGGGATACAATTGCAGGACCACTTTTTAATCGGGGCGCTATGCTTGTAGATATATTGGCATATATCATCTATAGTTTACCTATCCAGCCCTCACAAATAGCTACAATATTCCCCTAAACTCACCCGGGGATACCTACTCGACTACTGACCGGCTCGCTGCATATAAGTTACAGGCCGTGGATATGTGATACAAAGCCATCTGGGTTCCAACCGCAAGCTACAAACTCAATCGATGTACAGATGGCGCGAGAACGAGGCATCTGAGATCCCTTTGCGGCCAAGCATAATGTGACAACATCGGGAAGATATAAATCACAGTTCATTTTGCCTGATACCAGCATGCGCAAAAAGAAGTAAAGTAACTCCCTGCCAATCAACCCTGTGGGACTTTTTCCTTTAGATTTTCTCCTCGCAGGATTCATCATACATAATCACGTTCTTTAAATTACAGTAATGCCACTGATATCATACCCAGCTCCTGCGTTCATGATGTGTAACTATGCCATGTCTAACCAACATATTACCTGATAGTTTTTAAGCCAACCGTTTCGGGTGGCATTGTGTACTCATGGAAGATTCCCAGACAGCTGCCAACCACCCAGCCCGTTCAATCCTTCTTCTCCATATACGGCAGGCATGCTTCATAAATCTCCTTATAACCAGGGTACACGGAAAACCTCTGGAACACACTCTCATGAACCACCCTCGCAGATTGGAGTGACCCAGCAATAAAGAAGTCAGTGTAGGTCGGCTGGGCACCCAGCACAAATGGACCGTCGGCCTTGTGTGACTGCATCAACTCGCCCACGGCGCGCATACCGTCGGCTAGCGCATTCCAGCTCTGCTCCTCGTCGGCAAGCTGGTCCTCAAGCCTGTGCCCGAGCGATGCCTCGCGCGTACGTCGGAAGTACTTTTGCGCGCGCGGCGATAGGATGCCCATCTTGCGCGGCATCACGGATTTGAAGAAGATCGGGCCGACCACATGGCGTGATTGAGCCTCGATTTCGCGGCCCAATTCCGACGTCAGCAGTACCGGCAAGTCTGGATAGGTTGATTCGAGGAACTGTGCAATCAGGGCGGATTCCATGACGTACATGTCGCTTACTATATGGTGAATGACGGGAACCGTATATTTGTATTTGGATCCCGAATGGGTTTCGCCAGGGACAAGGCCGCTAGGATATTGGAGATTAGAAGACTTCTTCGCGTGCGACTAATATATAATGCTGTACTTTGGGACATGGAACGGAATAAATGGGAAGGTTGGAGGTGAGGAACAAATAACAAGGGCGGACGTGACTCACAGCGCTTTCAGAGTTGGCTCAATGTCCGGAAACTCAAGGAAGACAGTTCTGTAAGGAATTCGCTTATAGTTAAGCATGAGGCGTATGCGCCAGACAACCGGAGAGAAGCAGACATTCTTGGTGCAGGCTAGGTCGTATAAAACAATCTCGGGCTGAATTTGAACGGTCATTTTGTGCTGTGCTCTAATAACACCATAGGCCGGGAGCAAAATCGTAAATGAAGACTTCTGATGGGTCAATTTCACTGTTCGGCTTTACCCTATGTAGGGGTGAGGAATGGGAAAGTGGGTTTGAAATAGCTCTGAAGAGGGGTTGCTGAGAAGGTGCAAATAAAAGGGAAACGGCCACCGTGGTAAACCAAATAAAATACATATCTTGTGGTTTCGTAGTGTTACGTAAAATACATGTTCTATTTTCGGAAACGGGGGATCTACAGCCAAAATATATCAAGATATGCGTGGTGAATTATGAGAGAGATTCCAGAGGTAACTTTGACCAGGAGCTTCGGTAGAAGGAGCATGAGCCCCAGGCCATCAAACGCGCAACCAAAACAACCATGGCTCCAAGCAGACTGCGACATCCACGTCCAGAGCAGATGCGATAACTCTATCAAGCATGTGTAACGCCGGTAGTACACTATGCATCGACAGTCTGGCATGATCCGCTACGCGACAAGGCTCACCTTCAACACTTGAACACAGCACAGAGGACTCCGCTGTTCTATATTTTATCGGCATTCAGTCAGTCTTAACGCTGATGAAGTCTCCATATGGGATCAAATGCGATATTATGAAGAAGATTAGACCAAATAGACATATAGAGATATGCATGGGACCTAAGAGACATGACCAGCGGGACATGCTCATCATGTTCAACAAGCTAGGATGTGCTTTTGCGAAACGAAGAAGTTTCAGTAGATTTGGGAGAGCATTTGCCCAAGGAGAAATCTGACGGTAAGTCCTTTGTATATTGAACACAAATTTGGATTGATATTGCAACTATTTGTTCGAGACCGACACATCAATGCAGATAGAGCAGAATTGAGACTTAATAGTCTTCCTTGGCTTTTGAAGCAACTGCAAACACTGCATCCTCGGCAAAATGACGATTTAAACCCTAAAGAAACAATTGCATTAGGAATGAGCGAAGGAGACATGCCGAAACCTAAGGGCGAATCAGGTGACACGAGAAGATTTCAGGATAACTTATTAGGCGGAGGAGACAGAGAGAAGAAGAGGATGATGATTCTCTATGAGGAGCAGTGACTAAATAGGTCTTGGACTAGGGCTAGTAAACAAACAAAGGAGGGCTGAACCCTGAGACAGCAATGCTATGCCAATAACCATGAAATGAATAACCATGAAATGAAGAGGCAGTATCCTTATTCGTGCGAAGCCCTAATTGGTATTTAAAAAACTTATTCCAAGAAGATTCGCCTATTGAACTTCGACCGAAAGCTAAAATCCATCGGTATATAGTCATTAAGCCAGCCCCACAGATAAGCTGCATACACAGAAACGGCCCAATCTGGAATCTTCGCTGGCAACTGACCATGGCCTAAATGGATTGCCATGTTATCAACGAAGAGCTCTGACAGTTTATCACCCTCCAGAAGTTTTGATGCTGCAATGGCTGCTAGCTTGTTTCTCACTTCTGCGAGAGGGAGCCTATGTGCATCGAAAACCATATTCATAGCCTTGAAGTATTGGCGGCAGGGACTGTTGGAGGCTGAAAAGAAGCTGGTCTTGATGTTTCCCATTTGAGAAAGGGCCATCGCCTGCTGCTCAATAGTATCCCAACCAGGGAGCGGTTTCAGTCTCATGTCACACATGTGCTCCTGGAGGACAGTCACGGTCTCTAGGCGTGAACCAACAAACGGAGCAATAAGTGGCTTGAATGCCTCGGCGAAGTGACTTGGCAAAACAGGGAGTAAGCCCCATGGCTGCAAGGCGGCCAATGCATGAGCAACTAGCACTGTCTGATGAATCTTCCCCAAACCTAAGGAAAAGCCGGGATTGACTCTTTCCATTGTCTCCCGTTCGTATTCGATATCTACCATTGTTTCAATCGAGTACTCCAGTATGTCAGCACCTGAGATGGATAAGAATTGCTCCAGAGTATATTTGATCTGATCGAGTTGAGCAGCAGAAGGCCAAGCCGTCCAAGCGCAGAGGCTAGCGGGGCCATCACTTTCAGCTGATGTTGCCGCAGGGATAATGACGCGGCGGCCCCCACGCTTTGGCGTTCGCAGTATACCCAATGAATAATCAATGCATCTCTGAACTGGCAGTTTGTTCACGTAGCGTTCAAGGTCGGTAATATGTCTGCAGCCATCATGAGGATCAAAACGTCCAAGTTGTGAGAATGGTCCTCTTTCAACGAGATCCATAGTGCCGAGAAATCCAGTAGATGAAGTCAAACCGGAGATAGAGAACTCGGATATCCGAAATCCACATATAATGAGTAGTGCCGTAAATTCATTCCTGGTGAAGCCGTAACTGACCCTCCCTCCTTCAAATACCATGTCAGCAAGTCGAGGAGCTTCACCAGGACCGAGGTTACCACTGACAGCAGGAAACATCCGTGCCTCAGGGCCGCCATAATTGATCAGGTCTAGCGGGTTGATGCCGGCGTGTGCAAAGAGGTTGCTCCAACCACTGGTCCCGCCACCTTTCCTATAGTCCCAAGTCATTGAGATGGTCAAGTCCTCTCGGTACGCTCTTTGAAGCCACCCTTGAAAACACGGAGCGACACCTTCCACCAAGCCATGTTCGGGCATATTTCTCGTTGGAATGAGGATCGCCCAGTCCCCGGCAGATCTAACCATCAGAAACTTCCTCGACCTGACTAGGGTAATCGCGAGAGCTCGTATTTGAGAGATTATAGCTATCAAGCCGACTCCGGCGAATAGCGCTCCTAGCCATGTCCCAGCCGCGGATGCAATATTAATGTTGTCGCTCAAGAGGAGAGGTGTCATGGCGATTTATACGGCTTTTTCTACTTCCATATGTCAGCCTTCTTGGTCCGAAAAAGGAGTATGATAAGACCCATACGAGGAGAGGATCAACTGCATCAGTGTCAAACGTGCGAATGTTGGAGTTTTGAGGTGCGAAAAAATATAATGCTGAGAGACTGGCAGGATAAGGTGTACATAGCCCCGCCCGCCGCACAGCAAGATGATGGTACCCGCCTTTACGTCGACGTAAGAATGTAAGCCACTTATTTATTATAACACATATTCCTGCATATACCACGTTCTGTTCAACCTGGGCGTTAGAGGCTGTGCACTTGTAAAGAACCGAGGAAGACGTTAATCCACCAATATACGGGGGACAGTAACATTTCGTCCATAAAACATGCCTTTAAGCTTAGATGCTGACAAACGTTCTTTTTACCCCTCGTTCGTAAGGATGAGGTGAGCAGTGCGTTGTTAAGCCAGGGGTTAACATCCAATCAACTGTCACCTGCAGCCTCTGCAGGCCTAGCTAGATTGAGGTGTCAACTTGCGTTTCCCCTTCTCCGTCAATCCGCCCCGTATGGCGGGGGGCGTTTATTAGACGAGAGATCCCTTTATCGGATCCTGCATGACGCGGAGTAGGTGATATCCGTCGCTGCCTTCTGATTTATGACTGACAGCCGGCTGTTGGGTTGGGGCCAGAAAGGCTGTTGTGTGTGAAAAAGTGTATTCGGGATGGTCCGTCCCCACCCGGCACAGGAAACTTAACAAGCTTTCTTTTCCTCGTACTTGCACCCTTTTTGCATTTTTTTGGCCTGCCTTCTCTCATACCTCGCATAATTAAATTTGCACCTGTGTGTCTCACACGACCTTTCCCCATGTCTCCACGTGTCTACAGAGCCAAGACAGGGTTGGTGCAGTTTATTTTCACTCTGACAAAGGGTATGTGTACTCCTATGGAACGGCCTAAAATCGAAGTATTTGCCGAAGGCACCATAACGACAGAAATTCACATGTTGCCTATAGCTTTTAAAAAAGCTTCATAGCTTTAGTCGACTCAGAGGCCTCTTCGACTGGCATTCCCTCAGTGCGGCGGATGCTTTCTAGTCTTTCGCCGCATGGCCGTTGAGGCTGTCGCGGACAACTTTGAGACAATAATCTCAGGCTTCATTGCCAGACTCTGCAAGAATTCTTCTGAGAACCTAGGGGAGCCTTCATTGAGAAGCCAGACATTGTCTTGATAAGCAGACAAGATTGAAATCCCAGTCTGGTGCGCCTTGGAATCCTACCCCAGATCGGTCAACATGCACAATGCACCCATCGATACCCCTCTCAGGCCCTGAGGACTATATCCCCATGATGGGATGTAGTACCTGAGGTGATCGCAATTGTCACCTGGGATGATTATGAGATTCGCGCAAAGGCCGAACTCTTCCAAAACCAAAGCGGCCAGGCTTTCAGGGTCCGCCCATCGTGGAGTTTTTGGGATTGGATAGCCTGCATTGTCAAATTAAAGTCTAATGGCACATAATTCAACACACGTGTACACTTCCCAGTGCGAAAAGAATAACATAGGACTTTCCCTGGCGGCTCTAATCGTGGGGTAGGTATCAATTTCAAATGGCTTGAGGTCAGAGAAGTGGGCTTCTCGAAGGAGGTTCTCGAATATCAATCCCGCAACCCACAAAAGTCCCAGCAACTCAGACATAGATTCTTCCTATGTGATTTGCACCGAGGAACACGCCACAGGACTCTGAAGTAGTGTTTGCCGGCGAGTCTCTGTAGTGTAGGTCTGCACCAGCGGTGACAAACCTTCTGGCAAACTCACGATGCATTCTATGCTGCTCACTGCTCATTGTAGTATTCCATTATTTTACCAGGATCGATAGAGCTAACCCCAGGTAGAAGTCACATGGCAGGGTGGTAATTTGCAGGCCCGTGAATGCTAGCCAATCCAGAGTGTCAAATACCTTGACATCATGGAACACTCCGTGGATTCCAAAAAGTTCGTCGATGGGCTCGGCTGCATACTCGACTCTAGAGCAGACCATCTTGAATAAAAATTTGGTACCCTCAATAAGAAGCGGTAGGTACCTACGGAGCTACTTATATATTCGCACAGAGTACTCCGCACTCCATCAGAAGGAAAGCTTGACCTTTATTAACCCGGCATCGACCCAAATCTGCGTCGCCCTAATGTGGGTCGCAGTAGGTCTAAACTGTGAACGGTGGATATTCTTCAGCTGAAATGTGGCGCTTGGAGATTTGCTGGTGGGGTAATGACGTGAAGGGCAGATTCGCATGAGTTCGTCGACAACTGTTCGTATCCCAGCATTATGCCCCAGGTCTGTCGCTTCAATAAGCGCAATCTCGGTGAGAATATCATGGATAGAAACCGTGATACTGTTCTGTTGCTCCCGTTCTTCCACTCTTGTGTGGGACTAGGAGGCCTCTGGGAACGAACATCGGGATAAGGCCCACTGCGCTAGTATATGACAGATTGGATTGGATCTTGCCGTGCCGATCAACGGGCTGGTAAACAAACCAATCGACAAAGCTAAATCGACTCTGCTCGGTTGGACTTTTTTTCTCCCCCTTTTCTACTCCTCTTCCCCCCTGGGATTTGAAGTTTTTACTAAGTGCTGTATGGTTGGATTCGCTATCCTAAAAGATGGCAACGGGAGTCACCACAATGCAAGTGGCTACAATGCAGGGAGCCATGGTGGAACCGTCACCCAACCAGGCGCCTGAGGGACCGGATGATATGTGGACTGAGAGGCTTGCCAGGGAGTGGAAGGAGATGGAAAGGCGAGTGAAAAAGCTAGCAGAATTGTCTCGCGGGACAAAATACGAGGAGAACCTACAGCCTGGAAATGTGATCCAGAATCTGGAAAGAGTGCAGGCGAAATCCAAGCAGAAAGCGAACTCTACCTGGAACAAGATCAGAGACAGCCTGAACGACACTCTCACTGTCATCGGCAAGGTTGGAGGGATGGCCGCCGATGCCGCGTCACAGGTAGGTTGCTCCACTGGACAGAGAAAGAGTACGTGACTGAACCGAAAGCAGGTCTTCGGTCCTGCTGGGCAATGCTACAACGCCATCAACTTTGTCATCTCTGCATGGAAGGGCTACGTAGAGGCCTTCGAAGTACTGAATGGGCTCCTTGAGGATTGCGCCGAGTTCCTCAATCGTCTGCCCTCGTACACGCAGGGAGGCATGGATGCCAATTTGTGCAGAGTGACTAGTAAAACGCTCGGAATTTTTATAGATATCTGTGGTCGGGCCTTGAAGCTTAAAACCTCTCGCAGTTCGAAGATCGTGATGTTCGCCAAGATCGCCTTTCTTGACAAGGGTGATTTCTCGGACCTCAGGGGCGACATGGACAAAAACACTCAACGAGAAATGCTGGGTGGCATCGCCGGGGCCTATAAACATTCTCGAATCGCGGCAGAGGGAATCACGGCAACAACGGCCTTCTTCGCTGATAGCAAAGCGGAAAGACTAGAGAAGGAACAAGAGAAACGCGACAGTCAAGCTCTCATGAATGCCCTGTCCTTCGAGGAGACCCCTGAGACCTGGAATTTCGTGACGCAGGAACCCATCGAAACCTGGAAAACAATCAACAACACGATCCATAATCGTCGTGTGGCAGGGACTGGCGCCTGGCTGCTCAAGAATGACCTATTCAAAGCCTGGGCCAAATCTGGAAATGAGCCACTTCTCGCATTCGTGGGCGAAGAAGGCGCAGGAAAGAGCCATTTGATCTCCGCCGCCATCAGCCACCTACGAACCCGCGATGCCTTGCCAGTTTCCAGCAAGGACGGGAAATCCAGGCGTCTGGTTGCCTTCCACTATATCGACAACGCAAAGCCTAACGCCGGGTTCTACGATCTGGGAAAGTCGATTATCTGGCAGTTTACCGCAAGTGATGCCTCCTACAAACAATCTGTCGCTGCTGCCTGTCGCAATGCTTACATCCAGCCAAAGGATGTATTGCACCGGCTACTGCTGGACAATGACGAGGACTTGGAGAAGATCGATGCGGTATTTTTTGTCGTGATCCACAACCTTGGTGATAATCGCTCCATTGTCGACGAGACGTTTATCAAATTCCTAGACAACCTGCGTTCCAAGAGCTCGGCAGTCCGTGTCCTATTTAGCACCACGGAAGGTACCATCGAGAAGCTCAAGATGTACGGTATTTCTTGTCCCACGATCGTTATCAGCGAAAAGAATGAGTCCGACAGACGAAAGTACATCGCCCATCGGATGGACCGGATGCGCGTGCTCTCCAATACTAGAGAACAGAAAGTTACTGATGTCCGGAAAATGATTCAAGACCATCTTTGCGAGAAGATCAAGGATAGCTACCACCGGATCAATATGGATCTTGACAGGCTCGACCCTCTAGAAACCGAGGAAGAAATCCGCGAGAGCCTGCATGGTGCGGGCAGGACCTTGGCACAGCATGTTCAGGATGAGATCGAAAACCTAAATAAGAATCGGACATCCAAAGAATTGGCCGAGATCAACGAGATCATCCTTTGGCTCGGCTTCGCCAAGGAGCGAATGTCACCAGAGATCATGACGGCTGTGCTGCATGTCAAAAACAACGGTGCTTCCCTGCGTCCGCTCCAGGATCGGCTTAAGGACAAGTTCCGTTTGTTCGAAATCAACGACGATGGATTCGTCGACTTTCGAGCTACAGATATGTCGGTCAGGATCCAGGAGCGCCGCAATGTTGCCCGGGGTCAGCAAAAGAGTATTCACGCCGTGAGCAAGAACGAGGTTGATATTGTCAATCACTTTCTCAGAACCGTGTGTCCGTCGGATTTGCTTGATAAACTCGAATTGACCAAGCATTTCGATAAGAAACTGGAAACCGGACAAGAACAGATCTGTCGGGAAGACAGGCTGACAGGCAATTTCCTGATTGCTAAGGCATGTGTTGCTGCGTTGGCCGATGATGATCCCATGCTGTCAGTATTGCGAGAATATGCAGTCGTTCATCTGGTGCATCATATGCTCGAAACCAGACGAGAATTGATCTCCCCGGACTCGCTTGCTACATTTGGATTCGACCTGGCAAAAATATTTCATGATCCAAAGGTCATTGACAATCTTTTATGGGTTAGCACGCCCTATCCAGCCCTGCCACCATTGCTGTGCAACGACAAATTTTTAGAGGAGATTTATAGCTGGACGAAGGAACCCACCGTTGCTTCGAAGATTGACGCAGAGAGACCAACTGATTGGTGGAAGGTCGATGACAACAACGATCCCAAAACACTGATTGAGCCTTCCATTCGCCAGATGGCGGTGCAATGTTTCCTGCGGGAATCACGAGCAGAAGTTTCGGTCACTGCATTCAACGCTATCCAGGTCTTCTGTCAACAAGTAAATTTTCTAACGGTTTCTTGCTACCTAAGCTAATCATTTTCCTCGTCAGATGGGAAAGTGTCCCGATGCTGTTGCAGAGTTGCGGCAACCATCTTCAAATGAAGTCGAAAAGTGGTGTCAGGTTGCACTCGGAAAACCAGTGGATACGTTATGGGATACCCAGATGGCCATGATACTCAGAAACCACGGTGCAATTTCCGAGGCAGAAAAAAGATGCCACCGGGCGCTCAAACATTCTCCGAACAACTGGCGAGCCTCACTTCTTTTGGCCAAACTGGTCGAATCTCCAAAGGAAGCAATCCGTGTTCTGGAAAAGCTCACTAAGCGCTTTGAAGAAAAAGAGAAGCTTCAAGAGAAGTATGTGGAGGCCTTCGCCGATATTGCCTACAACCTCGGACATCGATACTGGGATCAGAACATGGTTGACGAGGCAATCCAATCGTATACCGAATCAATTGAACGAGATCCTTCCGCCTACGAGCACGCATTCTTTATCACATTCAGATACAGCGCGACAGGAAAATGGGATAAAATCTTGGAGCTCCTCGACAAAATGTCTGAACTTGACGATGCTCACCTCACACTCATGATCTTAGCGATGTCGAAGAATCCGGAATTCCATACATTTCACACAATCCTTCTGCGGGCCCTGCTAGAGACCGATAAACTCGAAGTCTCGATCCTTGAGATGAGATATGGGAATGCGATACGCATTGCCAAGGATCAGGAGGACTACACGACCTCGTTCTACCTTCGACACTTCTATGCAAGCGCTCTCTCTGCTCTTTGGCCCGCCCCCATGACAAAGGTGAGGGACGTGTTAGAAGATGCTGTGAAGGACCTTACACATACCAATTTGGATCTCCCTCGCGCTTTTTTCCTGGTAGGATATAGGCTGGGAGCAATCTACCTCGGCGAGGCCAAGAAGGCAAGGGCAGACAAAGGGCCAGACGCTGCAGAAAAGGCGCTGAGGAAGCTTGGGGACATTGTACCCGAGTCACTCATGGAAAGCCAAATGCGTCTCCCTCTGAGCCTCTTTGCTGCCAGGTACCACAAAATCAACAACGATGAAGAATCCGCACGAGCTTCGGCTCACAATACGTTGAGAATAGCCATTGAGCTTCTTTCGGACAAAGATTCCAGCAACGACCTACTGGCCTACCAAAAGATCCTCTATGCCGCCATTCCCTTCCAGGATGAAAGGAATGTTAATGCCGCCCTGGCGATGATGAAACTGGAGACTTCGTTTACGATGACCTGCTCCTGCGGTTGTGGGCACCCATGGGACACCCCTGAGAATATGTGGTTCTGCATGGACTGCATCCGAGTCGTCTTGAGATCTTGTTGCAAGGACAGAATCAAGGACAAGAAATTGCCCAACTCCGTTTGCCACGAGTCACACGAACACTTCGAAATTGGGCCATGGGATGCGGAGAAAATGAGTCAGGTACAGGAGGGTCACGTACCATACAAAGGTAAGGTCATCACCATGGAAGAGTGGAGGAAGAAAATCATTGCTAAGTATGAATTGGGCAAATCAATCATGGACAAGTATGAAGCTGGCAAATCCGGGGTACGAAATGCTCTTCGCCACTAATTTTGGTGAAGCAAGAGCGCCATATAATTATGCCAAGTTGCATCCACACTCGCTGAAGCTTGATGGTACATTCCCCTGTATACACTCACAAATCGTTTCCCTATCCATGTCTTGAAACAGTCTGGTCTTAATCTAGTTACTTTCTCAAATGCCCCTGCTAATTTGGATCGTCTTGGTTGATGACGGTAATAATGTGTCTCCTTATAATACAGGACCCAAATCCCATCCACGGCAGCGAGAGATGCTATCAATGAGCTTAACAGAGTTAATTGCCATCTCATGAAAAGAAATATTGCCAATGGATTAGATCTCGGCCTAGGTCAGATCTATTGGCAACGTTTTATCGCAATATGGAAAATTGTCATTCTGGTATCAAACGACCCTAGGAAAACCAGACACCACATTTCTCATCGCACTTTTAGATATGCGTCAAGAATTTCATTCACTTCTCAAGTGGATGGGCTGGCATTCCTCATTTGAGTCCGACGGATATTTGTATTGCCTGCTAGTGTTTCGATGCCACTAACTATAGCCAAAGCTGTAAGAAGAACTAATTTTTCCGCCGTGTCAGCCGTATCTCCAATACTTCAATAAAAGAGTCACATACGAGAACATACGAGAGCCACAATCGAAGACAAATGAGGCTATGGTAAAGGCCGTTTGCGCATCATTTTGAACAACTGCCCAGATAATTCCTAACGCAGTTGAAACCGCTAGTAGGCTCAAAACAGCCACTAAGAATCTATGAGAACACCAGCCTTCGACAAAGACTCCAGTGCAAATCGCCGGTGGGGCTGCTGGAGGTTAAAAATCCATTGAATCCACTCGCCATTTGAATGAAGCTTGTCGGTGGACTAGACCTATCGGGGGGTCAGGTGACCCCCAAAACAGGTTCAGATAGTTTGTTTGGCCTCAACCTCACTCCTTTCTTCCTCTTTCTACCCCCGCTCTCTTCGTCCGTTCTTTTTCTTTTTACAGAGATTCAATTCATGCAGTTCTCTGCCTTTTGCTCCCTATCTGTAGCTCCCAGAGAATCCAATTGGCTCCGCAGGTTTATGTTCCGTTGAGACACCTCACCAGCATAATGACGGCAACACTACCTCCGGAACTGTTATTCCAGATCGCAACTCTTCTGCAAAATGATGGGAATTCTCTAGTTCCATCCACTTGTGTTTGTCGCTCATGGCAGGCGGCTTTTGAACCCCTTATCTACTCTAACCTAGCTGTCTATAGTGACGATGAACACAAAGAAGAGGGGCAACGTGGAATTTCTCTCCAAAATTTCCAAAAGCTCATATCCGGCGATCATGCTATGCGGAAAACCTACATCCGAAAGCTTGAATACAATATCCTCGTCCCCTACGAAGTCTTAGACTGGACCGCACGCAAACATTGGGAGAGTCCTGAAAATTATACTATAGATAACCCTATCCGAAAGGACAACGATCTAGCTTTTCAGACAGCTATAGTTAGCCTTTTCCAAGAGCTTCAATCATGGGATCAAAATTCCCGTCTGAGATTAAATTTGGCTATTCGAGGTCGTCGGCAAGGTCTTGCACCGGAACCACATACTCAGCACTCAGAAATCGCCGCTGACTATCGTTGGGATTATCGAGATGGGCGTATATTATCGATTCCCCCATATAGAGCGCGGTTCCTCAAAGATATGTCGGATCTACCATCTCTTCCGTGCATTGAGAAGCTCTCTTTTCTAAGCCATAACCAAATCTGGACTGGTGCAATACGGACTATAATTCAACGTTGTACCCAAATCGTTGAATTGGAGCTAGATCTTCAGGGATTTGTCCGTCCAGACCACCTAGAGTATATACAGGCACGTCGCGAAGGTGAGCTATACCCTTTTTGTTATGACCTTTCATTAACCATAGGAATTTTACTAATAGCTATATAGCGTTGTCTTCTTTAGTTGGTTCTATTCCGAAGAGCCTAAGAGTGCTACTCTATCAAGGGCATGATGATGCCCCGTGGAAACCAGCCATGTCCCCGCTCAATGTCGTCACTTCTGGTGTTGATGGTATGAGCTCCAATTTACGAGATCTCAGTATTCACCTTCAGCAACTAAAGTTGGTGGACACTACTATCGCATATGACTTTTTGTGTCCTTTAGATGAAAAAGGTCAGCCTAAACCGGGTTCATTGCAGTTGAACTGGCCCTACCTAGAGGTATTAGAACTTGAGGGTATACCACCTTGGCTTCCTTCAGGTAAGAAATCGGTCCCTCCTAGAACAAGAAAGCACCAAAAGACAATAGAAAAAGTTGAAATGAAGTATATCCAAGACGTCTAACAACAAACAAATCAAAAAGGAGAACCAACTTATCATAACACACCGGAAGACCAAAGCGAAATCGACGAGATTGAAAATTGGGAAGACGTGATATGCGATGTCGAAGCGGGATGGGGCGGGCCGGAATTACCGACTGAAGAACATTTCCATCGACTTCTCATATCGCTCGGCTATGCGGCCCAGCGCATGCCCCGTTTAAAGAACTTGAAAATTGAGGTGGTGAGCCATCGCCAGTTTACCTTCTGTCTTCAGAACAAGGCCGAGATTATCTTGAAATGGGAATGTTTTCACCCATATCGGCCAGATAGTCGGGTGGCAAAGGCGTGGGATTTTGACTTGGATGATGTGAAAAGTCACTCCCAATACGAGGATGAAAGTTCTGTGATACTTCGAACCTGGCCGCCCAACACCCCTATCTAGCCCGCTGGATCAAGACACAGGAATTACAACGGCAACTGCGCTCTCTTTCGCGAAGCACGGTGCACGAAGACTTGCTGTTGCAGATCTCAATTTTGAGGGGGGTTCAGGGGTCTCTTCCTGAACAAAGACGTCGTGGCTTTCCTCGAGGATGCACATTTATCGCTCAAATCAAAACGCATATGCAACCCACGAGGTCCTTTTGCCAAATCTCTTATTCATCACGCTGCAATGGGTGACTGTACGGAGCTCCTTCTTTATCTGCTACAATGGAAGCAGGGGGCAGCAAAGGAGGACCGCGACCAGAATAAGCAAAATCCTCTCTCTTGGGCTGCGGAATATGGGGCATTGCGTGTGGTCGAAATTCTGCTGGAGAACGGGGCAAAAGTTAATTCTGTGGATGATATGTACATAACACCATTGTCATGGCTGATACAGGCGGGTACGGGCACGAGCCGGACGGCGACAGAAGCCTATCTGAGAAAGAGTGGTGCGAGGGAGAGAGGTGCTAAGCGGGCTTGTATCTTGAGAAAACTCGGAATGCTCTAATGGATTTAACACGATTAACCCTAATTCCCGAAAACCATGTGCAGACTACAGTGCTGTACTACAACTCTATCTATTTGTGTACGTGTGGTAGACTGTACAGTAGGTAGGTAGGTAGGTAGGTAGGTAGGTAGACGTCATAGCAATCCCTTTGGCCATCTGCAGACAACTCATTTTTGTGATATCTTGGTAGTTGACGGTTGGCTGACGCCCACAGCTTCCGTGGCAGCCACTCATCCACCTCTCGGTCGGAATCGCTTCTTCCACCATCGCGGCAGCTTCAGCCAGGATCGCGATAACCTGTGGAACAGGGACTTCCGTCGGTTGGTCGGACGCTCTTCTGATCCTTGCATGGACGATCCAGCGATGAATTGGGGCCTAATGCTAAATTCGGGTAAGCTCTCTACGTATCCAGGTTACGTCGGTGCAGGTGTCTGTCACAGCCCTGTATGGCTTGACACCAGGTGCGTCAGCCGACTCAGTCCTCACGCTCGGTCTTCGCGGTCATCATGCTATCCCAAAATGATAGTTAGTCGTTCTCTCAGAGACGACTCCTCTCCACCCTGATCCGCAAGCGATCGGGGCATTTTGGCCCCCAAAGGGCGAGATTCCACGCGGTGCTTAGAGCAATTAATTATTTGTCAAAAGCATCTTCGTTCCTGCATTCCCTATTTCAATCGCCATGACCAACTAGAGGTCCGTCCTACATCGATCACCCAGCAATCACCCTCGCCTCAACATGCCGTGGACGACAGCCGAGCACTCGCCGAACACCTTCACCCGGCCTCTTGGCCCCAACGAGGTGTTCATCAAGCTGGTCAGTGATCCCGGCCACCCGCTCGGTCGTGAACACTGGGCAGTCAACTACACGGCCACCATCACTCCTCGCGGGGAATTCGCGGCCTTGTCGGGCTCACCCGACCTTCTATCAAGTCTCATCCGCTACAGTTGGTTGCATCTGCGCTTCCAGTACCCCAGTCTGGCTGCGCATCCGGACTCCTCCAACTCCAACGTCGTCTACACGGTTCCTGACTCTGCCGAGGCTCTTAACGAATGGGCCTCGCAGACCTTTACCATGGAGGTTGACGCCCTGTCCGCCAACGAGGTGATTCGCACCATTGCACCAGCTGCCGACGCCCGACTGTACTATGTCCCCCAATCGAGTGAGCTGCTCCTGCACACCGCACACTGGCGCATGGACGGTGTGGGCGGCCTGCTCCTCCTGGGCCAGCTGGTGGACCTGATGGTCTCGCACGCCGACAACCTCCTCTCGGGGAAGCCGCCAGACCCGTTCCATTCCTTCCATTGGGGATCGGAGATCTCACGGCTGACGCCACCAGTCGAAGAGGCCGGCAACATGCCCCTCACCGTGACCGACGAGCAGAAGACTGTCGCCCACGCGGCGGTCGGTACCTTTGCCCTGGCGGCGGGCGCCCTCGGGGTGCCCTATACTGGCGATGCCTCGACCGTGCCCTCCGGCACGCGGGCTGCCGAGCTCACGTTCTCGCCCGCTACCACGTCCGCCGCCGTGTCCGCCGCAAAGGCACGCGGCGTCGGGATCACGGCCGCCGTGCATGCCAGTCTAGCCGCGATCAACTTCCGGCACGCGATCGCCGAGCACCAGGGCCGCCACTACACCAGCACCATCAAACAGTCGCTGCGGCCGTATCTGCCCGAACCGTACTCGACCCCAGCAGCGGCAGCCGGGCTATACACGTCCGGCTGGTTGGCGCGGGTCGACGCCTCCGGGACGTGGGTGGAGAATGCCCGCATGTATCAGGCGGAGTATCAGAAGGGCATCAGCAGGGAGTATCTCCAGGCGCACCGGGAGTATGCGTCCACTTTGGTTGAGATAATTAAGAACCTGCCGACTCCAACAGAGCCGCCCAGCGATATCGATATCAGCAGCATGGGGATCATGGAGAAATATGTAGAGCGCGAATATGGAACCCCGGAGCGCGGGTTTGGCATCACGCATGCCGGGGTGGGCGTGGAAATGCTTTCGCGCCAAGGAGTGGTTTTTTTGTGGACGTTTCGTGATCAGTTGACACTGCGGCTGGTGTATAACGAGGCTTTCCACACCCCGGGGCAGATGACGGAGTTTTTACACGACATTCAGGCGGACCTGTTGAAGCAATTGCAGGTGTCGGAGTAGGAGACTGTAGATCAAATATGTTTCACGATAATAGATAGGCAGGCCCAAACTATACAAGAAAAGGCAGCCTGGAGTCCAATTTCTCGCCGCTTTCGGAGGATCTGGCAGGTAAGAGGATGTGGACTAGACAAAAAGAGGAATACAGTTTGAAGGTGCTCCCATTTCAGAAATCGAAGTGGTATTTGCATTATCGAATAGCCCCTATTGCTACCTATATCGCACGTGTGTGGGGATTTTCGGAGAAACTCCCGAGTCGATCAGCCGATAAGAGTATTTTATTGGCGAGGCCCGGCAAATATTTGAACGTTGCCCGCTGTCCCTCTTACATCCCCCCCACCAACTATTCGTGCGTCTCCATGTCTTGACCACGATTGATCTTCGACGGTCGAGTATCAATTAACCAACCAGAGGGGATCCAGCAACTAAAACAGTCGGGTTGCAATCATGATAGCTGTAGCCGAGAACGGGGTTCCCAAGCCAGGTCCCACCAAAGGTATGCATTGCGCAAGAAAATTGCCTACTCTGCAGTATGATAACGCCTACTAGTCTGGACAACCCTCATCACCAACACGGCCTACCTGACGGGCCTCTTGACCTTGGAATACTCTCTCCGCAAAGCGGGCTCCAAGTATCCGTTGGTGGCTCTCTATACGGACACATTCCCCGCCGAGGGCCACAAAGCCCTCGATGCCCGGGGAATAATGAAGCAACGTGTCGAGTATCTCGTGCCATCAACACCCAAGGAATACACCAATGACCCGCGTTTCTACGATTGTTGGTCGAAGCTCACGCCGTTTTCGCTCGTGGAGTATGAGCGCGTCGTGCAGCTGGACAGCGACATGCTCGTCCTCCAGAATATGGACGAGTTGATGGAGCTCGAACTAGATGCCCCGGAGTTGAATGGCAATGGAGATCGCGTATTTGCCGCTAGCCATGCCTGTGTCTGTAATCCGCTTAAAAAGCCTCATTACCCGGTTGACTGGTAAGAGGTATCCCTCTATCAACTGGATTCTCGCAGAAATGGGTGGAAGCACTAAACCTCCATTTCGTATCTGACCGTTTCAAAACAGGATCCAAGCCAATTGTGCTTTCTCTTCTCAGCATGAAAATCCAGATGCCGCGCAAGAAATCGGTGCTCCGCCAACCACGGGCCTTAGCATTCCGAATGGTGGCCTACAAGTCGTGAATCCGTCTAAAGGGATTTACGATAAAATTGTTGCTCAGCTCGCTACATCTGCAACGTCAAGCTACGAGTTCGCCGACCAGTCTCTCCTCGGAGATATGTTCCACGGCCGTTGGGTTGCACTCCCATATATCTATAACGCTCTCAAGACTTTACGGTGGGAAGGCGTGCATGACGCTATTTGGCGCGATAACAAGGTTAAGAATGTCCATTACATTCTCAGCCCGAAGCCATGGGATGAAGTTCGTGAAGGTCTTCAAAAGAGCCAGGACCCATCGCATGTGTGGTGGATTGAAATGAATGAGGAGAGAATCAAGGATGAGGAGCTCTTGGGCAAGAAGGATGAATTCTGAGTTCTTTGCAGCGAATTACGAGAGAAAACGAAAGGAGGCCTGATAGCCTATTAGATTGGTTTTGAGCTACTGCCTCAATACAGTTTCCATGGACTTAGAGACATCGCATAATTATGCCGATGTGGCATAAAAATCCACCCAAATCCCCTTCAAAATGTTAAATTCCAAATGACACGTAGGGGTGGTAAATGTTCTCTCAGTTTCACATCACACTACAAAGCTTGGGTTGCGGTGCAAATTTTGTCACATAGAGATGAAATCATGATACGCCATAATAGTATGCCTGCTTTGAAACAGAGACCCTTTCCCTCTACCAAGAAGATCGTTATAGCTGTAGCCTATTCATCAATACGCAACTTTCTGTAAATCAGCCGCACCACTCTCCTCCCAAGGATGATCCTGCTCAACAGAGAGAATGAGAGCCTCAAGTTCCGGAGTGCGAGGTTTAATCTCACACTGGAAAGGGGAAGGATGGCTGATAACGCCAGGATCGAAGTGCGGTGTTGTGACTTCCACACCACCCTGAATAGGCTTGCTAATATCGAACACTGCAAGAGATTGGGCCACACTCAGGAAAACCGTATTATCGGCCAAAAATCGACCAGGGCAAACGCGACGTCCGAACCCAAAAGCAATGACTTTGGGGTCTGGCGCGGGACATTCGCCGAGGAAGCGCTCGGGATGGAATTCCATGGGATCCGGATAGACATCGGGATCGTGCATCATAGCCCTTTTTATGATTAATTAGACTTTGACACAAACTGGGGGTGGTGGGTATCTTACCAGATGTTGGGTAGAATGATAGACCCCTTCGGGATAAAGTAATTGTTGTAGTTGTCATCAACGGTCGACATATGCGGAAGGCCCATCGGGGCGACAGGGTGCCAGCGGAGAACTTCCTTTACCACGGCGTTAATATAAGGGAGGTTGATGCGATCTGCCGTATTTGGAAGACGATTCTGTCCCACCACACGCTCAATTTCCTCTTGGGCTTTACGCTGGACATCTGGGAACAAAGCCATGGCGAGGAAGAAGCAGTTGATAGAAGAAACGGTCTGAATCTGTTAACAATATTCAGTAAAGGACTGCAGATAACGTACTGTGTCTGCGCCACCAGTATAGAGCGAGGCTGATGTCCATTTCGCGACCAGTTCTTTCTCCGATCCTGGTTCAGGATAACCGGTTTTGAGCATGTCACCAAGGTAAGATGGCGTGTATTTTCCCTTTTCAATCTGTTGCTTCACAAATTCATAGGGTCTGTCGGCAATACCAGCAAGATGCTCCCTCCAAAGCTTGGCGGTCCGCTTGAAACCGGCTCCTGGGAACCAGCTGGGAACATATTTCACTGCTTCAGTTAGCAACACGAGCTATGGGCAGTGATGATTGATGATAACATACATGCAGGAATTACATCCACAAGCCAGGCACCAGGCACCGTAGCTTGGCCAAACTCATCCATGGCCTCGTTGGCGATATGGACTAAGTGGTCTCGGCCAAAAGGCTCGACTCTGTAGCCATAGGCAATATTAAGAATCACGGCTCCTGCCTGACTGTTGATCGATGTTAGCTATGTCGCCATATAAACAATTGAACCCCGAGGGAAACACACGTTTGTACATGCCGCAAAAGATCTATCGGGTCTTTAAGCACGCGAAATAGAAATCGATGGGTTTCCACTTCTTGCAGAGGGGTGTACCGCGCAACTGCCGACTCCGAGCCAAAGCTAGGCTGAATTGCTTTGCGATAGGCGCGGAATCGATCGGTGTACCCTTGAAATGCAAGTCCGTCTTCCCATCCCACCCTAACGAAGAATTGAATTAACATTGTTGCCTCATTTTCTGTGGTTTAAATCTCACATTTCGGAGGCAAAGGTCATTCTAGGACGGGACGAATAAATTGAGGATCGTCTTGTCAGTAAGTCTAGTGCGATTCTCGAGTCGTTTACAATCACGATGGTTTGCCCTAATACTGTGATCGAGCTGATAGGGCCTACAAATATGTCATCAGTGATCTGCGATCAGTGTGACCACGGCAATATCGTCGTTCTCTACATGGAGGTTCTTACCATATGTGGATTTGTGCTTCAGCCAGTGTACCCAGTCCTGTTTGCCACTGGGTGGGAGATCCTTTATGTTGCCCACGATGGGTATCGGCGCGGGCCCAGGGGGCAGCTGCCGATGACGCTTCCTACGCCTAGAGTCAAGAGCAGCATAGATGGCAGCTAATCCGACCGTTAAACTCAGCAACAAGATCAAGTTCATCATGAAAGGTGACAGAAATCAGTAAATCGCCTTGTGGGAAGAGCCAAATTGAAATATGTGGGAACAGTTTCACCGTCTTTTCACTAGGGATTCCCAATTGCTAGTCACGCTATTTTAGTTTGCTTCAGACTATAGCATTTGCTTCGATTGGCAGATTTTTCCGAACTCGCACAGATGTCACGCTAACAAATTCTAGATGGAGCCCGATAGGCATAAATCTCGGCTCTGGATGGGGCTGATTGCGGGCTAGCGGCTTACAACAGACCCGCTGGTGACACGGGATAGAAGTGGCACCCTATCAATGCAGTCGGAACAGGGTGTCCTTCATCTACATCTCCATACACTTCAGCCTTGAATATGCATGCCTCAGAAGAAACCCCTGTAAGCCCCACTCTAGCCGCATTTTCATATTTGCTCTTATTCAAAACCTGTCGCCCACAAGGGCTTTGACCCGCTTCAGACGCCGGGGCCTTGATTATACTGCAACGCTACGCTCACGATAAAAATGGTCGCCATTCCTTGAAGCTAGAACCTTAGCAAGGTAGATTGTCCGTTCCTATGGCAAGTAAGCGCTAGTGGCGCGACCTGGAGACTTGGAGTTTTCTCTCCCATTACTACCGGGTCTATAGCACGTTCTTCCGTCACAATCCGAGTCGCGCAGCCGTAAAGCACCTCTTAGCTTAGATTTATCTGGGCGATTTTCGGCGCGCACGCTATCTCGCTCGGAATGAGCTGTCTGTTCAATCAAATTCAATCCGTCTGCGTTCTGCTTCTCGGGACCTATCTCACGTCCGTCCATGTGGGAGACAGCCGCGAGGCGATTGGAACAAGGCTGAGGTTAGAAGTCGACCTTGGAGACCCGAAGTGGTCCCGATCGCCGGCGTATGCGCGACTTAAGATGACCACGACAGAGGAGGACTACATGGTTCACTGGAGTTTGCTGTCCAAGCGATCGAACAAATGGTGGTGGGACAAATATGAACGCGAACATTTGGCACCCCTTCGTCGAGCCAAGGGCGAGGTTTCTAATGAAGAGACCATTGATTCTAACGACTCCTAATAGCTATTGTACCGAGGCCGGCATTGTTCAAAGTTAATATGGGAACGACCTAGTGTAAGGATACGATGTAGTCTAATTTGTTACGTGTTTCGCTCTGTATGATCTCCCCGTTTTCTCCTAACCATATCAACAACAGAGCATATATTACCAGCATATAAAGTTGGATAGAAGCAAAATTCAAGTTTATTTTCCATATGCTAGTACAGCCAATTCAATCTAAGTTAACAGCAAGATGGCGTCCAACAAGATATGAAGTTATGCTTTGTAAATTTGACAATTTCGACACGTGAAATTTACTAAGCTTCATCAAGGTTTTGGAAATTGATCCAACGACGGTCCTCGACGCATGGAGCGGGTGACAGATGTGTTGCACATGTCTTTGCTTCTTCGAGCCCTTTGGAAATCCTTCACCATACAGCTCAGGATTGATGATAGTACAATAAGCCACTGCCACACTTTTGGACCGCCGAGAAGGGTATCGATCCTTCAATGACATACTACCAAGGGGAGGTGGGGGTCGGCAATGCTGCCGACACAAACTAAGCTTGAAACGGCACCACGTTCGCAATGGATGAATTCTCGTCATAAGCCCTGAAGCCCAAGTCTGTCATAGTCCACAAGTCTTCAAAATCAAAGTTCCCAAAAAGATCGACACTGTGATTGGCTACATCTGTCTCTTCTAAAGCTTGGGAGCTTCGTCGTGGAGCCTGGTCACCCGAGAGTAATGAATGGTCATTCGATCCTGTGACGCCCGGCTGCTGGTGCCGCCCCGAGATTGGCTGGGCCCAATAACCAGCTGAGCTTTCCATGGTAAGTCTTCGAATGCTACCATCGGGCCGCTGAAAGATGGAAATCACTCGTTCCCGCAGCTGAGTACAGGTCTGGGTAAAGGCATGGCCCAATCCCCGATGGACATACCAGGCTTCTACAAACTCGGTGGCAGAGGCCAGCAGCTCAACATCGGACCTGACAAGTCTGCTGTGAGGCTGCCTTAGAGCACTAAGTGCAAGGACAACTGCGGCCAGATAAGTAGGAGGGGCTGCGAGAAGGGTGGATCGTAAACCAATGTCAGCTAATTGAAGCGACTGTGTCACTATTGATCTCGCCGCACTGGCACAGATTGAAGCGCCATCTAAGAGCCGAGAATGGCTTGGTAGCTTGTCCTTGTTCTTCATCACTTCAATTTCGATGCTTTTCTGTGGGAAAATGATCGCAAAACGCATAACACTGAGCTGTGACTGTTGCTTCATTAATATTGCTTGTGGTTCCTTCAAAGGGAGGCAACCCACGTGATAGTATTGCTGGGAAAGAAACGTCGAAACAATCCTGCACTCAAGCGTGGCATAATCCGTAGACGTGTTCCAAGGCTTGAGCAAAGCTGGAAGTGATTCTGCCCACTCCAGCAGCTCCTGGTCTAGCCTCATGACCTCGCCGAGCATCTCAGCAGATCCCCCCAGGAACCTGTGTGAGTATAGACGGTTGGATATCCGACCCATAATACTACTTAATGCGATCCATGCTCTGAAGTATGGGACAGGCTGACCCGGTATATCGCCGACGGGAAAGTAGAATTGGAGTGAGTCATAGCGTCTGTCTAGAATAGATGGTCTTCCACATTCTAGCTGCGTGAGCTTTTCTAAAGCAAAACAGGACCACCAAAGACGTTGATGCAGGGATTCTGGATCGGAACCAAGCGTGGGGCCTTCTGCAGAAAAAGGCGCGTCTAATTTGTGAAGTCCAATAGATTGGGCCATTCGGACTGCGTGGCCAATGATTTGCCACGCTTGGCTATCGTTTGCAACAGCCCTCAGTGCAAGACATAACAGAAACAGGGATTGAACGCTTTTGAAATGAGGTATGGCTGTCAGATGTCCATGGAGACTGTGGCTAGCTGTTAGATATTCGAAGCTCAAGTCTAGATCGTCGGATGTCTCATTCATGCCAAGTGAGATGACTGCGTAGGCGGAAGCAAGGGAAGGTACATGAGTAAGATTAGCTTTTTCCTGCCAGATTTCGTGGCCGGCTGCCTGTAAAGTTTCAATGGTGCTAATATCTGTTTCAAAATTTACTTTGTCGATAACTGGGAAGATTGGCCACAATCGCGAGAAGAAGGCGTCCACGTACGTGGACAGGCTTTGACGGTCCGGCAAAAGCGGTAGCTTCGGTATGAGAGGCATAGGAAACTCCTCAGTAGGTACTCCATGTCCAAGTAGTGGTGCGGCCGGGCTAAAGCCGTACCTTGCCAGGTGAAGATCGATAAAGTTGAAGAGGCAGTGCACACTACTGGCGCCAAGGTGCTGCACATGATCAAGTTAGGCCTATTGCAAACCGATACGAAAGGAACCAAAGGACACTGACCTTGATTCTGCCAGAACTATCCGCGTTGACATCGTCTTCTGGTGTCACGGGTATTTCAGCCGCGACCCGTGTAGTGATATCATGCCCCGGTGCAGCTTCTTGCATGTGAGCAGCAGTGCTCTCCTGGTATGCCCTGGATTGCCATGAAAAATGATCTTCTCCTAGCCTATCAGTTTGATTCGTACGCGTAGAGACGGCCGGGCTCGCTGACGCTCCGGGTATGGCGGAATTTTTCGCGATACGCCCAACATCCGGCGAAGCTTGATCCACATGACTATGTGCTGCAGGCACGGTCGGATTCAATACGGAATTGATGGAGCTCACGACATCTAGAGCAGCCAGAGCTGGGCTAACCGTGGCTGGCGAACGATGGACTGGTGCGAGGGTCAGGGCCACCTCTTGCCGAGCCTTCGGTTGCCAGCGTTTGGTGGCTCGGCGGCGGACAGCAGAAGAGTTGTCGGGCTTTCGGGGATCTGACGTTTTACACAAATCCCCTCTGAGCCTGCAATTTCGACATTTCGGCTGCTGGGCATCACAGCGAACCTTGCGCTTTCGACACTGGTTACAAGCAAGAGCCAGCCGAATGGGTTTGCTTTGCGTAGAAGCTCCACCGGCTGCCGAGGGCCCCGGTTCGGCATGCGCTCCGGTGTCAGTCGATGGGGGAAGAGAGCCAGACTGGCCTGGTAATGGCATTGAAAAGGAACTGTAGGATTGTAGAGAGAGTGACATACTGGTGAACCGAGCCGGGGGATTTCCTTTTCTTTGTGGGGGAGGGAAAAATGGTCCCGAGCAACCAATACGAAGGTTACCATACGCCCAGCCGAGATAAACACAGATAAACACACGTGCAAACGTAATCTGAGTATTACCGGTACGACTCCGGGGCCCCGCATTTTCCCCGGTTTTCGTCTTTTACCCGAACCGAAGTTTGTTGGTTCGGCTTGTGCAAGCATCAGTCATCAATTACCTACACTGGATACATGAAAATTTTAATTCACCGCTGGCTATCACTATCGCCGACCAGGGTAATGAGCCTAGCTCGGTCTCTCACGATGACCTTATATAATGAATTGGTCATCTACCGGGTTTTGCAATGAAGCGGATTCGACATCTAGGTGTACTATCTAGTCTATTTAGTCCGTGACAAGTGGTCTCTTGACCACTCCTACATTCTTAATTGAGAGTCAAAAACTCAACGGCTTATCAATTCCAATAGTGCGTGACAAAATTGAGTACATATTGGGTCTAATATAACTTTATATTGTATTTCAACAAGTGCAGACAATTTCGATAGCGCAGAACACTATCGTGACACGAACGGAAGAATGACTCGACTGGGGTACTCTCCACCAAAGTGAATAGTGTGATCTCCCTTGTTCATCTCGTGATCAGGTCTAGGCTTAGAAAAGGCCGCAACCTCAGTGAAACCAGGGTATTGGCCCAAAATATCCACTTGAAGACTCTCACCCTCCTCGTAATCGACTCCCATGGCCCAGATACCAATTTCTAACTTGACCACTTCTCCTTTCGGTACCTTTTGGACTTCATCATGAGGGTGGAATGGGAACTGGGGGTGAATGGATCGATTCGAGTCGATCTTTCGCTGCGAAGCGCGTAGAATGCCGATAGAGCCATGGTGGGTGGTCAAGCTTACTTTGTCTTTCTCCGCAATTTCGTCCATGGAATTGACAGGGGCACGATTGAAGGGAAATTGTAGCTGCCCGAGCTCTTTGCCTCCCTTGCTGAGCTTACGCAGCTGCACAAAAACAACCATGTCATCCAACTCCATACAGCTCATGAAGAGCTCTATCTTGGGGAGGCCAAGGAGTCGACTCGGCTGGGTAAAGGTATACTTGAACTTTGAGATAGACCAGCGGTCTTCTGAGTTGTGCACGGCGGTACCACCTTGGGACGGAAGCTCTGGAGAGAGACTACCGCCTGAGGAAAGATATAGGGTGCGATAGTCGGTGTTTGGTACAGGGAAATCTGGGAGGACGATGTCGCTGGTGACGTCCTTGTCTCCAAAAGGCAGAGTTGTCCAGCGTACTTTGGGCGTCTTTTCCCAATCGTTATCAATCCCCTTCAGATATTTATCGAAGAATTCCTGCTCGTGGTCAGTAAATTGAATACCCTCACGAGTTTTCAACGGGAAATTTGGTTTCTAACCTTGAGTTCTAGATAGCTCTCGGGCACCGCGTAGAGCTCGAACCACTCTTGGTAGCCACTCCATTTGATCCACTTTTTGTCCGTGTTCACCTCCATCCATCCTCGAATGGCACCCATCGTATGAATTTGGCTGAAGTCGGATCCTGTAATGAAGCATGGAATGTTGATCTTTGTCATATCCACCCGCTTATCGCTCCAGTAAATATTGCATTGCGGACTCCGACGATACATCTCCGCAATGTCCTCAACCCCGGAATTTCCCTTGATGACCAGCGTGGTGATCAGATCATAATTGCTCATGCTGAACCACCCACCTCGACAGAATTGCTCTCGGAAAATGTCTCCAGAACCCTCCCAGGGGGCAATAGCTTTGAGTGATGGGGGGTTTTGAGCAGCTGCGTGCCATTGCATGATTGCGAGATATGAATTACCCGCCATGCCGACATTGCCATTGCACCACGCCAGTTTTGCGAGACCTTCTATCACGTCGTGAGCATCTTCGGCTTCTTGCATCCCCATACAGGACGTGTCGCCATCGCTGTTCCCGGCTCCACGTGCATCGACACTGGCAATAGCGTAGCCTCGCGCTACCCACCAAGCTGGGTCGAGGCCCTCGAACTTCTCCAATCCACTCACATCACCGCGCTCCAGACAACACTTCCAAGTGCAGACATTGAAAATCATCTCAAGAGCGGAGTACTTCTTGCCATAGGGGGACCATGAGATAATCACAGGCACTTTTTCGTTGCTCGTCGGTCTGTAGATATCGGCGTAGAGTCGACAGCCATCTCGAACGGTGATCGCGACATCGTGGTCAATGCGAATGTCGGATTCCAATTTTCTGGCATTGAATGGTGCAGAACCTTTGTGGAGTACCTCCGACTCTCCTGGAGATGGCTCAACGTAGCCATTGACACCCACTTCGGGTTTGGTCAATGGCTTGAATGCGACTTGATATGGGATAGGCATTCTTGGAAGAGATTATGACCGGGGATTGTGGATAAGTTGTAGGAATCAAAAACTATCGCCCGCTCGCGGAGTTAAGTAGTGAGGGGAAAACATTTGGAACCCCAAGACGCATCAAAGTGAGCGTTGGAGAAGGCTGCACCTTGGAGGCGCTGAGCCGATATCAAGGTACGGTGGGGGGCTCCAGCGATACATCTCCGAAGAAACTTGTGAGTGCTCGGCTCGCGCACTCACCCAGAATCTTATTCGAGTCATAGATCATGCCCACTCCGGCGAGCACTGGTCTGGGCGGAAGTGTGGGGAGAAACGACTGAACCGAGCCGAAACTCAGCCGAACCGAACGTAACAACCATCAGAGGCCACTTCCTCACTCTGGATGATCAGTTAATAAAGCCTGGGCGCGGGTATCACAAAAAAGTAATTCCCAACCTACAACACACGGATTATTTAGAATGTCCACCGCCACTGAGACCAAGCAGCGCACAGTTGCCGCTCGCTTCGAGACGAAAGACTTGATTACTTTCGACAAAAATACAGTCTACGGTGATTGGCGCGATGAGTTCCACAAGAATGGCTGTGTCTTGATCAAGAATGTCATCTCCCCGGAACGTGCCCAGTACTACTGCGACAAACAGATCCAATGGCTGAAGAACTTCGAACTTGGATTTGACGAAAAGGATCCCAGTACCTGGACAGCCGAGCACCTTCCTGTCAGCTTCAAGGGTGGCATGTACTTTGCTTACGGCTCCACCCATGAAAAGATGGCCTGGGAGGCCCGCACTGAGCCCAAGGTCGTCGAGACCTTTGAGAGACTGTGGGGTACAAAAGAGCTCATCTCGTCTTTCGATGGGATGAACATCTCGTTGCCAAACCGGACGGATCTCAACTGGAGCCCATGGCCTCATTGTGACCAGAATCCAGAGCGCAAGGGGTAAGTCAGACATTCAATCTTAACAATCATGGTTTACTAACGATCTACACAGCATGCAAGCGGTCCAAGGCCTCCTCAATTATGCGCCTAATGGCCCGAAGGACGGCGGTCTGATGCTTATGAAGGGATCTTCCAACTTGTTCAACGAATTCTTCGAGAGCAAGCGTCAGTCCGCAGACCACGAAGATGCTCCGCCCCCAGAGATGCAGTACATGGACCTGTTCCTCTTCAGCGAGAAAGACATCAAGTGGTTCGAAGAGCGAGGCTGTGAGCTCGTCAAGATCAACATGGAACCTGGCGACTTTGTGCTGTGGGATTCTCGCACCATGCACTATGCCTGTCTGCCCGAGGGCAATCAGATTCGACACGTGCAGTACATCTGCATGACACCGAGGAAGTTTGCCGATGAGGAGGCTTTGGCAGCCAAGGCGCAGTGCTTTGAGACTTACATGGGCACCACTCACTGGCCGCATTGGTACGTCTAGCCTGCTTGGAACCAAATTGAAGTACTAATTACTAACGTTTCTCTAGCAACATTCGTATTGCCGAGGATAAGCCTATGCGTAATGGAGAAGTTTGTCCCAAGTACCGAACGGAGCCATTTGAAAAGCCAATCGTTACTGACCAGGTTCTTCAACTTGCTGGTGTTAAACCTTACTGAAAGAAGTATCCGATGTACATAAGTTCCCTTTCGAAATCGAGAAATGAAGTCAATCATCTATGAAATGTCATCTGAGCTGCCCCGTATAATGTTCCTTTTTTTTTTTTTTTGTTTTCTTGTAGAGTTTCTGAATTGTGACTAGATCTTAAGAAGTAGAGAAATCACAATACATCATCCTTACATGGTTGTCGAAAACACACACAATTACGTAGACAGCGAAGTTGGAAATGGAATTGCGACATTGTCCTGCGGCAATTTCCACCGCGAACGTGTTTATTCGATGCGTCAACATTCTTCAAATCGATACACAAGCCAAGCCCAAGTTTCTGCACTGAGGTAAATTCCACCTTGTGAAGTGCCTGTGCAGCGCCTGTGCAGTGCCTGTGCAGTGGGGGTGCAGTGGGGGCAGTGGGCAGGTTCAAGTTCACCACTGGGCATTCAAGCTTGGACCACATATTTGCCTACTCGGCTCAAGTGGGCTATCGACTTACCCCAGTCCGAAGCGACGAAATTTGCGGGGGATACGCTGCGAAGTGGGCAGGCGCGGGGGTCTCATACGCGGGACTCAAAGTTTATTAAAACAGACTCACTTATTGGTCATGTTGTTCGTCTCGGAAGAATGGGCCACGCGCCACCAGCAGCGCCCCTTTCATTGAGGATGGTCGAGACAACTTGGGCGTAGCGTTTCCATCCTCTGAGGGCACTATAAACATTATGTCGTTGTCTCCATTTCCTGTGCCATTTCCCATTCGAATCTGGTGATCTCCCAGGTTTTCTACGCATCTGCCACTGAGGACAAGACCGGCGAGCGAACATCATGGCTAAACTTTCTCCTGTTAAGCATGTTGAGAACATCGACATTGAGGAAAGTGGTGAGGAGATTCATGTGACAAAGTCCAAGGTGAACGTGAGTGGAACTGTCCAGCTCACTAAGGGGACGATTGTATACATTCCGACTCCTACGAGTGATCCGCGAGGTTTGCCTGCGTCCCATACGCCGCATTCTCGCATCAACTGCTAATTGAGGGTGCACAGATCCATTGAATATGCCGAAATGGCAGAAGACCATGGTCCTGATTACCATATCTCTTTGTGAGGATTCCTCCGATGCCACAACATTGGCGTGCTAATATACCTAGTCTCGACCATCGGGCTGTGCATCGTCTCCGGGTTTGGCGGCCTGTTATCCTTTTACATCCCTGGATATGCCGCCGCTGGAAAGACCTACGCCGACATTACCTCTCTCATGACGTACCCGACACTGACCATGTGAGTCAAGTTTCTGTACATCTCAATATTCCTCCTGACGATGATGAAGGGGCATCGGCAATTTGATTGGAATGCCGATAGCGATAGCAGTCGGCCGTCGCATCGTTCTCCTTGTTGCAACAGTCATCATGCTTGTCGGTGCTATCCTGTGTGCCGTCGCAACGCATTTTGAGTGGCACCTCGGTGCGCGTATGCTCATAGGCTTTGCTGCGGGTCAGAGTGAGGCTCTTGTTCCCATGATTACTCAGGTGAGACTGAACTCCGATTATGTCCTATGAGCCCGCCACAGCTCGCAGTATTCGAAGCTGACAATGTTTCTTATTCCAGGAAATTTTCTTTCTTCACGAGAGGGGCACGTTCTTGATGGTTCAACAGACCATTCAGACTATCGCAACTGCCGTATTAGTCCTGTTCGCCAGTCCGATTGCTGGAGCTATAACACCTGAGTGGTGGTATGGGCTGGGTGCCTGTCTTTCTGGGGTATTCCTGGTCATGGCAGTTGTCTTCGTCCCTGAGACGAAGTACTTTCGCCCACTATCCTCCTTTCAAGACAACGTGTCAACCGAAGGCTTGCGAGAGGATCCTGATAAACATGCCACTATGGAATCTCACACAGTCGTTACAGATAGGCCTGCACTTGACTTCGTTATATACGAACCTCGCACTTGGCGTTCGGACCTTCGGCTTTGGGTCGGCTCACCTGAGTGGCGCAAGGGAATGGAAACATTCATAGTGAGTTCTGTAGTCCTCGGCCCAGCGTTGCACCCTAATAACCCTTCCCTTTGCGCAGCAATCGTTCCAACTCCTTCTGTTCCCCAATGTTCTCTGGGCTATGGCTCTAAATGGCCTCACGTTGGGTGTCAACATCGCCATCGGCACCACCTACGGGACCATTCTCACCACGATGTATAATTGGCCGGACAGATCCGCAAGCTACATCAATTGTGGCCAAATCATCACTTCCCTTTTAGCCCTACCAATCTTTGGCTTAGGCTCAGACAGGCTCATCGCATGGGTTGCTAAAAGGCGAAACGGTATTCATGAGCCCGAAATTCGATTACTGCCACTCATCCTCCCGATTATTGTTGGGGTATTTACCGCTGTGCTGTATGGCTTGGGTGCGACTCATCCGACATCTTACCACTGGTTTGTCTACGCCTGGGCTGTCGCTGCCTACTATTTTACCTTTGTCGGCGCCAATATTGTAGCCATCACCTATTTACTGGACAGCTACCCACAACGGGCCAGTTCGTTGCTGATTATTATTTGTGCGTTCCGCGGGATTATTTCATTTGGTGTTAGTTACGGTATCAGCCCATTCATCGATGGAAGTGGGTATGATGGAGCATTCGGTACCTTTGGAGGTCTGACTGCTGCGCTTGGTCTTCTTGGAATTCCGGTGTTTATCTGGGGCAAGAAGATTCGTGAGCTCACTGGTCGCTATGCGGTGGACCGGGAGTAAATAAGTAAATATGTGGGCTTGGGTTGCCGACTTTTGCTTCGTACTTTAGAACACAAGGCATCTACTTCCCATATTCTTGTATTTATTGTTCCTGTAAAGTGCGGTCTCACGTATCAAGCAAGTGAATCTTGAGAATATGAATTATCATCAGCACCTTAGCATTTGTTTGTTTTTCTACCTCGCCATCCGATGGGCTTATCATTCAGTCGGATCTCATTGGCTCTAGATATACATGCCAAAGCCCCATCTGGCCCAACTAGCTCTAGTTACTGGGTTTGACTGGAACTAAACTCGGTCATCGCCGCTGCCAAGATTGGGTTTTCCTTTTTTTTTTTTTTTTAATTCTCCTTCATCAGTACATCAGTAGAGGTTTAACACAAGGATGTAAATTTCTCACCGGGGCTTTACTTGTAGCTTACTGAAGGTTGTCTTCGTGGCTTATTTGTTCCCTGGGCTTTCTTCCGTTCCCGGCTTTACAAAGCGATGGATCTCCTTTCATCCCAAACAGTTATGGTTGACCTAGGGTTTTACCACTGGAGTCTCAAGCGCTCATGCTGCGGAGTCACGACCCTCGATCTCAAAACCCATCTTCGTTGGCGGATTTTGCTTGGATTTGACTTGCATACTTTTGACCTAGGACCTGGTATATTAAGTTTGCGCCTCATACTAGACTGATTCCACGAGACATCAGAAGACTTTTAAGACAACTCTGCTGGTTCGGCCTTGTCATATAAAATTCCCGTTGAAATCGTATAGCAATGTGCATCGGAGATAAAATCAATCCCTAGATTCATCGCCATCGGCTGTTGAGATCATAGCCAGGTAAACGGATCAAATATTTGTAGCCACAGGCGTGCCATGCTGGAGAGGGAAGCGCTGGTGCAGCCTTGCCCAACTGCTTCTAACTTGACAGAAACTGGGAAAGGGGGTCTTTCTCATGTAGCGTTTGTACCGCAGAGCGTCGATCTTTCCTAGTGTCTGTCCGAGGTCTAGGTTGTAGAGACGCCAATGCTGATTATTCATGAAACTCTTATCGGCAAGCTTGATGGCGATGGGAGCTTCTCTACCAGCCAAGGTAGAAGCCAAGATGAAGATAGTTGTCGACGGATTGGAGTTTCCGGCGGATGCTCAGCGCCAAGTTCGGGAATACTATCAGACTGACATCGAAAGGCTCGGCTCCAGGCGATTGTTTGGAATGGCTTTGATCGATTAGTACAAGATGAACTAGACTGCCAAAAAGTATCTGCCCGCATTCCGATATTGGCCAAGCTAGGCACGGTCTGTGCGCAGCGGGCCCACCAATTCGGTTCCATCCGAAGCTCGGGCCAAGTGGGTGAACCGAGTCTCGGCTCGGTTCACCAACTAACTATACCGGCTCGGTTCAGCCAAATCGCAGGACTGATACCTCAGGCAAGGATGTTTATGGTGCGTAGGATTGCTCAATTTTGTTGAAAATTAGATCACTATGAAGATGCTGGCCTTCCCGAAGGAATGACATCTTCCACTGGGCACCTTCTGGACCAACGTTCGGACAAGATCTCGCCATGGACAACAAGATATCCAATAATAAAGAAGTCCAAAGCGACAAGAACGTGGCAGTAGTCGAGATCGATGACCAAGACAGTGTCTTCGAGCCTACTGGTGCGACCATGGGACCTTTCCGTCGACGATGCATCATGCTGTCGCTATGCTTGGCTTTGTTTCTTTCAGCCCTCGACGTGACCATCGTGGCCACAGCCCTTCCTACTATCGCGAAGCAAATCAACGCCAGTACTGCCGAATATGCCTGGATTGGAAGCGCCTACACCCTATCCAGCACCGCCTCCGTCCCTATATGGGCCCAACTCTCGAACATCTTCGGCCGAAAACCCATCATCATGCTTGCCAATTTGTCTTTTTTAGGAGGCAGTTTGATTTGCGGTCTCGCAAAGTCCGTCGGATTGCTCATTGGCGGTCGAGCTGTACAAGGGCTAGGCAGTGGTGGTTGTCTGATCATGGTGACTGTGATTATTGGGGATATGTTTAAGGTGAAAGACAGGGCCAAGTACTATGGCCTCACGGGTATTGTTTGGGCAATATCGAGCAGCTTTGGACCTGTCCTAGGTGGTGTCTTTACACAGACTATTGGCTGGAGGTGGTGTTGTGAGGCATCTTGCGCTCTGTTGTCTGTGGCTCATCGCTGACCTCACTCGCAGCCTTGATCAATGTTCCGTTTGATGGCTTGTCCCTCGTTGTGCTATTCTTCGCCTTGAAATCCCAGATCAAAACGATACCCATGAAGACTGGCCTCAAGTCTCTTGATTGGATTGGCTCTCTGTTGATCATTGGCGGTACCGTATGCTTTCTATATGGTCTCGAGGTTGGTGCTTCCGATCAACGCCCATGGGCCAGCGCCATGGTGATATGCCTACTGGTGTTTGGTTTGGTTATTCTCGGACTCTTCGCCTTTTATGAAGCCCGTTTTGCGACAAATCCACTCATTCCTGGCCGAATATTGTCCTCTCGGACCAATTGCGCCTCTATCATTGTTCTCTGTCTGCACAGTTTTGTCTTCATCTCATATGACTATTTCCTCCCTCTTTACTTCCAAGCGGTATTGGGATTCAACGCTATTGTCTCTGGTGTTTGCCTTCTGGCTTTGGTCGTGCCACTGTCCGCTTTTACGATGAGCACTGGCTGGTATGTCAAACGCAAAGGTGACTACCAGTTACCCATCTGGATTGGGACATGCGTCATGACCCTGGGGACCGGCTTATTTATTAGTTTTGGCTCCGGGATTGATTGGCCCAAGATAATCCTTTTTCAGATCGTTGTCGGCATGGGAGCTGGCCCACTGTTCCAAAGCCCCATGATCGCCCTGCAAAGCCATGTGAAGCAGGTCGATATCGCAGCGGCCATGTCCGCATCATCATTTATGAGAAGTCTTTGCAGCAGCATGTCTATTGTCATTGGCTCTGTGTTGATTCAAAAGTCCCTGCACGGCGGAAAACTTACCATAGATAGTGATGTTGGAGACGACAAAGATGCAGACCAGACACTTAGCGTCGAGAACTCTACTTCTGCTCTAAGCATGATGTGGATTTTCTATTGTGCAATATGTGGAGTAATGACATTGGTTTCGATCTTCATCGAAAAGATGCCCGCACAGAATTTGACGGTGGATCACGCAAGCGAGGGTAAATCAGAAAAAGTCTAGACCTCTACATCGAGAAAATGAAATTGCTAGATTGTATGTCAGGATGAGGTATCTAGTTCGAACTTACGAAACCCTTTCTGAGCATTCGGGTTGCGCGAAAGCCTACTAATTACGTATGTCCCTCTCATTGAAGGAATTAAGCTATAGCGCTCCTACTGACATTTTCGTGATTTGCTTTGAGCAATAGATCTTGTAATTCAAACTGCAAGTATTTCGGTACACGTTTCGGTAACGTTTTTTTCAATTTTTCTATGTACTCCAGTATCTTAGAGTCAACTAATTCGTACTCCATCTCCAATCCTGTCAGAACCGTGAGTGGAGATGTTGGCATTCTATTCAGCGACCCAATCTGATCAAAGACGCCGCCTTCTTGCGTCTTGCTGAAGTCCTATAGTGCCAAATTAGGAAGCTAGCTCACGGGTTTGCCGACCCAAGAGAGACGATCGTCAGCTTCTCCAAGTTCGGAGAATAACGGCGGTTTGTCGCGGGAAAAAAAAGTAGAAAGGAGACTTACAATTGTTGCCTCTTTAGTTCTCACGATGTCAGATTTCCGGGGTTCAAGAGTTTCCCATGAGTTTAAAGTACAGTTGGTAGAATTGCGTGTGCTAGGACCCATTAATGGTCCGGTGAAAAAGTTCGTCAAACACATAGAGGGCAGCACCATGTCGAGAGTTACGCTCGTCTTTATTGCATGGGTTGAAGTGACAAGGCCAGAAATGGCGCGTAAGTCATGACCCTGCGCGGAGCACTGACGTAGTACTGGTTCGGTCCCATTTCGGTGCGCTGTCAAGGGTTTCCTGCGCATCATTAGCTTGTTGATCGGGGAGACGATGCAGTACTGACATGTTCTGATAGAAGACACCGGAGGGTTCTATGGCTTTGCGCGTGTATTGGACGGAAAACATGGATCTTTGTTTCGCATCGTGTTTGAAGTCAGTCCAGTTTCGGACAGGTCGCTTATGAACCAGCTACGTTCACGGGAATCAGTCTATCTTTGGTTTTTTATCAGAGCCTGCTGTCTGTTATCAACTATTTGACATGATAAGACTCTCCCCGTTCTATCATCGACTCAATGTGTATTCCCTCCCGGGCGCAGAATTTATACGTAATATCCAACCTGGCCGCAGACTGTCTCCTTGGGATATATATATAAGACAATGCCTCGATCCTCCGCCATACGGGAATTTGTGACATGCACTGTACCATTTTCTCTTCCCAAGCCGCACCCTCTTCAATTTCGATTACCCGCTCAACCACCCTGGCAGCAGAGATGCTATCCCAAGCCGCCTCCCGTATTAGTTGCCGTCGCAAAATACTCAAGGCCTCACGACGGACAATAGGATGCCGGCACTTGACCCCAATTATGTAAAGAACGGGGATAAATCCGATCTCTGGCGTAAACGTCGACCTTGACGACCCCGAATACCGCTGATGCGCCGCCGCTACCTCGCCCGCCATTGCGACGCATTGCTGAAACTGGGGCAGGAAATTGTCATAATCCATTTCTCTGCCAGGTCCGTAACCACTGAGGAGAATCCATGCGATAGTATGATGTAAGCGCAGGAGTGATACGAGAGGGACAGTTTCAAAGTCCGACTCAGAGGAGCTGCCTTGTTGCAGGAGGTTTTCAAAGAGACATGACCACATTTCCAACTGCCCGAGAACGATACCCTTGAGTGAGGAAGATAACGCCGGCATCGTACCTGTCGGGGACAATTGTTGATCTGTGCTGCGTAGCCTCATCACCTGAGCAACGAGAATCTGGAGGTGGTCGGCAGCTTGGTCGAGGGACCGAAAGTTACTGTCGAAGAATGCAAGATGGGACATAAATGTCTCTTGGATGTTGACTGGAGTCCAGTCGACCAGAAACGTGACGGCCTGCATGTCAAGACGGCGGACCTGTTTTGTGACCTGGCAGATAATCGCGTGAACCCCGGAGGATTGGGCATCGTCATAGGTACAGTTGTTCAATGTAGCGTTGTCGATGCTGCGTAAGAGCGCCGCACCTCCGCGCAGGTGCTTCGCTGCTTGTACGTTGTCGCCCGCCAGATGATCAAAGCAGATAAAGAGATAACAGACCAAAAGTGTGACAGCTGTTATTTCGGCGCTGTCACCGCTTTCCGGGTTCAGCAGGAGTTGAATGGCGCGGTTGTAGTGAAGTAAAGGAGCCTTATCCGGTAGCCGGTCTTTCAAGGAAGGCGGTTGATACACCCGATCGTTAAAATGACGATCCAGGTAGTTTCGGTGAATCAAGGCCAGAGCAATGGCAGCATGCCGCACTGATGGCACTGTTTGAGAGAAGAACATGAGAGTCTTCCGCCATGGTTCGCAAGGGCGGTATTCATTGAGATGCTTGATCGAAATATCCTTGAAAAAGCACATTACCTCTGCCTCGGTTGGCCCAGTCACTGGTAAGATCATAAGGGGTCCGAGATTCTGCAAACTGAGGCCATGGTATCTCGAGTGCCATCGCTTTGACTCGTATGCACTGATCGTGGTACAGGGATGGTAACTATCGCAGATATCTGTTCTGTCGACGACCTCCTTGTGACAATGAGCTGATTCAATCTCAGTCTTCTCAGTCTTGAATGCGAGGGGCATTTCACTATAGCCATCGCAGGTGCGACCGGTAGAAAGGCATCTCAAGCATGAAGGCCGAGATAGATCGCATTTAACTCGTCTTATCCTGAAGGATGTCAGTTTCGAAGTCTTTGAACACAATTGATTGCTCTATAGCAATACGTTGAGTCAAGACATACTTGCAAGTCTTACAGCCTAGTCTTGATTTTGGAGCGAACTTGCGAGGCTTTTTTCTCCAGGCTTGATTGCCCGTCTTGGTGTTCTTATTCTTCGTCCCATCCATCATGGTGATGTGGCTAAGATCTGCAATGCGCGCTGTTTCAGGCAGAGATCAATTTCGAGGCCACCACAACCTGTAAGCCGCCACCTGCATGCATTGGCTTCGAAAGGGAGCTTATGGGGTGCCCATGAAAGTTCAAGATGATAATCTGTTCATCATTTCGCACGCCAGTGAGGAGGTTATCGCCACATCCTTTGCGGTGGACAGCGGAGTGAGAAAAGGTGGACGGTGCGGAGTACAAAAAACAGAAGCTTGGAGAAAGACCGCGCTTGATAGGCCGGTTCGTACAAGCGGGGCACTTTAAAAGGAGAGTTTTCAGTGATGAGCGAAGGATTGGATATGTAGCCTAAAGCTAGACCAATTGGAATTAATCCTGCTAAATAGAGGCTAGTGGGTTTCATGATAAGTATCGAATGGCTAGTTCGTACACGCGGAACTCCGAGAAAGAAATATGATCGGCATAACACTTACTTGTTAAAGTCTAGTACAAATTTGTGATACGTACTGATTGGTTAGCTACAAGCGGGGCGCCAAGGAAGACTTTTTAGGATAAGGAGGGGACTATATAAGTAGTCATCTTTGTGAGTCTGTGGGCTAAGGATACAAATATTCATACGTACAAGAGCATGAATCTCATTTGTAACGTGAATTGAAGTCTTGGACCCACCACTACACTTACAAGGGTAAGATCCTGTCCCCGCACCCGCCGTACGTGGTCATACTTGGTGGTGGTGATCAAAAAGAATATTGGTTGGCTGGTTCGTAACAAGCGGAACGGACAGCGAATGTACGCAAGAAGATGTATTGTGGGTCGATAGGAAGAATGCAGCTGCCCATTGAAACCGTCAGACTTGATACAACTATTTAAGGAAATTCAATTGGTATAAATAGTTCCTGGATATCGCAACTGTTTCGGCTCGTGCAAGCAACTGAACGGAAAGATCAATGATGCCCCAGAGATTACAATGAACCGACTTGTGAGTGCAGTCATCCTTTTCATGAGCTTGGGATTGAAAGCCCACAGTTTGCATGATCGGGGCATGGTCTATAGATTTGACAATGTGAGTCCGGCAATTTACGGTACCACATTGCCGAAGGGTTTCAAGCTTCTGACGAGCCATCTAGATTGAACCATCAGCCAACCTGACATGGACACCATGTTTCGATACCTTTGGTTGCTCTAGACTGGAAGTTCCTTTGGACTATTCAAACAGAAGTCTTGGCACAACGTCGATTGCCTTCATCAAGCTGGCTGGCAAAAATGCCACCATCGAGTCTCCCAGCATTGTACTCAACCCCGGTAAGATCTCAATTCTACTCATGCAACGTTATCTGAGCTTCATTTGACTGGACTGACACTTCGTTAGGCGGTCCGGGTGGTTCTGGTGTCGACCTTCTCCTCACATACCAGAGTGTCATCGGACAGATGTTTGGAGAGCAGTACAACTTTGTCTCCTTTGACCCTCGCGGTGTGAACAACAGTGGCTTGCATCTAGACTGCTTCTCAAAGGACGCAGAGGCAAGATCGGCTTTCTATCGACTGCACAGGACAGGCGCCACCAATATCTCATCAACATCACTTGAGGAACAGTACTATTCAAGCTCCATCTACGGCGAGTGGTGCAACAATGCTGTGGAGAACAAGTCACCACATTCATATTATGTGACTACGCCAGCAGTTGCCCATGATTTGCTCACATTTACCGAAGCCGAGGCTGAGATGGCAGGTCAGTCACCATCAAACGCCAAATTGTGGTGCTATAGCATCAGTTACGGCACTGTCATCGGGAGCACTTTCGCTTCGATGTTTCCTGACCGCGTTGGGAGAATGATACTCGATGGCGTTCTGAACACAGAGCAATATTATAACAACTATTGGACGGACAATGTTGATCAAATGGACGAGGCCATGGAAACATTCTCGACTTTCTGCCATTCCGCAGGGTCTGAAAAGTGCTCATTTTGGGGACCCACACCGGCTAACATCACGGCGAGAATGAATGGCATTATCCGTCAGCTTCAGAACCATCCAGTACCGCTAAGCGGCGTCGGCGATCTAGATCTGCCGACAATGGTCACCTATTCAGACCTGAAGACTCTTTTCCTCAACACACTCTACTACCCACTGGAAAGGTTCCCAAGCATGGCCGACATCCTACACCAGGCCGACTATGGGAATTTCTCCGCTCTTGGGGGCATGTATGACCAGTCAAACCCTATAACCGATGCCCGTCTCGCCATTACATGCACCGATTCGTATCGGAGAAACAGGCTTACTACCATTGAAGAGTTCAAGATTTGGGCGGAGTACACGGGTTTCAAGAGCAAGTACATCGGTGATATCTACCCGACCTTTCTGGAAGGTATCTTATGCCGATCATTCCGACCGCAGTTGCCTGATAGCATGGTAGTTCAAGGTAGGCAACACTCCTTTTGTCTTTGGCAAAACGTGTGACCATCTGCATTGGAGCCAAAGCCTAACCAGGTTCGATGCAGACGAAACAAGCGCACTAAACATGCCTACATCCTTCCCAATCCTCATTGCGAGTAATACCATCGATCCTATCACGCCGTTGGAATCGTAAGTTTCAGCCAAATCGCATCGCCATTGGGTATGTTACTAGCTGACATTATCTCGTCGTAGGGCGCGCAAGATGTCTTCTTGGTTTGCTGGATCTGTCCTTTTAATGCAAGAAGCCGTTGGTGTAAGTTGTTATCAATTCTAAATCCTACAGCCATCTCGACCAAGAGTCTAGGCTTACTCGCGGGATCTTTCCTTTGAATTCAGCATACTGTCATCGGCCAGGGGGCATCAGACTGTTACTTTGGACAAATTCAGGCATACCTCCAAGGCACAGTTCCATCGTCCAACACTACATGCCCGCGACAGTACATTCCTTTCATGAATGCCTTCCCGCTTTAACGATTGTCGAAGCCGTGGGAGAAAAGATCGGTCAATTTTAGGAAAGGACTGAACAGTGCCAACTAAGTGCTGAATTGTCAAAGTATGTGGCTCATATACACTCATTCCAAGGTAATCTTTTCACATCTGTTATTGATCCCTACGCTCCTTTTACTCTTTTGTTTATTGCAACGATTAGAAACTTTTTACATAACGAAAGTGTGACGTATAGTACTGTAAATTACGAGAAACTGCGATATAGGTGCAACCTCCATGTCCCTCCCCTCCCTCCTTCTACTCAAGCCGTAAGCTTTCACATATCACTCTAAGAGCCGCGTAAGGTGTATCGCTCAGCATAACACCGAGATTACCCATTCCAAGCTAAATTTCATTCGCGATATGATACAGAGCCAACCACTTACTACGGTCAAATGGCCGAAGAAGCTGAATACAGTAAGCGATCGATGAAAAGTATTCGCAGAAGCTTCCCGCAATTTGGAAGCATCCACACCTCCCTGAATTGAATCGGCCGGAGAAGGATCATAAACGCGATCGACGTTAGAAGCGCTCTACGATAAAAGTAGGTCGTGTGAAAAAAAAAAGAGAGCGCCAGACGACATTTAGGGACGTAGGCCTCATGATACACATTCACAGCACTTGAACCCGATTTTTGGTGGGATAGAAGAAAATGCTCATCTAGCTGCACCACTACCACCAGGGTTGCAATTTATATGTGCACGATACATGACTAATGGACAAGCTGACTTACCCATGATTGTGGAGAATCTTCGGGTTTTTATCCTGACAGTATATCCCGGAATGGTGATGGAGCTAGTGCTTACCCAGTTGGCGCCTTGGTTGGTGCCTGGGAGTCATTCCGCGACCTTTACCTAGGTAGGTTAGTCAAGATAACCCGACAACTTCTCGACTCTTTTCCCATTAATATTGCCACGTTGCCCTCTTCATTCCATTATTGACATAATGTCGCGAACCACGGAAGATACCCCGCTGCTGTTGGGCCCCACAGCCGATGAATTTGGATCCCCGAATGATGAACGATATGCTCCCATTGTGGAAAGACATCAACAACGATGCACCAAAACCATCTTCATTTTGACGTGGAGCTCGGCACTGCTCGCGGTCTTCATCCTTGTTCTGAACCTGATCATCATATTCATATTTCTTGCCCGATTCGGGAATATCATGCCCTGGCCACCAGAGGGTGCTCTAGTTGCCCTCTTGTTTACGGTATGTTTTGATGTCACGCACATATATACTCCTCACAAGGAAAATAGGCCGCTGACCACAGCGACAACAGCTCCTGCCCGCCGGATTGATCTCGTTCCTTAATCTGGCTCGTCTGTATCTCTGGAACCGACCTATCTGGCTCTGGTTGAACCTGATCCTGGACCTCGCCATCGCTGTATTCTCAATCGGTAATGGTCTATCGGGGTTGGGCCTCGGCCGCTCCAGCTGGGACGCAGATGTACCCCTATGGTTCATCCGTATCGCCCAGGTCGTATCCTCGTTGGCTGTGGTGTTCGGGTCAGTCATTCCGGAAATATCCTCTCTGCTCTTCTTCTTAATACATATTAACACCCACTGGACATCTAGACTGATTCACTTGGCTCTGTTCCTCGTGCGATGCTTCCTGTCCTTCAGCTACCGGCCCTGGCGTGAATATCGCAATTGGACGTTGCCCCGTGGGCGCTTTAGCATTGAGTTCAAGGTGCAATTCATTCGACAGTCGGACAACGCCGAGGCGTCGCCCGACACTACTGCCTCTGGCACCGGAATCCAGGCAGAAGTGGCGGCGCAGAGGGTTTGAGGGGGTCCATTCCCAGTGTGCACCAGGTACAGCAACTGAGTCAAGCCCATCCATGTCAACTCATCAACAGATCAACTATACACAGGCAATACAACGTTCTATTTCTAACAGAATTCCCGGATGAGCTCGATCTTTACTAAAAATCCAACCCTCCACCGGATGATTATATTTACTCACACTCATTAAAGAGCTACATCTCTATTTTACAGTGCGTACTTGGAAAGTGCGCATCACACACAAAGGCAGGACAGGTAGAATCGTAACCATGTAGAGCGAAGACTAGAGTACAAAATATCAGCTCTGATTGACTATGTCGTACAGCTGAGAAAGACTAGAAGCAACTGGAACAGGCAGAGGAACAGGCAGAAGACTTGATTTTGTGCCCGAGGCGGGCAACCGAAGGCCTCATATAGCCTCGCTGGCAGGATCACATGGGCACGAACTTACGGTACTGAAAGCCACCGAAGAGGTGGCAGAACAAATTATTAACACAGCGAGAGTTTGTCCGAGACTGCAACTGACCTGAGATAATCTGGATCTGAAGTTTCCCGTACTTGTGGATGAGCGCCGACTGGGAGGGATGGAAATACGCAGCCATCCAACCCGTGCTGAGGCATAGATAAGGCTAGTGCCGGCGTCAGATCTCGCTTCAGCTGTGCCAACAAAGGAACCCGATCTTACTCCGGGCTGATGATCACACAAAGCCCTCTCTTTACCTCAATCAGGTACCCAATTGTCGGCGCTGGGACAATTGAGCAAGAAATAAATACGAAGCTAACTGATAAGGAGACGGCCAAAAAAAAAGAGAAACGAACAAAACATACAACAGTGAGGATTCGCTAGTGGTCACCCACCTAACTACTAACTTACCGGCGTGTGGCTTAAGTACGGCTGAGCGGACGGGAAGCCCTGTTCTCCACACCCTATGGTCGTATGTACTTGCTTTGGCATAGAAAGGGGTTGTATAGGACTTACGCTTACATAGGCTGTATAGATCATAGAAGATACACTCGTGGTCATATACCTAACTAGTTACCGGCGCGTGTGTCTTGTCTACGGTTAGTAGTCGGGTTGGTGTCGCCTGGGTGAGTTTAGTGAGAGCCGCTTTGTCGTCGCGCGACCGGAGGTGACAAGGGTGAGTGCGCTATAGACGGGGTGAGAATCATGGTGAGAATCACCTAAGTTGCGCGACCACTACACTAACCCCTTTAGCTAAACAACAACAGAATGTCAATAGGTTATACCCTCTCCGCTGAAACGCTCGGGCGGCATCTTAGCATCTATATATAGCCACAACTAGAAGCATCATAACTATACAGAGTACTTCATAACTATACCTTCCTATCTTACGACAGAGAAATTCTGGGGACATTTATTTACTGCTTCAATGTCGAAGCGGCTATGTTATCATGTACAGCAGCAAGTCCTTACGTGGCTGGCTGCCCTCGCGAAGACAGATTGTGCGTTGGAGTTATCTTCCGCTTCTAGATGACCTGGATGACTGATTCAAAACCACAGAAAGAATTATGTCCGTTAGCCAAATGGTCCTTGTTGATTTTGACGATAGCCCAGGGTTTCCTTGTTTTGTGCCGAGCGGGAGCTAACGCCATGACCCACGCACGGGGCCTCCCGAGCTCCTTGCCACCACTCACGCGCGGAGAGGCACATGGACCGACGTATTGGAAAACCTTGAACCAACGTCCACAATCCGGACCAGGAGATATGCACGAGTGGAAAGCGAGCAGACCCACGCAGCCCCGGGACCCTTGGAGCCGACTAATATTGGAACTAGCAGCGGACGGGTGACAACTAAAGAAATTCGGCAGATCACCGAACACCTGTGACCAAGTCCTAAGGCAGCCTGCCCACAAAACAAGCCACTGTAGTCTGCTGTACCGAGAGAAGTGGACGAATCATCCAACTAGACTATCGTGGGGTCGTGATAGAATAATCTCGTGGGGTCTCTTTAACCTCACTTCTTACCTGATTAGGAAGGTCACCAACACCTGAACTGATCAGTCCCCCCGCCCCGCCAAAGGCGTAGTGCTAAGACCTGCTACCTTGAGGAATCCACGACTCCCGGTAAACCAATGACATATCATCTATGCACTAGGTACCAATTAGGGGATGTTGGGAAATGAGCACTTCAAGCTCTTCTTGACCTCCCAAAGTCACTTGTTACCCTATTATTAGGAATGTCTCCAGCACCCAAACTCATCATTTCAATTATTCGCTTTCACTTTTATCTATAATCGTTCGTGAATGGCAAAGAAGTACTGCACTATGACTGCCGAGCGGACTATCTATCCAATGTCTCAAAGGTTAGTCTCAATGGACAGGTTCATAGATCCGACGTTGAATTTCTTCTTAATATGCATACACTTTCTACTCTCGCTCTCATAACCGCAAGCCATGATTTCTAGTACAGCGGCACCTCCTCCTTGCAGCCATATGCATACGTCTTACTGGCGCTCTATTCAAGACTTCCTTCTTTCCAATGTATATTTCCACCGAGGGCAAAGGGAAAAATTAATGAGGGCCCATATTTCTGGGATGTGTTGAAGTCAGAGAAGACTAGTTGTTGGGGTCCAATGCATCTTTCTCGGTCCCATATCCGGTTCTAACCATATCCATTGGAGGGTCAAAGAACGGGTTTTCTCCGTTCTCGTATAAGAATTCGTCTACCTCCTTTCCAATCCATTTTGCACGCCCTGGGAGAGATATGTCTTGATCGCAGCCGATGGTGACATTTCGCCGTCGATCTGACCAGAGACGCTTTTCCCGAATCTGTTCGCGCATCTCCGTAAGCAAAGAATGCCAATGATTTCCGTTGTCCACGAATTTCAAAAAGCTCAAGTTCACAGATCGTACCGTTTTAGGTAGTTCTGAAAGGAACGATATGACGTCGGATTGGCTGACTATGAAACGTGATAGCTTAAAGTGTCGGAGTTTGGGCCAATTCTCAATGGGAAATATGCTTTTCAAGGGCACAGGCGTGATACTGTGCAGATTCTTGTGCTCGTTTTCGGCGTCTATCCCTGTGGTAGCGAGGCTGATCTCCTCTAGATCGCCTGCTTCGCTCAACGCCTCATAAAGTCTATCATGGGGAAATGATTGCCACGTCCCGGCGAGACTAATGGCAAGATCGAGGTGACGGAAGCCCGGTTTCTTGAGCAGCGTTACTAAGTGATCGTGTTCCTCGCAAGGATCATCGAGGATCGTACAGTTAATCCCCGTGCGAAGTAGGCGGGAATCTAGACTAAGCTCGACCACATCATTTTTTTGTTGAGCGAGCACGCGTGCCACAATGCGGAATCCGTGAAACTTTTCTTTCTGCACTTCGTTGAGCCTTTTCCAAGGAAGCGAATATACCTCCTCTGGTTGTTCGTGGCTAGGAAGTGGCCATCCGCGGGGGATAGGATAATTGAATCCTTGCGGGAAGGATCGGATCATAGGAGTTTGATAAAGCGGGGTGAAAAGAATACCATGGGCTGCAGGCGTGACCGTCACTTTCTTGAGTGCAGGGAATTGTTTTATTCCATGAATGAATGCTTCTTCGTCAAATTTCCTAGCTAGGACATCGTCTTGTTGCCGGATCAAAGTCCGATAAAACTCCCAACACTCACTCAGCGGAGGCCCGATCGAGCCCAGCTTTCTTATAGTTTTGTAATCCGGGTCTTCATCGTCTATCCCGTTGTCACCGGCTTGACGCCAGAAAGTATCCTCGACACTCGCAGCGCATGCGGCCTTGAACCACACAGGACAATCTTTGCCTTTGAATTTTATACTTCTCCGTAGCTGATTGGCAGGGTTGCCTCCTCCCTCATCATCCTCGTCATCCTCATCGTCGTCATCGTCGCTATATTCGCGAGGCCAGTCTAGCTCACAGTTTCCGCGAAAGCGACATATCTCGGTCTCGTTATCACTGGTTTCCTCGTCTGATACCATTTCATTCTCCCAGCCAGGGAGTCCGCTCCGTGTTCGAGGGCCCCTGGGAAGTCGGGCATCGTCCCAGACGATCTCTGTGACCCGGTGCCGGAACTTCTCATGGTCTGCGACAGCAAGAAAGACTTCGATATTCAAGGGGTTAGCCGACAAAAACACTCGCTGGAGACGCAGTTCCACTGCATTGGAGAATTGTTTAGAGGTGAGGCGCATGGACTTGATATCGCGATTCGGTAGATGGGATGTAATTTCTCGCCACAGCTCCAAAGGGAGAGCAATGCTCTGGCCAATCGAAGTCATTTTGGTGCGCTGGTACGCTGGTAAGATGGTGGAGGGGCAAAGTGGGTTGACAACAAAGTCATTAGACAATCGGGGGGATTAGTGTTAGCGTCAGGTGCCCCTATGTTTGTGTGTACGGGCGCCCCACCGCCTTGATTGGCTCCCCACCTGGGCACCTCCTACCCATCCAGTATGATCAACGGAATACTCGAATATACCAGTTGAAATGTGTAGAAATTCCTTTACTTCTAACTTCTCTCACATGCGCTAAACTTGAAGCACAAAGGCACTTCAAGAGAAGGCAGAAGCTATCTATCACTTGATTCGGAGAAAATATCTAGGTTTGACGACCGCATTGTCTCAACTATAGATAGAAATGTCCGAGCCAAACAGCCAAAACCAAACCCTTCTACTACTGAAGTAAGCAATAACCCCTTGACCACTGCCCTCATTTGAACTCAGAAGTGACCCATCGAAACAAGCAATTATAAATGCATATCTTTCAAGCAGCTGGAATGACAACTAGGTGAGAAGTGCAAAAACGTCATATGTCGGAAGCACTAACCGAAGGTTGAAGTGGGTTCTGGTGTAGAGGTGGATGTCGACGAAGAAGTAGGTACCGAGGTAGAAGTAGGTGCTGAGATACCCACACAATAAGATGTACCTTGGGAGATTGTGCAAGGATAGTTGTACGAAGACGGCTGAGCATCTGCACTTGCGGTTGCACTGCTGCTGCCTGAGGAGTTATTCAGCGTGCCATTTTTGGCCATCGATGGGTTCCAGAGAATGGAATCCTGGCTGAAGTGTCAGCTCTCTGGAGTTTCAGAATGAGTTGGAACAACAAAAACAAACCTCTGGAGAAATGTCATACACCATGGCAAGTGACCAGCAATCCAGTAATATGCCTTGGCTTCGATTGGCATTCTCATACCAAGCGTACCTGTATCCAGATGAGTTCGTATAACCAGTCAAAATGCCTGGTTTTACTTACTGGGCGCAGTCTTTTCTTGTGTCCTCGGCAATTGGAATAGAGGCTCTTCCGCCTGTTGTGTAGCCGTATATCGGAGAGGGGGCGGATGTCATGGACAGTCTGGAAAATGGAAGAAACTACGCTGGTCTCCCAGTGGGGCGTTATGGACTGTCTCAGTACGTTAAACACTACAGTAGGGGCTGAAACGAACCACGCCGATCGTGTGCATTCTGGGGCGATGATTGTGGTGATCCTCGGGGTGTGATTCAACGGTGCATTTTCTGTGACGACCCGAGAAACAACATTCGTCTCACTATCAGAACCTTGTACTATATCTTGTTAGGTTCAAGTGTTTGTCCCATTGTTCGTATTGTCCCCAGAAATCCAACTTTAGCTGCCAATGTCACTGGCCTTGAATCACACACGCAATGCCTAGGCTGGGAGAACTTAGTAGTCCACTTACAGGCATATCTTTCTCTAGAAAGCTTCAATTGAATACTCATACAAATGCCTCTTAGCTCTTGTAGGTGAAACTTACATAGATCGTAAAGTGGCGATTGGCTAGCAAACTACTCAGAGTCCACCTTCTCCTTAATTATCCCGTGACAGCACCACCTAAAAATAAGCATCTCGCACAGAACGCAATTTATTCACGAACGGTTCGGGCGTTCGGGATGTTCGGGCGCGGGCACTAAAGAAACCCAACCCCAAGATGGGTCCACTACACGAAGTTTCTAGATAATTATGACAAAAGCCTCATTTTTGCGTTCATTCAACCAATCAACGTTCTCTAGTTCATCTAAGCAAAACAGCCCTGTGTGTCAGTCTTCAGAACTTGGTATATGGTGGGGTTGAACAAACACGGTTCATAGAGTCGTTGAGAGTTGTATATACGATGCAAAGTTGATCGTCACCCAGCTTCTGCAACTTTGACACTACTTGCATTCTACCTTGATATATCAATTGACGATCATTACTCACCATATTCTCGATGAGACTCGCAACAGAGTGAGCTCATTTACAAGGCATCTGAGACGATCCGTTCCAGAAACCTTGAAAATGAACTCGTTGACCCCAGCTTGTGGTACTCTGAAACAGGAACCACAAGACATGGGCAGAGCTTTAGTTTCACTAACAATGCATGTCAATATATTGTCCGATTTCAAACATGGGTTTAGTCACAAGCACGAGCGTATGTACCAAAATAGAATCAATGAACCGCCCGCTCTATGCCTCGAGAGAACTATAAGAGAGGGCATATTCCAGCACCGATCAGTCCTCATCAACAACCTACTTCTTTCTTTCGCTTCAGTTGACTGGATCAGCTTGGATTTCACTCGCTCTTCTTTTTCTTTCTTCCTCCAAAGTTGAACTCAACAACTCTATATTTCTCTTTTCTTCCTTCATTGTTCCGGCAACATGAAGAATACCGCGATTCTGTTCCTCGCGGGCACTGCTCTCGCAGCACCCTTCAACAAGACCCTCGAAACCCGCGAGCCCTGCCTTTGGCTCGACTCTGCCTCGGGTGGTAACGGCGGTGGAAGTGGCTCTGCCAGCGGCTCGGGCAGCGGACTTGCCTCTTTCCTCCCCGGCTTCTTGGGTGGTGGCTCTGCTTCCGCTAGCGGCTCCTCTGATTCTTCTGCCGATTCTTCCGCTGAAGCCTCCGCTGAAGCCTCCGCTAATGCGTCTGGATCCGGCTCTGCTAGCCTAGGGGGTTCTGGCAGTGGCTCTGGTGGTGCGTCTGCAACCGGTGGTCTTGGTCTTGGGCTTGGTGGCTCTGGCTTCCCTGGCCTCGGCGGTTCTGGTTCAACTGACAATGGCGCTTCTGGAAGTGGCTCCGGTGGTGCTTCTGCAACTGGTGGTTTTGGTACTAGCTCATCTGGTAGCGCTGATCTTGGTGCTTCTGGCGGCGCTGGCCTCGGCGGCTCTGGTAGTGCTTCTGGTGAGGCCTCTGGCACTGGGTCTCTTGGTGCCGGTGCCTCTGGCGCTGCTGGACTGGGCGGCTCTGGTAACACTGGTCTTGGTGCATCTGGCACTACCTCGGGTGGTGCTTCCGGCACGGGATCTGTGGACTCTGGTGCTTCTGGCTCCGCTGGCCTTGGTGGCTCTGGTAGCGCCTCTAGTGGTGTTTCGGGCGGTGCCTCCGGCGATACCTCTGGATCTGGATCTATCGGCGGTGATGCAACGGGTGAAGCTTCCGGGACCGGTTCCCTCGGCGCGAGTCCCACTGGCACCGATTCTTCCGACACGGGTTCTTCTGGGGCTGGCGTTTCTGGCAGCGGCTCCGCTGGTGCTAGCGGTTCCGGATCTGGTTCGTCTGGCACAAGCGTCTCTGGCGGCGTAGGCGCTGGCTCCGGCACCGGTACTTCTCCCCAGGAAACCAGCTGGAGCACCAGCGTCAGCTTCGCTCTCCCCGGTCCCACTGGCATCTCTGGCGGCGCAAGTGGCTCTCTTAGTGGCTCTGCGTCTGCCCAGGCTTCTGCTGAAGCTCAGGCCTCTGCCAATGCCTCTGCCAACGCCGACGCTTCTGCTGATGCCTCCGGCAATGCCAGCGCGTCCGCCGACGCTTCCGCCGACGCCTCTGCATAAGGCAAAAACGATATGACTGTCATTGCCTGGTCCCGGGATTAGCCCTTCAACGGTAGCTGCTTTCTCGGGAATCTCTGGCATGTTTGAATTGTGGTGGAACAACACTTTTGTATGATGTTGACTGGGTGTGAATTGTTCTTAGAATATTCCTGTGCGGCTTGTGCACACTTACGCTCCTTTTATTATGCGAGAACAGTACTATCAGATTAGTTCTAGGTAAATTAATCAATCATCTCCTTACCCTGACTTTTGGACCATTGTTTTTAGTCAATAATTTTCATTCCAGCTTTTTGGTAGGAGTTCATATAGAATATCGCGCAGGAGTCGCAATGCAACCTTCTAGCTATTGCAAATAACGTCAGTCATGGTAAATGTGGTGATATTCCTCGGTCAAGATGCAGCGGTTAACTTCCTTGTGACGTGGCCACCATCTTTAGAATCGCGACTATTCAAACATTACAAGTCATATATGATTTGAAAAGAGACTAAATATGACGGAACTGATTTATAGAAGTTATTGTAGCGTGCAATGGCCTGTTTACGGCTAGTGTTTGCCCTGGTTTTGGTCATGTGCATAAGTCAAAGCCGTTCTTACCAGTGGTTAGGTGACAGCGGAGATTAGGAGCCAAAACTATATCATGGCCCTTGTGTAGCAGCATGTTAGAACCAAAAGTATAGGGGACGTCAAAGGCGCAGAAACATTAACCTCGGTTAGCACTCACTCACACTCCCCTGTATAGTTCGGCATTCGGCACTAAAATACTATGTCGCAAAATAGAAAAATCTGATCCCTGCCGGAGACTCCGACGTTCATTCCCCGTGAACAATCCCAAGCGAACCAAATGAGCGTTCCAAGACTGAATAGCAATTAATAATTCCCATGGAGACCAACCGATCCCTCCACGTGCACACGAAACCACGGCCAGTAAATAACTTCCGATATCTCACCCGGCCGAAAGCTTGACGATCCCCGAGGTCTAATTTATTATGTTCGGACATTAAATCTACATTGTGCTAAGCGGCCCTTGTGCCTGGTGAACGTGGTGGGGCCAGGTGACTAAGTATGCAGAAGATCTGCATGTTCAGGTCCGTGGGTGGCATTCTGGATGTGATTGGTTGTTAGTACTTCTCGACCCAGTTGTAGTATGCTACAGTGCATTGTGTTTTTAATACTTGCAATAAAGAAGTAAAATATATATAGACGTGATCGTCCTGTCTAATGCGTAGAATGGTATTCAGATCTTGTCGATCGTTCTAATTTTCGGTCATCATGGTTGGTGTCGCGACACTCATCAAGTCTCTGCCTCTTGTGGCGGGCAGTGCCTTTGCTAGTGTCACTTATCCTAGTCTTCCAAAGGACTTGACTACTCCTCATCAGCAGCGCCTGGCCGTGTACGGACCTAACGGTACGACTGTCAATTTTTAATTTAGTGACTGCCTTTCACGTCACATATTCTAACATATTGATAGCTGTATCCGTGGGCTGGAACACGTACGAGCAGTTGAATCAGACCTGCGTACAATATGGCCTGTCAGCAGACAACCTCAACACAAAAGCCTGCTCATCCTCATCAACAACCTACGCAACATCGCGAACATGGTCCAACGTCGCAATCCTAACTGGCCTTACCCCAGCAACAACCTACTACTATAAAATCGAGTCCACAAACTCAACAGTAGGCCATTTCCTGAGCCCGCGCTCCCCAGGCGACAAAACACCCTTCAGCATGGATGTAGTAATCGACCTAGGCGTCTACGGCAAAGATGGGTTCACAACATCCAGCAAGAAAAAAGACACAATCCCAGTCATCGAACCAGAATTAAACCACACAACAATTGGCAGCCTCGCCAACACAGTCGACAACTACGAGCTAGTAATCCACCCAGGCGACTTCGCCTACGCCGACGACTGGTATCTGAAATTCGCGAACCTCTTCGACGGAAAAGAAGCCTACGAATCGATCCTCGAACAATTCTACGACCAACTCGCCCCAATCGCAGGCCGCAAACTGTACATGGCCAGTCCTGGAAACCACGAAGCAGACTGCAGCGAAATTCCCTACATCAACGGCCTCTGCCCAGAAGGCCAGAAGAACTTTACCGATTTCATGCACCGTTTCGATAATACCATGCCGCAATCTTTCACTTCGTCTTCTTCAGATACCACTGCCCAGGCACAGGCGAAGAAGGCCCGGTCCCTGTCCAACCCACCGTTCTGGTATTCGTTCGAATACGGCATGGCGCACGTCGTTATGATCAACACCGAAACAGACTTCCCCAATGCCCCCGATGGCCAAGGTGGCTCTGCAAACCTAAATGGCGGGCCGTTCGGCAAAGAGCACCAACAAATCGAGTTCTTGACCGCTGATCTGGCGAGTGTTGACCGATCCGTCACGCCGTGGGTCATCGTCGCTGGTCATAGACCGTGGTACTCAACCGGGTCGTCTAGCGGGTGCGATTCATGCCAAGAAGCGTTCGAGGGATTGTTATATAAGTACGGTGTTGACCTCGGTGTTTTCGGACATGTGCACAACTCGCAACGGTTCTTGCCTGTTGTTAATGGCACGGCTGATGCCAATGGAATGAATGATCCCAAAGCGCCGATGTACATTGTGGCTGGAGGTGCCGGTAATATTGAGGGCTTGAGTTCTGTTGGGACCAAGCCTAATTATACGGCTTTTGCTTATGCTGATGATTATAGCTATGGGGCTATTAAGTTTGTCGACGAGCAGCATTTGGAGGTTGAGTTTATTAAGTCTTCCACTGGGGAGGTTTTGGATACTAGTACGCTGTATAAGAAGCATGCCACGCGGTTTGTGAGGCAGTGAGCGTGATTTTTTGAGAGGGACGAGATAGTTCAATTTGTTCATAATGACCTGATTAAAGAGTCAGTCGAGAGCAACATGCGCTCGTTGATGATGACTATATAAGGCACTGAATATACAAAAGTCCATCGATTAACTGTTTTCCCCGAACAATCTCAGAGGACTTGTAATGAATGCAAAGGGTGAGACAAGCTCAAATTCACTTTTTCTCAACAGGATGCTTTTGCAAACTCTCATACCATTGGATCGTAGACCCAATCATAAAAGCCCACGAGCCCCAGAAAGTAGCAAGCGTTGCCTGGTATTCGACCTTAGAGTGCATACTCCCTGGCCCAAGTGCACCGCACAGAGTAAAGCCAATGCCACCAATGAAATTCCAAACACCGATATGCCACCCCAAAACATGCCATGCGGGCCTGTACCACTTTGATTGAGTCTCAAGAGTGAACAACAATCCACTCAGAACGAACCCTAAACCACCCACGATCTGAGGGACCCAGTATACACCATCGGCAAGGCCTTGACTCATGTGATCATAGATACCAGGAAGACCAGTAAACCCAGCAATCCAGAAGATAGTCGCAGCAAGGAATTGAACCAAAGATGCCAGAAAACCAAGTTCATGGAAGTAATGCGAGCGCAATTCTGAAACGGACGGCAACCATCGAAATGATCTCCCATCAGGCGATGACGTAACATAACCAGGACGATTCGACAAAGACTCATGATCACTGGCAGAAGGATGAGAACGATTCACGAAAAGCAGCGACTTCCGATTCGCATGGTGATGCCGACATTCCCGCATACTCGGCGTCACCTTGGTAGATGCAGGCGTGTGTGAATGAGTCCCATCCTCCTCAGATTTCGTCTTCGACAAAACAGACTCGAGTGCCCAACCAAAACATCCTGTCTGATTTGCATTGATAGCTTCCAATAATAACAACACACTACCAATCTCGAAAACAGTTGCACCGATAAATCCTGACACGCCACCCCCTGTTAGCGTTTCACCCGGGAAGGCAGCCTGTGGGACTTCGAGTGGTAGCCAGACAAAGAAGGCGTTGATAATCCAGATCATGGAGCCAATCGTGAATGCGATCGCTACCAGATACGACACGTCCCAGTAGGGTACGCATGTCAGCATGCGAAGAATGCCTTTTGCTATGGCGTGTGTGCTACGTGTTAGTGGGGGAACCGTGTACCCGGTTTCCTCGGGAGTTGCCTTGGTATCGACGCGCAACGCATGCCGGCCTTTTCTGTTATCGCGCGATCGCCAGAGATGCTCGATAGGTGGGTGAGGTCGGACTTCTCCAGGTGCTGCGTGTTTGGCTTGAAGTTGCTGGGGTAGAGTGTAATGTGCCCAGGTGGGGTTCAAGAAATGCAATGGACCTGAGACGTGGGATCTCCTTAATTCCAGGCCACTTTGGTCTTGTAGTGGCTCTCGACCTGGTTGGAAGTGGGAATGTCGGGCCATTTAGTGGCCGGGGCCGTGATAGCACGGTGTATACACGTTCCTGAACGTGTGAGGAGAGATGTTCGGATGCATAGGGGAGAATGTTCGAGGGATATCGCGATGTCGTGCTATCTTGTTTGGGTAAGCACAACTGGGGTTGCATGACGTCGTGAGATAGCGCGGGGTTTAAAGCGGCGGCACTTGCTTCCCAAAGCGGTAGTTATCATTCAAAGTGCCTTCGCAGCTACTAGTTTAGTACCACTAGACCCCGATCGGGTGCTATCAAAGCTCAATATTCGTCTTCAATCTCCGCCTCTGCCAGATCGACCAATTTCACAAGGTTCAACATCAGGTAGCAATACCTCTACCGGCATCCCTCGGACGACTAACCAGCTAGAAAAACGCAAATGTAGGCTCAATTCTGGTCTAAGTTTAGCTGCCGATAAGATCTCTTCGCCTACAAAACGTGATCTTCAACAGTTTTACAATATGTCGGTTAAGCTAGTTCACGAGCATATTTTAATGCGGGATGAAATTAGGCGTTTACGGGAGTGAAACAAAGCAGAGGAGAAAGAGGGAGAAATCGAAGAAGCAAATGCTTAATACAGGTAGTTTAACATGAGGTTTTGGATCTTACTACCAGTGTTGTTGGTGAAGGAGGTGGTGTAAATGGTGTTTAAAAAATGTAGAACTTTTGAAATTTTGATGGGGTGACGGCCGGCCGGGATCTACGTTAGCCTGTTCTAGTTAGTGGCTCAAAAAAACATCTGAGTGTGGCTGGAGATACCAACACAGTGGCTGCTATGTTTTTGTGATACTATGACGCCTGACCTGCCTGCTATACATGTTCAAGTTTATACCAGCCGTTGGATACATCCCTGGCATTTGCACAGCTCTAAGATTCCCATGCGTTGATTTCCTCCCCAGCTTCGTAAAGCGTTGATCGATTATCCTTGGATCCATTGCTAAATCCAATGGCCCCCACGGGGCCCCTTTTGGGGCTATCTCGCAATGCTAACCAAGCTGGGAAATGGCCTTGACGTCGATCCTACCGGAAATTCAAGGTTGACGGTCAGAGAAGGCAACAAAATATGGGTCCGGACTGCTTCTATTTCTTACCTGGGATTTGTAGACCACTAACAATATCGAGGCAGCACATAGTCCTGCAAATGAGGTCATTTGTTTAGAACATGGCCCCAAGGTGGTATTATTATAGCCCCAAGGTGGTATTAATATGGCCCCTAGTTGTTCATACGGGGCGTTGCATCCACTTAACCATATGTAGATCCATCACAAGAGTGCCTGATCTACGTAATTTAGATCAATAAGCAAAATGCCTCGCCGGTTTCTCCGTCAAGCTGTAGGGATATCGAATTAATCAGCCTAGATTCTCGACGTACTTAAAGCCCAAGACTGCCGCCTTCATTATAGTAGAAACAGACTCAAACCAATATCATTTAGTCCAGGTCTACTCTGAACACTGCAAAGCTCCAAGTCAATACCTCAATTCATCTTCACTACTCAAAATGCACCGACCTATCCTTTTTGGCACCTTTCTTCTGGCATGCTTCGCCAAATTCTCCTCCGCCGCCCCATCGGTCAACACAACCGAGGTCGATATTACCGACAGAGCATTGAAGTTTCCCCACTGGGGCCGGTTCTGTACCGACACCGATTGCAAAGAAGGCTGCGGAGAGTGGATTAAAATGACAGATTCAGGTTGCGTTTCTGGCGAAGGCAGCAATTCATTCTACGTTAGAGACGGCGACTCTGGAAGCCCTCTGATGCTGGTTATTTCTGACGACGATGGGTGTCCATGTCAGAGTGATTGCACAACCAATCCAGACCTGGGAAAGGCCGGTACCTGCGTTAAGCTTCCGGAAAACAAGAAATCCTGGCGATTTGTTGAGATAGGCTGGGATGGTTGCCCTGCCAATAACTGCCCTTAAGTGATATTCGCCATCACTTGGCTATAAAACCGTGTCTCAAGGCCTCAATAAATAAGAGAAATCTTTGGTACCGGCTGGATGGATGGATGGATGGATATCATTTACCCAGATCCCTCGCAATGAAAATCGATATGCAGGCTACAACTACTTTCTAAATACATCTTGATTGATCCCTGTGATTGTTCCATACCGGCTGAACGGTGAACTTTGAACCTCACCTGGTACAGGAGTAGTAGTAGTAGATTTCATTTACCTTGACCCCTCGTCGAGTTGTTTTCTAAACCACAACCCACTAGGCTGGGTACGGATTCGTTATTTTAGTCTAGTTGGGAAATCAACTCGCAAAGCGATATACAGGCAGGCTACAGCAACGATATATATCCCTGTATGTATATCTAAGATGTCCCACTTCCTGAAAACGAATTTAGAGCCTCGTCAAGGCCTATCGTGGCCTAGTTGCCGCTCCCGTTGTTAGGCTACCCTCATGGCGCGTGACTTTGAAACCGCTGTGACGCCTCGGCGAACTCTAGCACGTCCTTAATTGTCCTCGCCCGCGGTTTACCTCTCTCACCGCATGGCTCATGCAGCGATGATACAATGCCATCATTTATTACGGTACCAACTGCTAAATGTAGCGGCCAGGGAGGCTAGCTGAAAGAGTGGTATAGCCTGATGTAGAATGGGGTTCTTGAAAAATTGAAGAGAATAAAGTGGTAAAACTGATTTGGAGCGCGTCTGTACATTGGACTTCTTATTGCCGGTTAACCCCGCTTTATCTGCATTCAATCCGAAAGATTAACGATCCATTTAGGGCTTCAGGTGTGAGCCAGGAGCTCCATTCCATAGGATCATGTTCTAATCCATTTCCGTCAAATGTACTTGCGACACAAATCTGCCCGTTTACGATAGAGAGCTCAGGTCCTAGAAGTGTCAGTTGTGTATTAGCCGGCATTGGTGTCAACCCAATGTCAAAAGGAGAAGGGTACATACGTTGTTTCTTGTCCGATGAGGTAAGAAGAGCACAGAAGCATCAAGTAACGATTGGCCTAGGCCCACCTATGGAGTTCATTTCTTGGGGCATACTTGGTGGAAGTTCAGTGTGGACAGGCACGTTCGAAAAGATGCAGGGTAGATAGGCTATAACAGAAAAGAGAGCAATAATGAAATTTATCTATAGTAAGTTCATGAGGGAGGGAGAGGATGATGGGCATTTTCAGCATGATAGAGGCTATTACTGACAGTATGGCACGTCTACTATCACGCATAACATCAACTCAATTGCTGCAACATCTGTTCAAACATATATGTCACATTCGTCACCATGTCCATACTGGCAAAAATCAACAACGCTAAGAGGAAGAGTCCAACAGGTACAACATCACTCATTACTAAGACGCAATCGCCTAAAAACAAGAGCTCCCAACTGAAATCATCCACGTGAATCACAAACTCCTCAGACAGAGGTACCTTCGCGGTAATTTCATGATAAGGATCGCGACAAAACGTCGTAAACCTTCATGTCTGCTTCGCACCATTTTCCTCATCCTCCCCGCCATCTTCAACAGTAGCAGTCCGATCCCGATCCCCGGCCTCGGACTTCGCCTTAGCACTCGACTCAGTCTCAGTCTCAGCACCATCGTCCTCCGCAGGCATCTTAGTAGCAGGTTGCTGCACCGACTTGCCCTTGTTACCAGTCCGATCAGGCAAAGTCTGCTCAGTCTCACTCTTCATCTCAGTTCCAGACTCCTCAGCAATCTGCGAAGCACGGGAACTGTGATGACGACGCGCCCGAGCATGAGCACGGCGAATCATCTTATTATGATAATCCTCCTGCTCGACTTCATTGTCTTCATGGAGAATGCGACGAGCAGCTTCGCGGCCGACAACGGGAAGCCGGTCGACACCTTGAGCAGAGCTTGGTAGAAGCTTAGGGTCCAGAAGACCAACTTGAACGAGGACACTCGCCTGGTCCCAGTAGACATGCTCGGAATAGAGACGGCCAGCGCGGATGCTGACAATACTTACGAGGATGATCTCCACGCGTTTGTTTGTTGCCGGGACGCCGGGGAGCATCCATGGGACGTCCTGTGTGTGTTCGAAGCTCACGTACAGTTCGTCCACGATGCGGTCTGGACCAGTCGTTCGGGAGAGGAGGCGCAGGCGCATTGATGGGGGTAATTTGCCGATGAAGTAATGATCGTAGAAATGGCGGAGGGCTTTCTTGCCGATTCCACCTGTAATTGTTGGCGCATAAGTTACAGCGGGGGTTTTGTGCTGCACATAGCCGTCCATTGTCTTTTTAACGTTGGACGAGAAGAATTTGGCTGGATATTTGTTAGCATATCTATGCGACAGATGATGATCCCTTCTTACCGTCCACATGCTCCTCCCAGCGTCTTTCAAAATCGGGATCCCGCGAGTAACCCTTTCGCAACGTTTTCAACGTCCGCGTGAAAGCCAGATCCGCCGATAGATGGTCATATTCTTCGAGATCGGTCTCCGCAAAGCCCGGCTGTGCATTGTCGTACGTGAAACTGGGATATCCCAGATCCAATCGCTCTCCAGTTCCGATACCAGGGTTAAGAGGCCGTGTTTGGCGGCGCTTCTTCCCCTGCAAACCAAGTGCGACGGGTTGAACAAGCACATCTACAGTTTCGCCAGCCAAATGTACGAGAACCTGAAGCTGCGTACTGAATCGGGAACGTGTGTCAGGGATGACACTGGGATAGTATGCGACGAGGGCACAGAGCCGACTCGAGTTGGTAGGCTTGAGGTAGTAGTCGAGACAGTAGTTCGCGGCATCGCCGTATGCTATAAATCGGGTTAATTTGGTTCCGAATTTCCATGTGTTGTAATTGTCGCATACCGACTACACCGTAGTTCTCGCCCACACCGAGTCCATCCTTCACAGACTGCAGTTTGGCACCATATTCCTTTCCTCCGCCGTTATATGGGACATAGAGCACGTCGAATCCTTCGTCTTGCCAGTTCTTGATAATCTCCATATCGAAGTTTTCGGTTTCGGCTGTGATGCATAGTCGCGCATTGTTATTTCCATTGTTATAGAGGAATCCTCCGCTTCCCAGTCCCGGGGCGCTGATTGAAACGGTGGTCATGCTTGTATATAGTGTCGGTGTCGCCTTCTCAGGTTGTTGCAGGTTACGCAAGCGCTTTAAATATGGTAAAAGTGGTTCGCAAGACGATTTACAGAATGGCAGATCGGATTAAAGGAAGTAAAGAGGATGGTTTCTCAACCATGGCAGTTGACACTTAACGGCTCTACGTCATTGGCGTCGCAACGTCATCGGCCCATGGTTTTATATTAATGTCACGTGAACCAGGTACATGGACATACCAGGCTATTTCACAAGTTAAGAGTACGTTTGAGAAAGAATTTCATGATTTATGACGGGTTTTATGCATAATTACTCCTTTTAAGCATCCATAGCCCCATCCATTCCTATGAGAGCTTCACTGTGTTGCGATAGACATGTATATGCAGATGCACGATGTACCTGTCGTGCCATGCTTTTCCTCGTAACCGTACCACGGATCCACAGAGGCTAATTTCCCTACAGAAAAGACTCATATCACAACGGACGAATTCAGTTACGGCCAATTTTGGAAGATATGAAGACAAAGTGCAGTATGCAGAGTAACCCGTTTCCACTCGGCAATTTACGTGAAACTACACACGACAAGCTCAACCTAGGTCCCGAATCTGAGCACTATCCCATCTGCACCTGGGATCTTGAGGCCTTACCGCTTGAATTACTCGCAGAGACTTGAGAATAAATCTTCGTTGTGAGGGCTAATTCATATATCGTGATACTCTATCCGTGATATTGGTAATTAACTGGGCTAACAAGGCCATTCCCCATATTCGTTGGCAGCTTGTAGCTTCCACCTTGTCAGAAAATCGTCCTCGAATTTGGGTGCCAGTGGCGCATTGGGAAAGTTACCACCCGCTCGTGTGAATGTCACTTAGAGAAGTGCGTCGGCGAATGGGAAGCCATTCATCAAAGGACAGGTGAAGGGACCGGCGAGGCTTTTCATTGCAAGGGAGGGAATAGAGAGAAGCTTGGACCTCATGGTGGGAGTAAGTTTGAAAATCAGGAAGCTCTGCATCATCGAGTCTGGACCTGGGATGTTCTAGGTTGGGACTCATGAATATGCTCTTGGTTCGGTGGAGGCAGAGACTTGCATGCCCGTCAAAGAGCAGAACAAACACAATTCTCAGAACTCTGCGAACAGTGGTGAGTGCGATTCGGAGCATTCTTTCTTGTGCAGGGTTGATTATCTGTATGCATATCTAGAGCAGGGGTTGAGTACACGGACTTCATAACGGACTTTATAACGGATTTTGTGGTTTTTGTGATCCTTAACTCCACCGGTGCTGGACCCCTTCTTCCTCACCATCCATATGCTACTTTATTAACCGAACACCTTTCCCCGAGTCGAGCGGTAACCACTGGGAAGTTAAGAAGCCCCCAGCAAGTGATCGTATTATACCGAGTACAGCAAGTGAACACCCAAAATGACCGGACAACGAATCTTCATGACTGGCGCCTCCGGCTACATTGGCAGTGTAGTTGCGCAACAAGCCATCCAGCAAGGCTACAATGTCTGCGCCCTATCACGGACCGAAAGAAGCGACGAAAAGATTCGAAACCTAGGCGCCACCCCAGTACGCGGCGGCTTACAATCCTACGCTGTTTTGCTGGAGCAGAGTGCCCAGGCCGATATCGTTTTCCATCTAGCAGACGCATGGGCAGGCAATTTCGGCAAAATGGAATACGACGAAGTTGTGCGCATCGACGTAGGTGCTGTGGATGCCATAGGCGAGGGCCTGAAGGGGACATCAAAACCCCTAGTGATCACGTCAGGAACCCTGGTGGTTGCTGCGCATCCCGATGGTCTGGAAACAGACGAGGAGTCAGCAATTTCGGAGAAGCCGTTAAATGATCGCATCAAGTCCGAGCAGCACGCGCTGGGACTCTGTAGCCAGGGTATCAATGTCAGCGCCATTCGGCTGCCGCCGTGGGTCTACGGCCACGGAGGCAGTGGGGTTCGTCTCTTTATGGCCATGTTCACAGACATGAAGGAGGTATTCTACGTCGACCAGGGGTCAGCGCCTACCTCGGTGGTGCATGTCGATGACGCCGCCCAGTTGTACTTGCTGGCGGCAAAGAAAGCCCAGCCTGGGGATATATTCAACGCAGTATCCTCCAACACCGTGACGGCCCGGGAACTGGCTACAGCCATTGCTCATACTGCCTGTCTGCCGCTGCAACCGCTTTCATTTGATGAAGCCACCAGCCGGGTGGGAGAGTTCATGGCGAGCTTCCTCAGTGTGGAGAATCGCGCGTCGGGCAAGAAAGCAAGGGAAACGCTCGGATGGGAACCACGGGGGCCGACTGTTATGAATGACATCAAAAACGGATCATACTCAAAGCGATAGTCTAGGGGATGGCCAAAAATGGCGTCGTGCACAGGACTAGAGGTGGATGGAATAGTGCTACTGTATGTGCCCTCCCGCTGCATGTCATCTTTCCTTTCGGGTGGGGCGTAGGAATTACATAGACGTGGCGTGCTGCAACTAGTAAGATAATAAATATAAGAGTCCGCTGAGAAAGCTTCTACTCGCTAGACCAAGATATCTTTGTGGTGGTGAATGTGAGGTGGATGTAATCTAGATTGATTTGGTAATTGTATCAGTTTGTGACAAAGTACTTAGATAGATTGAGGCGGATCTTGTGTATCTGAGATCGAAGTGCGTCTGATCCTCGTTCCGTCTTACTCACAGGCTTCTTATGTGGTAATCCCGTGGCATGATCGGTGTTCAGTTTAACGTCACATACCTATCGGACACAAGAATCTTCCCACGGATGGCTGGAAACATCCCTTTCAAGCTAGTGTATAAGCAAGGAAGCCGGGAAAGGGGAGGTTGAGTTGAAAAGAAGCCCAACAAAAGCTAAGAACGGACAGATCTTCAGGGATCTGTGTACCGGGGCTCGGGGGGTTTAACGGACCTTACCGGACATACCGGGGTTATCTTCTTTCCTCGCCTCATGGTTCATTTATGCTGAAATTCGGAGGATTTATGGCCCGATACATATGTATCGTGCATAGCTTTATCAGTTCGCATCGCAGTGGGCTCTCGAACAAGTATCTCGTAACACCTTTGGATCTTCGGCCTGTGGCGTTGTACATAGTATATAATTCATAAATTCCCACACTCATGGTGCACAATCTCAAGCTTATCTTTATGAATAAGCTTCAGTGGCCAAACAGGAAGGATGTCATGGATTAAAATGTTCACCGAGCCAGGTACAGTGACATTCGACATCCTCGTACGGGTTCCCTGGGCATGAGTGGTCTGGCTATCCTCAATTTGGTGATGGCACTCTATGCTCCGTGTTATTTAACTTTAGGACGATCGACAATATGTTCGACTACTTAGGGCGTCTGAGTCCGAAGCCTGCTGCCCCGAAGCACATCTTCTGGATGGATGCATTGGTAGCGTCTCCCTCGCCGTCGGACTATTCTGGTTTACATGGACCAGCAGATCAGATATTCATTGGGCGTGGAGCATCGCGGCTGGAGTTCCCTTTGGATTTGGAGTTGCGCTTATCACCATCGGATCAACAAACTATCTAGTTTGACTCCTATACTGCTTTTGCTGCCACGGCTCTGACGGTGTGTATCTGTGCGCGGGCTGTTTGCGGTGCTCTGGCACTGTTGCTTGTGTGAAGAGCCTTTGAGAAGTTGGGTGTTCAATGGGCATTCATGATTCCCGCAGGCTTGGTCCTTGTTTGCGCGCCGTTCCCTTTAGATTTATGCTGTCCTGGAAGATGTATTCGATCAACGTTCAAGCCGGCACAACTTTCCGACACGATTAAATCTCGGCTAGAGCATCCTCCAACAGAGACCACCCGGTTCTTAGATTAGAATGAGGAGCAACCTGAATTGCGAATAGTATAGAAAGTCAAGAGAGGTTCACATTTAACGGCACGACGTCATCGGCAGCCTGACGTCATCGTATCCATGATTACAATGTCACGTGCGTTAGGTACCAGTGGTGTTGCAAAAGTATTTGACCTCTGGTACTTCGGGCACCTGACCGTCATCGAAGACTGCCTACTATTTTAGACCATGAAATCTCGCGTTCATCATATTAAATGCATACTAGCTAAATTGAATTAAATTCCTGAGGTTTCTGCCAGGCAGTATTAAAAAGTGGGTCCAGAGGCGAAGTACCGAAGTCAAAATACTTTTGAAGCATCAGTGTGCATTGACATATTGTAACAGGCTATTACATTGAGATATGTCTCAGCTAGATTATCATTGATAAACGGTTTCATATAGTATTGCCCTTTTTAGGCTCTCATAACTTTATCTATTCCTATGCTACCTGCACTGGATAACAGTAGACACCTATATATAGATACACAGCGACCTATCGTACCATACTTTTTTCATAGCCAAATATAGAACCACAGAGGTTAATTCCCTAAAAAGGGCATTTCAGACTGGACGGGACACGTGTAATCTTGTAAAATATAAAGATAAAGTGGGATGTACAGAGAATTCTCGAGTCTCACAAATTTAATAAAAGCGGTCCCAGACGTGGCAACAAAGCTATGCTAGTCCGCACCCTAGCGGGAGCTTCGGATGGGTTCCAAGGAAAAATTAGCAAGGTCACGTGTTATATAGCTTCGATCTACAGAACATCCCAGAAATTGCAAAATCACGGAATCCAGACACAATAAAATATATCTACCTTCACAGGCACATGTATCGGGAATTGGATTTATATCAGGCGTAAATCCAATTCCCGAGATAACACTGCATAAAACCCTGCCACAAGAAATACACTAGAGCGAAAGAGAGAAAAAGTCTCCACGATAAGACCGCTTCCCCTCCACAACCCACTCGAGCTCATCGTTCAACACGAGCAATGTCGCTTGTGCAACACGTCTCCGTCATCGATGGTGTTGATCGCGAAGCAGAACCAGACGTAGCAGAAGACTTTGTCCCCATCCGCCGAAAAATCAGCTACGATGTTCTGCAGCCACCAACAGAAGCCATCCCGGTCGCAGAGCTGCGCCCTGGAACACCGGCGTACAAGCATTCACCTGCGAAGAGAATAGGTACGAATCAATTAATCTACAGCAAATATACCTGCTAACAAGCCCCCAGCGCAGGTCGTGGTGACCGTGCTCGCGTGCTGGCTCGCGTCGGGTATCGTGTTTGGTTTCGCGGCTCTGAAACCAGTCCTCGTCGAGGAGGGCGTTTATCACGAGCGCTGTACACCAGCCGAAATAGACGAAGGTCTTGAACTGTGTTCTCAGCAAGATCTCAGGTAACGTCATCCTCATACCTGCCGTGTTGTTGTTGTCGCTAACCAATACCAGACTCAACCTCTTTTTCACTATTGCTTCCATCACCGCCAATGTATCAGCCTTGCCAGTTGGAACAATCCTGGATCGCTGCGGCTCCCGGCTATGCTGGGTAATTGGATCCATTTTGCTCGCCATCGGCGGCGCCGTCATGGGCTTCGCGTTCCACATCCCCAGCTTTGACGGGTACATCCCGGGAAATTTCTTCCTCGCGCTGGCTGGGACATTCATCTTCGTGCCATCCTTCCAAATCGCAAATGCATTCCCTAAATACGCGGGGACGATTGTCGCGTTGGTGACCGGTGCATTTGACGCGTCGGCTGCCGTCTTCCTTTTTTACCGACTCAGCTACGAGGCTTCGGCGAGAAGATTCACTCCAGACAAATTCTTCTTAGGCTATCTCATCGTGCCGCTCTGCATTCTTATCGCGGTGGTGACAGTAATGCCCGCGATGGATTACGTGTCAACATTGCAATTAGAAAACAGAATCGAAAAGGCGGAAGATGCCACACGCGACGTGCACGACTCAGACGACGAGATTGAGAGTACAGCCGAGCTTACCAAACTCCGACGAAAGCGCGCAGAACAGCGCAAGAAGAAGATCCGCCAGATTAACGCCATCCTGGGTGATAAAGACGAGCGTCAACTGCGCGCCGACCGGGAAGAAAATCGCCAACAGATTTCTTCGGTCTGGGGTGTTTTGCACGGCCTGCCGGCGCACAAGCAGATGGCCACGCCGTGGTTCATTCTCATTACATTGATGACGGTTCTACAGATGATCCGCATGAATTACTTCATTGCGACTATCCGCTCGCAATATGAATATATGCTCGGGTCAATTGTTGAAGCGGATAGAATTGGAAGCTTCTTTGATGTTGCATTGCCGGTTGGTGGTGTTCTTTTCACGCCTGCTATTGGCTTCTTGCTCGACCGTCTTAGTGTGCCGGCAATGCTGGGCCTCATTGTTCTTTTCACTACTGTCATTGGAGTTTTGAATTCCATTCCGGCTGTTTGGGCTGGGTACATAACAGTTATATTGTTTGTGTTACTACGACCACTTTATTACTCTGCTATGTCGTGCGTGTCCCCCGTCCTCCCTCCTCCCCCTTATGCGATGCGAGTTATAACTAACACTGATCTAGCGATTATACAACCAAAGTCTTCGGCTTCGCCACATTCGGCCGTGTCTACGGTGCCATCATCTGTCTATCGGGACTATCAAATTTCTCCCAGTACGGCCTGGATGCATTGACGCATCGCAACTTTGACGGAAATCCAATTCCAATCAATGCTTCCTTGGCCGTTGCGGGGTTTATCGTGGGCCTGGCACTCGTAATATTTGTTCTCGTGGCTGCGAGACGGCTAAGAGCGCAGGACCACGCGGATGACGAGGAACGGGAGAGACTTCTCCTGGCCTTGGACGAGGAGGAGGAATACGAGAGTGATGAGGAGCATCGGTGATAGATGATAGATCGGGTTGGAGCTAGGATTCTAGGATGGGAGACCGAGGTTCGTTCGGCATTTAGCTTAAGTGCCGGCATGCCAATGTTGTTCTTTTTATCTACTGTGGCTTTAATATTTAATTGTACGTACTACCAAGACGAAAAGAGAGCGGAATAGTCACATGCCCTGAGACAATTCATCGGAACTGGTGATTTTTTAAGTTTTCCCCGGATTTCGCGTATACCGGGGTGGAGCTATTGGTGCCCTGACAAAGAAAGCTTCCAACCTCGAGAACAGCGCTTAAACGGTTCGTAGCGTGGAATGAATGGAATGAAAGGATTATCGTGGATAAAGGGATACATGCATGATGAGCTCATGACCTGCATGCTGAGAATATATCTGACGGCCAAGACCAGGGTAGGTAGTGCCACGCTTTGTACGCTCTAAAGCTGCCAATGAAGAAACTGTAAGAGATAACGGATTATACTTTCGGTATTCCCGATCAGACTTCTAACCGGACGTACCAGAATGAAAAATGTCAATGCTAAAAGTTCCACTTTCGTATAGAAGTCATAGCTTGAGCTAAGTCTTGGCTTACTCTGGACCTCGTCACAGTCGATGAAAGAACAGACAATCAACACAACGCAAGTCCACCATGTAGAGGCAAGAGTAAGATTTAGGAAACAAATACAACTCCAATATCCAGATCCATGTAATGCATGACGAATAACCTCTACACTGCCAATATCCCAGTCCAAACAAACCCATTATAAGTCCTATCCCACACAACCCCAACCAATGCCAGTGGCAAAACAAAAGCACCCAAATAGTAACACCCCTCCACCCCCTAACCAACAGCCCAATAACAAAACCGAGGGGGATGACCACCCGCCAAGATCCCGCCAAGTAACCCATCCCCGCATCCCAACCCTCACACCCCCGGATTATCACCAAAGCAGTCGTCAAACGTCGCACTAGCTCACATCTGACTCGTCGAGCTGGTAAAAAGCGGAGAATAAGCCCCTCCTTTGTTTCGGGCAATATTGCTGAATTACGCGCTGACTTTACTTCTAACTGCCCCCTACTATGCCCCTACTGCCTTGCATTGTCTTGTCCCGAGGCCCCGTGTCGGCTATTGCATTCTCCTTCCGGCTTTGGGAATTTGGGCGTTGGCTGGGCGGGATAGATGGGGGGTTGTTTGGCGAGTTGTCTTTGTGACTGGGTGGATTTAGGTTGGTCTTTTGTGGAGATCTGGGGTATGGTGAACTTTGTGGATTTCGTGGCTCTCGAGATGGGTTGTAGATAAGATGTGGGTTTGGCCTGCTTTGTTGTTGCTTTTTTCTTTACTACAGTTTCATTATTACACGTTATATCTGCCGCTCTGATCAGAAGGAATTGGATTAATTGACTTGAATCCTCTTATTATGGGAAATATGGCTCCCATCGACGAGAAACCCCCTACCGTCGATAACATTGAAGATATCGCGGGCAGGAGTCCGCCCAGTGAAGATGATGAGGAGTTCACGCCGGAGGAGCAGAAGAAGATTATGCGGCGGGTTGATTTGAGGCTGGTCACTATGACCGGGTTGGCGTATTGTATTTCGCTTATGGACCGGACTAATCTGAGCATGGCTGCTGTTGCTGGGTAGGATTTTTCATGTCGAATGATGTTGGTGGTCAATGGTTGACACTTTAACAGATTGAAAGAGGAATTGAGTTTGCATGTTGGACAGCGATATGTATGTTCATTCATATGGTTGCTCGTTTGGAAATGCTAATTGTTGCTAGTCCATTATCGTTTTGATGTTTTTCGTACCCTATATTCTCTTCCAGCCACCTATGACTATTATCATTCGCAAGTTGGGCCCGACTATGTTCTTGTCGTCGATTATTATTTGCTGGGCTGCGATTATGATAGTATGTCTTCTGTTCTCGATATATTTGTTCTTGCTGACTGGTATAGGGAATGGGATTCGTCAAGGACTGGGGCCAATTAGTCGTCACACGTGTGCTCTTGGGTATATTAGAAGCAGGCTATTTCCCTGGCTGTGTCTACCTGCTATCTTGCTGGTATACTCGATGTAAGACGCCCACGAAAGATCCCGGAACGATAGCTGACCACTTGAAGATGACGTCCAAAAGCGGTTTTCCGTTTTCTATCTGATTGGATGTGTTGCCTCAGCGCTGGCAGGAATCCTCGCCTTCGGTCTGATGCAGTTGAACGGAAAGCACGGTCTGACAGGGTGGCGTTGGATCTTCATTCTCGAAGGAGTGGTGCGTACTACATGGTAGCGATTGAATGCACTATACTGACAGAACCAGATTACGGGCTTCATCGGCATCCTATGCTTCTTCTTCCTCGTCGACTTCCCGGACCGCGCACACAAGTCCTGGCGTTTCCTCAACGAACGAGAATGCCAATTCATCGTCCGCCGCATCAACGATGACCGAAACGACGGCAATCTCGAAGCCTTCTCCATGAAAAAGTTCCTGAAGCCCGCACTGGACATCAAGATCTGGGGCTTCGCAATGATCTTCTTGTACGCACAATTCCACCCCCACATGAACCGCCTAACAATAAATTAGCTGCCTCACAACCGTGACATACGCAATCGCCTACTTCCTCCCGATCATCCTCCGCCTAGGAATGGGCTACGGGGTAGGAGAATCGCAATGTCTCGTCGCACCACCCTACGCCTTCGCAGGAATCATCATGTACGGCACAGCTTGGGTCGGCGATAAATACCACATGCGCGGACCGATTCTGATTTTCAACGCTCTGCTCGCCATTATTGGATTGCCGATGATGGGATTCGCCAAGGGTGATGCCACGCGGTATGCGGGTGTTTTCCTCACAGTCGCCGGTGCCAATGCCAATATCCCCGCTTGTATGGCGTACCAGGCGAACAATGTGCGTGGACAATGGACTCGTGCTTTCTCCAGTGCTACCCTTGTTGGATTTGGTGGTCTCGGGGGTATCGTGAGTAGCTTGGTTTTCCGTGAACAGGACGCGCCCGGTTATCGGCCCGGAATGTATGCCGCTATCGCGTATGTCTCTCTTTCCTTCCCGCCTCAGACTGGATACTGATGCTGTTTCTGCAGGTGTAACGTTCTTATCATCATTCTGGTCATTGCGTTGAGTCTGTGGTTCAAACGCTGTAATAAGCAGGCCGACCGGGGAGAGCGGGAAATCGAAGGCGATGCTCAGTTCCGGTATACTATTTGAGTCATATAGTTGAGATAGCAATGTCAACCGGGTCATCCAGTATCCATTCAAATTCATGATAGTGGGAAGTTTGACCGGAGCTTCCCCTCGGTGGGTATATAGCCCACCGTTGATGAGTTTCCCGCCGGGAAACTCGGAGCTCACCTCCGCAAGTTGGTGGAGAACGGTGGAGTCGAGGGGCGACGGGAGAAGTTGGCGGTTGTCATTGGTTAGATAAGCAGGTGTTATCTGTGGGCTCCGTTTCCCGACAGTTGCCCGTCGGCAAGGGTAAGCCACCGTGATAAGTATTAATTTTTGATTCTTTACTTCTTTGCTTCTTTTCTTCTTCTCTATCTCTCTATCCTCTCTCTATCCCTCTGCAATTGGATGTGTTGAGTGCCTACCCTACTATCACAAGTATGGCGGCATCACTCTTTGCCCTTCGCGGCGCCCGCCAGCTTGCGCTGCGATCGCGTGTTCGCGTCCCCTCCATTGCTAGAGCTTCAATCTCACCATTGAACCTGCAGAGACGGGGTGTGCACAGCTCGCAGCCTCGTGGCGTCTATAACAGTACCCTCGCCGATCATGGCGACCCTCATCCCCAAGATATCTTCCAGCCTCTCGATACTTTCCCCCGCCGACACATTGGTCCCTCCCCAGATGCCGCCGGACAGATGCTGGCAGTGCTCGACCCCCCAGTGGCATCTTTGGATGAGTTCGTGAAGCAGGTCCTACCCGAGGACATTCTCTCAAAGAAGAACCTCCACCTCACCGAGCCCAATGCCGATATCAATCTATACCGCTCCAGCGTGCAGGGTGGCCTCGGTGAAACCGACATGCTCAAGCTGCTGAACAAGTACCGGGAACAGATTGATGTCTCCGGCAAGACCTACATTGGAACCGGCTACTACCCCACGATTGTGCCCCCCGTCATTCAGCGCAATGTACTCGAGAACCCCGCCTGGTACACCAGCTACACACCTTACCAGCCCGAAATCAGTCAGGGTCGCCTGGAGTCTTTGTTGAACTTCCAAACCCTCACCGCTGACTTGACCGGTCTGCCCTTCGCCAATGCCTCCGTTTTGGACGAGGCTACCGCCGCCGCCGAGGCCATGACCATGTCCTTCGCCACTATGCCCGCTTCCAAGCAGAAGAAGGCAGACAAGTCTTTCGTTGTCTCCCATCTCTGCCATCCCCAGACTATTGCCGTCATGCAGTCCCGCGCCGAGGGATTCGGAATCAACCTCGTGGTTGGTGATATCCTGGCCAACGACTTCCAGCTCGTCAAGGACCAGAAGGACCACCTGATTGGTGTCCTTGCTCAGTACCCCGATACCGAGGGTGGTATCTACGACTTCCAGTCCCTGGGTGACTCCATCCACGGCCAGGGTGGCACTTTCAGTGTGGCCACTGACTTGCTTGCTTTGACTGTGCTCAAGGCCCCTGGCGAGTTCGGTGCCGATATCGCCTTTGGTAGTGCCCAGCGTCTTGGTGTGCCCATGGGCTTCGGTGGTCCTCACGCTGCATTCTTTGCTTGTGCCGATAAGTACAAGCGTAAGGTTCCTGGTCGTGTTGTTGGTGTGTCCAAGGACCGTCTTGGTAACCGGGCTCTGCGTCTGGCTCTTCAGACTCGTGAGCAGCACATTCGTCGCGAGAAGGCTACTAGCAACATTTGCACTGCCCAAGCTTTGCTTGCTAACATGACTGCCATGTATGCTATCTACCACGGCCCTGTCGGTCTCAAGTCTATCGCCCAGCGTATCATGTCCATGACTACTCTTCTCCGCGAGAAGCTTGTCGGTCTCGGCTACAATGTTCCTCTCCGCACCAATAGCGATGGTGGTGCTGTCTTCGACACTCTCGCCATTGAATTGCCCAGTGCTGCTGAGGCTGATGCCATCATGGCTGAGGCTAAGGCTAGATCCGTGTTCCTCCGCCGCTTGGGTGGTAACAGGGTTGGTCTCTCGCTGGATGAGACTGTTGGCCGTGATGAGGTCAAGGGCATCTTAGATGTCTTCGCCGCCCACAAGTCGGTTGCTTCCGTCGAGGTTGATGGCCACCTTGGTGTCACTCCCATCCCTGCTAACCTGGAGCGTACCTCCGCCTACATGACCCACCCTGTTTTCAACACCCACCACTCTGAGACTGAGATGCTCCGATACATCCACCACCTCGAGTCGAAGGATCTGTCTCTGGCCCACTCCATGATTCCCCTTGGATCTTGCACCATGAAGCTCAACGCTACCACTGAAATGCTCCCCATTTCGTGGCCCGAGTTCTCGCAAATCCACCCCTTCATGCCCGCTGACAAGGCCAAGGGCTACACCAACATGATCGATGATCTTGAGCAGCAGCTTGCCGATATCACCGGCATGGCTGAGGTTACTGTGCAGCCCAACTCTGGTGCCCAGGGTGAGTTCGCCGGTCTCCGTGTGATCAAGAAGTACTTCGAGGGCAAGGGTGATGCCAAGCGCAACCTGTGCTTGATCCCTGTCTCTGCCCACGGTACCAACCCTGCCAGTGCCGCCATGGCTGGTATGCGCGTTGTCACTGTCAAGTGTGACACCAAGACCGGTAACCTCGACCTCGAGGACTTGAAGGCTAAGTGTGAGAAGCACAAGGATGAGCTTGCCGCCTTCATGATCACCTACCCCAGCACCTTCGGTGTGTTCGAGCCTGGTGCCAAGGAGGCTTGCCGTCTGGTTCACGAGCACGGTGGTCAGGTCTACATGGACGGTGCCAACATGAACGCCCAGATCGGCCTCTGCTCTCCTGGTGAGATCGGTGCCGACGTGTGCCACTTGAACCTGCACAAGACCTTCTGTATCCCCCACGGTGGCGGTGGTCCGGGTGTCGGCCCTATCGGTGTGGCCAAGCACCTGACTCCCTACCTGCCATCCCACCCTACTAGCGAGTACCTGCAGTCAAAGCGTGGCGACTCCTCGTCTCCGCCCATCAGTGCCGCCCCCTGGGGCAGCGCCAGCATCCTCCCCATCACCTTCAACTATATCAACATGATGGGCGACCGCGGCCTGACCCACGCAACCAAGATCACCCTGCTCAACGCAAACTACATCCTCTCCCGCCTCAAGCCCCACTACCCGATCCTGTACACCAACGACCACGGCCGCTGCGCCCACGAGTTCATCCTCGACGTGCGCGGCTTCAAGGAGACCTGCGGCATCGAAGCCATCGACATCGCCAAGCGTCTCCAGGACTACGGCTTCCATGCCCCAACCATGTCCTGGCCCGTCTCCAACACCCTGATGATTGAGCCCACCGAGTCCGAGAGCAAGGCCGAGCTCGACCGCTTCTGCGACGCCTTGATCTCCATCCGTCAGGAAATTGCCCAGGTCGAAGCTGGCGAGCAGCCCCGCGAGGGTAACGTGCTCAAGCTGTCTCCTCACACCCAGCGTGATCTCCTCACCACTGCGTGGGAGCGTCCCTACACCCGTGAGAAGGCCGCCTACCCGGTCCCGTACCTGCTTGAGAAGAAGTTCTGGCCCACCGTCACTCGTGTCGATGACGCCTTCGGTGACCAGAACTTGTTCTGCACTTGCGGTCCTGTCGAGGACAGCGAGTAGACCAACATCTAGAGGATGATCTATGATACCCATGTTGCATTGGATGCTTTTGCTTTTTCGTTTTTATAGGGATCCGTCCCGCTCTTCTTGTGTATACATTCAACATTTCTTTTAGCTACGATGATGACGTTCAAAAAGACTACATTTCGGCTTGCATCGATTCAACATGATCGTCCAGCGGTCATAATACAATATAACCAATTCATTATAACCCACCTCTTTACCCCGTAACATAATATGCTCTAGTTGTACCCTGTAAAGAGCCGAGGTCGGCACAACCCGGCAGAACCTGACTCCCCTTATCAGTTTATCAGCTTATCAGTGCCCCTCGTACCATACCATACCATCCCTCCAAAGTTACACAACCCTTCCAACTCCTATATTCCAATAATACAGTAATACACCATACCCCATCGGAGAAAGCCGATCCCCGCCCCCCAATCGACCCAACATCCCCTTTGACGCGGCTGAACCTGTCAACTCAGCCGCCTGTCTGAAGAGTCAACTACGGGAGATCCCTGCGGAGACAGAATATTCGAATCTAGAAGGAATAACCTTGATACATGCTCTCGCAGACTTGGCTTTTCGGGGATCTCGGGTATTTGGACTACATCGGTAGGTTGTTGCGAGAAGAGATATATTTGTGAAGGGTATATTTATACTGGTTTCCCTGTTGTTCTTGAGTGTTTATGATTCTGTTTCTTGGTCTTTGGCTTTGACTTTAGACTTCGACTTGTGAGAGCTTTGCATTGTGGAGACTGATCTGCGCTTTCCTTGCGTTAGACTACATTGTCTTCTGGTTCATACTGCTAGATTTGGATATACCTTTGTGAGGATATACTTGTCTCGTTTTGTTTCTCATATACACTGCATCTACATCTGCATCTGCATCGCATTTGTGTATCGACATGGGCTCCACGACAAATGCCTCTTTCGGTCTCACCGTCTACCGCGGCACGTTCATTCAATTGCCCCGTTTGCCTGATACCGGTGCTGTCAAGGCTAAGCCTGAACTTGTTCGCAACCAGGGTGCGTTATGGGTTTCTGCTGCGGATGGTCGTATCAAGGGTTGGGACTGGCAGGCCCATGACGATGCCCGGTTCGCGGAGTTGATGACTCGCAATGGATGGGTTGATATTGATGTCGACGTCGATGGCCAAGGATCGAAGACGAAAGTGAAAATCGTTACTGCAAGCGAAGAGAAGAATGAATTCTTCTTCCCCGGGTTCATTGGTATTTATATCCCGGTCTCCATCTAGAACAGCATAACTAACAAAACCAGACACACACATCCACGCCCCTCAATACCCGAATGCCGGTCTCTTCGGCTCCTCCACTCTACTGGGCTGGTTAGAAACATATACATTCCCAGTGGAGTCAGGCTTCGGCAACCAACCAGACCCGAAAACAGGCTACCAACAGCAAACCAAAGCCGGAGAAACCCCCCTGGCAGCCCAGACAATCTACGACCAAGTAATCTCCCGCACCCTCTCGCACGGGACAACCTGCGCCAGTTACTTCGCAACAATCCACATCCCAGCAACAAACGCCCTAGCAACCCTCTGCAAAAAGCACGGTCAGCGAGCCTTCATAGGCCGAGTCTGCATGGACAACCCAGACTTCTGCCCAAAATACTATCGCGACTTCTCAGCCGAGGACTCTCTGACCGCAACGAAAGCAACAATCGCCCACATCCAATCCATCGACCCAACAGGCTCCCTCATAAATCCAATCCTAACCCCCCGCTTCGCACCTTCCTGCACACGGCCCGCCCTCGAATCCCTAGGCGCCCTCGCAGCTTCTTACTCCCCACCCCTCCATATCCAGACCCACATCGCGGAAAACACAAACGAAGTCACACTTGTCAACGACCTCTTCCCCGAAGCGGGGAGTTATGCTGCTGTTTATGATAGATACAATCTGCTCACGCCGCGCACGATCCTCGCGCATGCAGTGCATCTATCGAAAGACGAGAAGGCGTTAATTGCCAAGCGAGATGCCAAGATCTCGCATTGTCCTGCTTCGAACTCAGCGCTTGGATCGGGGATTGCTCCTGTACGGTCTTTCCTCGATGTTGGTATTACAGTTGGTCTAGGCACGGATGTAAGTGGCGGGTACAGTCCCAGCATTCTCGAAGCTGCTCGGCAAACATGTCTTGCGTCGAGGTTACTGGGGCATACGGCTGCCTTTGAGATGGAGTTTGAGTGTGGGCATTCACATGTGAAGGGTGAGGATGAGAAGCAGAAACAGAAGGAGAGAGAAGATGAAGCAGCACGTGTAAAACTCTCCGTTCCAGAGAGTTTATATCTCGCTACACGGGGCGGTGCTGCTGTTGTTGATATGGCGGACGAGATTGGTGGGTTTGATTTGGGGATGTTGTGGGATGTGCAGTTGGTTCAGCTTGGTGCTGTGAAGGGATTGCCGGAGAGTCCGTTGGATGATGGTGAAGGTGATAGGGTTGATCTTGTGAGACCTGGGCCTGTGGGTAATGTTGATCTTTTCGGGACGGAGACTTGGGAGGAGAAGGTTGAGAAGTGGCTTTGGAATGGGGATGATCGTAATGTTAAGGCTGTTTGGGTTGCTGGGCGGTTGGTTCATTCAAGAGTGTGATTTATGTGTGGTAATTGTTGGGATTTTCGGGTATATAGTTTTCTCGGTTGTCATATCTATCTGTTCTTACTTGTTTCTCGGTCTTCGCTACGTGTCTTTTACAAATCCGAGAATCCCTGATTAAATTATACATTGGCAACTTGTGTGGGTGGCTACTTGAATGTATCCATGTTGAACACGCTGCTAAGTCATAGGTAGTGACTGACTTACGCCATACACCTACTGGAAGAGCTCAACACAGTCAAAGATCTAAACGATATATTAGCTTCTCGTGAATTCTAGGAAGAGAAAAAGAAGAAGCGAGGCACTCACGAAGTTAGGGCTGAGATAAGTATCTCCCGAGCTGCCCGAAACGACATTAATAGTAATCTAAGCCCATTAGCATACTAAAATCAACAGCCGACGATCGAATTGACTTACAGTGTTGGTACCAGCAACGATAGTCCCTGACGGGATAGCAACATCATAAACTTCACCAAAACCCCGGTAAGCGCCACGAGTGACACCACGAGAGTTGAGGTTAGTCGGGGCGGAGGGTGTAGAGCCGGTGTAACTATTGATCTAGAAGGACATCAGACAAACTCATGAACCAGTAAGATATTCTGCTCCACTAACCGTCGCCTGGGGCCGACCACCCGCGAAGGAGAGGGTGGTTCCAATTCTCAGAGTCGCAGCACCAGTTTGGGAAGATGTCGCGGTGAACTTGATGGTCAAGGGCGAGTTGACGGACTTGAAAAGAGCCATTGGGAATGAAGAGACCGAGGAGCTGCCGACTGTATACGTGCCCGGGGTCCAGGAGGACATGCGCGAGTCGGAGGGGTGCATGCGGAGCTGGTTGGCGGCGTTGAGGAAGCCGGTTGGTCTATTATAGCATTAACATATTTGAGTATTATTAAAGTTGTCCAGAGAGATACGTACTGTCCATCCCAGTCTCCAATCCTGAAGATTGTCGTTCCGGTCTTGACGGACCCAGAAATACTCTTCGAGGTAGTGGATCCAGCAGTCACAGTCACCGACGAGGTAGCAACGGCATATTCACCCTGGTAGTAGACCATAGTGTAAGTGCCGGGCTTCATAGCCGGGGACGTGAAGCTTCCCGAGGAAGAAGCGTATGTCCAGTACTGGGCAGCATCGTTGTACCTATAATCATGTCAGATGTCTATCTCGTTTCAAAAATTATGAATGTGACTCACCAGTGAATGACCCATTTGAACGAGGAAGAGGCTCCAGAAGCAGTACCCTTAACATACCCTCTTCCAGAAGTAGCAACGTATCCTTTGATATCGAGGTCCGCGAAGAAGGAAGTGTCAAGAGTGGAGCTTGGGGTTCCGCTGCGACTGAAGTACATAGAGTAGGGGCCGTGCAGACCCTGGCGGTAAGTTTCGGTTTGGACGTGTCCGGAGTTCTGAGAGAGTCAGCAGCTGTGATTCGGTGGCCGATGGGCTGGTTACATACCATGTACCAGTAAAGACCTGTGTATGAACCGACGTTGTTGGTGTTGATGTCGCTAGAACCGATTAGCTTGGCTGGATCTATGGTGGTCAATGAACTTACCGGTGGAAAGGTCCGCCGGCGGAGGTCTCGTATTGGTTCAAGATCATGCAGACGCGGTTTGCGCTTCCAGAGACACCTGAAGATGTAAGCATTTGTTATTATTAATATGCCTCACTGCTATCTTACAGTGAATTTTGTCATCGATGAACCGCTCGCTGGAGTAGAACTTGCTTCGGGTTTGGCCATCAACCAGGTACTAAATTGCGTCAGCTTCATTTTCAACCGAGCATCACCCGAGAAACACCCACGACGTCAGATCCCTCAACAACAGTACCACCCGCAATGTTGGATACAACGCCGAATGGCTCTTCGTTCGGAAGCAGATCCGCATTCAAACGGGCGATGTACCGCAGTTCTCCGATAGCCGGCTCTAGAAGACCTTTAGTATAGTTTCCATAACTAAACACAAAGAAGTCTAACCTGCGGTGGTGTATGTTGCCATGTGGATGATAGGATCACCACTGTGGACAACATAGTAGTGAATCAAGGTGTCAGTCGAACATGTCACCTTGATATAATCGCCTATCTAGTTCAGCCAATGTTCATCATGCGAAAGGTGGGATATTCACCAATCGTAGTTGCTGTAACAGTTGCAGAGCCTAAACCTGATCCAATGTGAGATCCGGTCGACTGGTACTGAAGCTCAGAGCCATAGTAGTTGATCGAGGTAATGTCACAGCTTGTTCGGCTGACAGTAAACTTGAGAGAGTTGGACGAGCCAGCGTCGATAACGTAGGAGGCGGTGCTAGTAGTAATTCCAAAAGCTGCGGATGCCTGCTTAGCCAAGAGAGCAACCGAGGCAAAAGCCAAATGTTTGAAAAGCATCTTGTATGATGCTGCGCCTCGCAGAGATTTGCGTGAAAACCCCAATACACAATTAGGGGAAGCTGGCATATTATACCACCGGAGAATTTCTTGTCCTTCACGCTAAAACCCAGCGTCCTGAAAGGTGGAGATTTGGCAGCTGGTTAGTACTCCCGTTCCTGTATGATTCTCCCCGGACGCCCTGAATTTAGCCATAGTTCCACCAATCTGGGCGGCGCCTCTGACTTCATGTCGCATGATTTCCCCATCAGGAACGGAAGACCTGAAGAATCAACGGAAAGACCGCTCTTTCTTGGAATGAGCACTATGAGCACATCATCATCGAACTTTTATGAGGGTGGAATGCCGGAGCTGCACCTCGCATAGCCTTGCCAAGGCCCTTTCCATCCCGTGTGGGGTTGATGGTTGTTTCAACAGCACGGAGCACCTCTCAGCAGTCCGACAGGACAAACCTGAGACGTCTTCTTCGCTAGCTGGGCTGAGCTTTGGAATTATGCTTCCCCACCCTTCCAATCCACCCACTAACTTCAAACACCTCATTTCTATTTTGGTTGCACTCCCGAGGTCTCGGCCCTGCTGAGTGTTAGTTCCTCGATAAGATCAGAGTTGAAGATGAATAATACAAGGAGTTTCCTTGCAAATAGTATGAATGGAAATTACAATTTGACAATCTAATAAAACCCCCGCTCTGTTCACTTGTCTTTGCCAGCATACAGTACCTCATGAGAGGAGTCGTACATGCTGTGAAACTAAGATAGGTTAGACCATTGTTTATTGTTTCAGACACCCACGTGGCTTATATTCACCATTACAAATTTTAATGTTTTGCGTCTCCTAAATTTGACAGCTCGCTCTCACTTTAACGGCTTTCCAGTGCTTGGTTGTGCTCACATCCACGGCCTCTCCAAATCACTAAATCCTAGCAACGAAAAAGTAATTTGCTATATACCTCCACAGCGATACTATTGCGCTTACAACACGAGGTATGGTTAGTATTTCGCCGTTCTATACTCCTGAGGACGGGTCTTAGTCTAAGCTAGCGATATACCGCCGTATATACCACTTACACGAACGTACCATACCTTTTCATAGACATAGATTTTCATAAATGTTGCACGTAATGGGGAATCGTGAGATCAAATTCTAAACAACCTATAAAAGGGGAATTTGCCTATTGAGCACCTGGGGGTTTCACAGCCCCGATTTGTAACATTATTCCAAAAATGTCAGGCATTCCGGTCTCCTCCACAATCTTCCCATCTTCAAATCGATATATGTTCATCGCTCGTGCCTGGATTGCTTTTCCAGAAGCTGGAACGCCAAAGAATTCACCTTCGTGAGTTCCACGCAAAGTAAACTGCGCTACAACTCTATTCTCCTCAATGACTGTATCGTCAAGGGTCCACTGGATATCTGGATAGGCGGAGCGCATCATGCTGAGAATATGGATGTACCCAGGCAATCCTTTGAGAGGGGCATCTGAAAATGGAACGTGGAATACGGCCGATTCAGAAACCACGGCCTGTCCCAGGGTCTCATCGCCTGAATTGATGAAATCAACGAAGCGTTGCATTCTTCCTAGAAGAGGGCGAGACATTGTGCTCACTTGAACGCATGTCAGTCTTTCTTTCCATTACTGTAGTCTCAAATTTAACTCACTTGCAGTAATTTCGTTCCGGTCAAATTCGGGGAATAGAGCTTGTTTCACTTCGATAGGTTTCTGGACAAAATAATCAGTAAAGGATCAGAGCTTGAACTTCTTACAACAAGTTGAACTCGGATACATGGCTTCATTGGAATCAAAAGAATGTAAAATTGCAAATCAGGCTCATTTAATGCACGCTTTTCCGAAGTGACAAAGGAAAGAGAGCGATGGATATTTACCATGTACGGTGTTTACCTGATATTCAAGAGAGAGAATTTGTTTTGGAGAATAGAATATAGGAGACGAAGCCAATTTATAGTGAAATATCTCCAACTATGACGGTACACGATGGCGATTTCGTGTTCGTACAGTTTGTTTAGTTTGTATCGTTTGCATGAGATAGAAAGACCTCACTGGTTCGACCAGGAATGGATATCGGGTTTTCCGACAGTCGCCCGATGGTTTGACATGTTTACATGGTTTGCATCTCGCATCCGGATGTGCCGACAGGATATATCCGTCGGAATGTCCTTGTGCTACTGAAACAAATTTTCTTCAAGCTAGAGGATCATAAGTGTCTAGGTGGCAGCTTTCAACCAAGCCTTGAAACAAACTCGGTCATAACAATGTATACAAGTATTTGACTGCCCAGCCCGCTGCCGGTCCTTCGAGTGCCCAGGCATATAAGTTATGTAGGGGATCCAGCTTTGATGCTCCCTGCTCTCGAAGGGAGATTATACAGCGTGTTTATGATAAAATATGGCACTACTATACGAGGGAGGTAGGATACCTAAGTGGAAAGATCTGTTACTTCCGATAGAGAGCTATAAGCCATTAGCAAGTCATTGTTGTTGCTCCCAGTTTGAGCTCATTTTCTGGACAAGATAAATTGCCAGAGTTACGTGGTCATTTACGGTTCCAATACCTGCACAGATCGCTCGCTCCGGCTCTGGGAGAGTATTTTGATGCAGGTCAG